CCCAAACCCAAACCCAAACCCAAACCCTGGGTACTCAGGATGAAGATCGTTGATGAATTTTTATTATCTTCCTTGTGGATTTTTCCCTGCATCCTCATAATAATAATATAATTGTTTTAATATAGTTCATTTCTTTCTTTGCCTCTGTTGGATCAAATGAAAAAAAAAGTAGAAGTATAAAGAATACAGTGTGAATCCTAAACACTTAAGTTGGAAAAAATTAGTAGATGATGATCTGATGGCTTGATCATTAATATATTTTCAAGAAAGTTTTGGGAAGAGTCAGATGTTAAAAGTTCTTATGCGTCTGTTATATATGAGTGGCATAAGCTCTCTAAAATTTTTGTATTGTTTCTGAGTACAAATACTTGATGGGCGCTTAAGAGGTATCAAACGCCTGAAGGTCTGTTTATATAGTAAAATTTTTTTAAGGCTTCCTTTTCTTCTATGGTCTTTTTTATTCAGGATGTTCGGTTTATACATTAACGGTTTTGTCCCAAGATAAGTATTTTTCTTTTAAGTTTATTTGGATAGAGATTTAAAATACAAACTTTAAAGTTTAATAAGACTATCAAATATTTAATAATAATGTTAAAGAAAACTCAATAATTTTCCTTTTTCCTTTACAATTTTGTTATCCTGTCTTAGCTATTAAAGTTAGTAAAGCTAAATAGAAGGGTTTGGTTAGAGCAATACTCTTGTAACAGGTTTGCCTTATAAATTATGAAAAAAACCTCCTGGAATTTCTTTCATATTGATCTGGGACAGGTGAGTTCTTTATAAGTCGATGTTTCTATATTACTTTAGATATCTTCCAGATATCAAGAGTACTGTTGGAGAAGCTATATTGGAGCCGCTATATACTTGACTCCAATCTTTCTTTTCCCTTTATTATTCCCTTTTTGTTGGGTAGATTTCCTCTCACAACACCACTAAAGATTTTCAGTGACTAATTCTTTAATTTAGAGACAGTGTTTTGAATTTATTCCTTTTATTTTTGTTAAATACCTAAATTTTTCTAGGACCCAAACAAGACTAAAGTTTGTCAAAGATCAAGTAATTAGTTCTCATTATAGCTAGATACCTCTTAAATATCCGTGTAATATTATTAACACTTTCCTGCTCAACCAGTGTGAACATTAGAAGCTTTAAATTCATACATAAAAGCATGTGCACCATAATAAATTTCAAAAAGGCCCTTGAAGATTTACACTCCAATAACTTGGTACTCAAATAAGATATTTGTTGGCAGAGCTAAAATATTTTATTCTGCTGTTTTTCTTTATTTATTTAATGAATTATCTTGTCTGTTCCACCAAGTCTTTATTTGCTATCAGGATAAATTCATAAAATCTTAATTTAAATTAATTGCAAATATTTTATAATCGATCTAGTATATCTGATTAATGAAAAGTAATTATTTAGTTAAATTTACTTTTCAAACATAAGTGATGGTACAATTTCTAATTGATAAAAATATAAGTCTCTATAATTATTAGGGAGATTGAAAAACTCTTTGGTTTGTATTATTTTTTTTGATGAATCAAGCTAATCCTATTATTTTAAGGTAACATTCTATGTTTTAAAAAAAGTCTAAATAATTTAAGATTTCCTTTAACAATTAATTCTAGTTCTCCTAATATATCAAAAATAAATTATAAAGAGTAATTTTAGTAAATTTAGCTATGGGTTGATGCTTGTATTTCATTAAATCAAATTAAATTATTTTTGTAAAAATAAATGATTTGGTATTGTTTTAAAGATTTTTTTACTTTGGTAGATGAAATATATGTTAATAACAAAATTGAAAGTAAGTTCCAAATGATAAAATGAAATTGTATAAAATTACTAATATTTTTATATTGAGATAATATAACAAAATTGATGATTAAACTTATTAATCTTCTACAATTATTTTAATGGGATCAACTTTTTTATCATTCATACCTTGTTATTTTGTCATTAAATTAAGAAAAGCCTTTAACACTTTAATCATATGATTTTCAAGTATATACAAAATTAAAAAGTATTTATTTAGGAACCTTAAATTCTATCGATTTTAATTAAAACTTGCCTGCCAATCATATAGATTTAACTTTTATATAGTCATCCTTATTTTCCAATAATTTTAGAACTAAATTAAATTATATTTCTCAAATTTAACTTGGATAGTTACGAATAGGAATACTAATAACATACTTATTTTATTAATAAATGGTTAGTAATATTTTGCAAATAAATATTTCAACTGAAAAATTTAAAACATATTTTCTATATTAAAATCTATTGTATTTGATAACTAACAAATTTTTAAATAATATAGATTGTAATTATAAATTATTGTATAAAATCATAGATAGATTTAATAAACTGAATATCTTCATCATAAAATTTTGCTAAATAATAGATGAGATAGAAATATTAATTTAAAAATCTATTTTTAATATCCATATTTATGTAATATTTTAGGCCATTTTAACTCAACCATAATTTTAAATTCAATAATTATTACATTTTCATATGCTGTTCGATTATAATTCTATCTTATTTTCTTTACCTATTTTTTAATATTTTATAATTATAATTACAAAGTTATAAATTTTGAAATTATATTCCTTTAGAGATTAAGAGTAATTTTTAGAAATGGATTATCTTAACTTTCCTATTTATTGATGATTGACTTTCCTTTTACATCAATTATATAAATTTTAGGGATTTAAATGCTGCATTTTTGAATTATTTATAAATGAAAATAATACGATTATTTGAAAACAAAAAATTATGATTAATTAAATAAATTAGATTTGCTCAAACGTTATTTTTAAAGGATTCTATATTAAACACCATTCTTAATTAATTATAATAAAGGAAATTCAAAAAAATTATATGATAATATTATTGTTATTCTATTAAAGAGAAAAAAGGATAGGAATTTGAAAATAAATTAAGATAAAATTCCTGAATGATATTCTTAATTTAAATGAGAGTGATTTGAATTTGTTATGGTAGAAATTCGAATTCTATTATGAATTATTTTTATTAATATTTTATGTATAAAGAAATGGGTTCTATTAATAATGGGAAGAAACAACAATAAGATGTGAAGTTTTATGGTAAATAAAAATCTAGATCACCTAATTTTGATTTTCATTCGACTTAAAAGGGTTGTGTGAGGAATAATATTCATTTTCATATTGAAAATTGGGAGACTTACGAAGCCAATAGTAGCTAAATTAAAAAATTTTATGAGGACTTAGAATATGACCATTCATTTATTTAGTGGATATTTCCAAATTTCTTCAATAGCATGTTTAATTCTGATAGCTATAGATTAACAATTGAAGAGAGAGATAAAATGATCAAAGATTAAAATGTTTAATATTTATTTATCAAAATAGGTCATGGAATTCTTTGTGAAAAACTACAAAATGTTTCTAAAATTTTTGGGAATTAAATGGAATATCAATGAATTAGTTGTAGAGAATTAATAGTAATTTTATAAATGTCTTCGAATTAATACACATAATTAGTTAAGATTAAAGAGAGTATTAGCTTCATTAAGTGTTTTAGGATAAAGGGAGGAAGCCTTAAAATTGTTAAAATTAATACATAAAGAAGATAACTAACTTTATGGCACTGAATATTACCTTTATGATCATTTAATGGATGAAAAATAAATTGAAAATAAAGAAAATGAGGTAAATTAAGAAAAATAATTGGGAAATTAGTAAGAAGAAGTAAACAAAACTCAAAAAGATAATCAAAAAGTAAATCTATCCGAATAACATAAAAATGATTAAATATAAGAGGAAAAAGAATTCCATAGTACTGAAGAGTTATAATAGAAAATAGAGTCCAATTAAAGAGGAAATGAACCTAATAGCACAAATAAAAATAATCAAAATGAAATCTTAAAGTAATCAGTTTAGTAATCCTAAATTGAATAAGACTAAAAAGTAGATGTTGAGTTATCTTAAACTAATTAAATCTAATAGGCCTATTTTTTGTAATCTTAAACTAAACAAAAACATGATTAAATATAAGAGGAAAAAGAAATCCTTAATTCTGATGAGTTATAATAGAAAATGGAGTCAAATTAAAGAGGAAATGAACCTAATAGCACGAATAAAAACACTCAAAATGAAATCTTAAAGTAATCAGTTTAGTAATCCTAAATTGAATAAATCTAAAAAGCAGATATTGAGTAATCTTAAACTGATTAAATCTAATTGTCCCATTTGAAGCAATCTTAAACTGAATAAAAGCATGATTAAATATAAATAAAAAAAGAAATCCCTAGTTTTGATAAGTTATAATTGAAAATAGAGTCAAAGTAAGATGAAATAAAATAGAAAAAAAATAATATTCAGACGGAGGATGGTTTTGAAGAAATAAAATTAAAACTAACAGAGAATAATAAGACTGTTCAGTCCAAAACAAAAGATTTAGAAACAACCAATAAAAAATAGGAAACTGCAAATCCTTAAGTGTTTGAATAGAAAAATAACTCAAACTAAAATTATTACAATTTTTCTTATGATAAGTATTAGAGGAATACTAAGAGACCTTAATTCGTAAAATCTCAATATGAAAAATTTGAAGATAAATTTGAATTCAATGAAATAAAAAATAACTATGTATAAGGAGATTTATTGAATGAAAACTGGGTGTAAGTAGATTTGTTAAGCAAACAATAAATAGTAACATAAAAATAATGAGTATTATAAAATTTCTTATTTTTATAAAATTATTTATTCATTTCATTGAGGCAAGACCTCAATCTTAGTATTAATTTTTTCAGTAACTTAAGTATACTTAATTTAAAATGATTAAATACTTTAAAGAATTGAAAAATTAGTATTCAATTTCTCAGAGCAGCAAAGGTGCATAATTATTTTTAGATCAAATTTATAAATAGATTTGTTATTCTCTTCAAAAATAATTTAATATAAAGAAGTCCATTTTATTTAAGAATAATTACAATTTTAAATATGATTAGGATATATTTAGAATATTTAATTGGATAGAAAACATAGTATTCATTATTAAAATTATCCTAAATTTTTTATCTATAAAGTTCTACTAAATATTCTGATTATTTAGTGTTATTTTTCTTAAGCAATATTATTAAATACTATGTTTATAAGGAAAAAGATAGTTAACTCAACATATAATTTTAAAATTTCTAGCTTTATGGGAGGTAATTATTATAGAAGTTGAGCCTAGAGTACTATTTCATAAAATCCAACAACTTTGGATGTAAATTAAGAGGTAAAATTAAATAGATTAATTATTATTATAAAAAGTAAGATTAAATAAGTTAAAGCAAAACTATCTGTTAATTGCTTACTATTTTGCTCTTTAATTTTTTCAAGATAGAAAATAATGAGAGAAAACTAATCTCTGAGAGCAGAATTAGTGGAACATTAATATATTTTAAAAAAATAAATATTTATTTAAATATATTGAGAAAAATTAATTATTGATATTTTTTAATTTTATTCTAAATAATATATAATTTAATTATGATAAAGTATGTAATTTGCTCAATAGTAGCAAATCTTTAATAACCTACTAAATAATATAACAAATTATGTAATGATATTCATACAGTTTAATGAATCTTTCATTCATCTTTTAGTAAATTCATCTTATTCATTAGGATCAAAATATAATTTTTCAATACCTATTCTACTTGATTTTACACTATGAATTCTTGAGCTTTATGAACTCGAATAGAAACCTGTCATTATTTATTTTGAGTTTCTTAATTATATTTTTGAGAAATAAATTAAATGATTCTTCAATTTAGTAATATGATTTTTCAATTTCTATTCCCTTAATTTTTATTTTTCTAACATTTTCATTAATATTTTTGTAAAAAAGAAGTTTGGTACTTTCTAATTTAAAAGGAAATATAATTTATTTAAAAAGAAGTATTAATACTTTTTAAAATAACTTCTTGCAATTCCAAAAATAAACGGATAACAAAGTTTAATAAAACATCCTATTATAAAAATTTAGAGCATAGTAGAGGGAGACACATAATTATTTTATTCACAAATGTATTTAGTTATAGCTAAAAATATAGAAATTGAACATATTTGACTTGTTTATAGGTCTAATGTATTATATTTTTAAATAATAAATGGTTAATGAAAGGTTGCCAATATTTGATATACTAATAAACATAATCCTAACAATGATGCTTTTAAGACAATATCTGTTTCAAAATTTGTCATTATAAATATTATGATTGATTTCATAAATAGTTTTATGAGTTCCCAATAATATCTTTATTATTTGTATTCATTTAACAAATAACAAATGTGTTTTCTAAGTTTAATTTTCTCAAGGCGAGTTTTATTTACCATCAATAAAATAAATATCAATATAGGAATCAACCCACCTATAACAAACAATCCAGGAATAATAAAAGAATACATCCACAACCAATGATCTTGAGACCCATATTTTAATGATACATCACCCTAAATGTAATAGTTATTAGAGACTACTCGTTTAGAAATCAATGATGAAAACCTATTTAATTTTAAAAAATAATAATATACATCTTGATTAATCCTGCATAATTGAAAACATATAAGTAAAGAGCTGTGTTTGAAAGGAGACTCAGATCATATTTTTATTTAATAATTAGTGAATATAATATGGATCCTGCAACTGTGAAAATAAAGAGGATAATCATAAAGATTAACATTGTGAATATTTTCAAATAAACAATAGGAATTTGTTCAATTGAAGATATTTAGCAATCGAAATCTTTTGCAATAAAATATGAGGTATCACTAGTTTATTCAATAAATAGTAAAGAAAATGAAAATCTAATGTTAAATGTAAAAATAACACTAAATATCCATATATAATTAATCATCATTTTTAATTATATGCTCTCTTAATCTAAAATATATAAATATTATTTACCTTAATTTAATTTAAATAGTATTTTGCTAAATCGTTATGCAATTATTAGTGAAGCATATAATGAATTAGATCTAGAGATACTTCTTAAGGACATTGAAATAGATATAATAGTCCTATTATTATATTATTAAAAATATTATACCAAAGACAGCCTACTAAAAATGGCAATATGTTACTCCATTAAAATTAACATTTTAAACAATTCTAATCCCAATAGTTTTTAAAATAATTTCCATATCCCCGAATATTATAAATATCACATTCTTCACATAAAGCTCCTATATGTCCTAAACTACATGTCTAATCGGAAACCTACCATCCACCATTACAAAATAAGGGATTCTTGAAACAAGGTTCTACATAATCAGAAAAATTATTAGGTCTCCAAAATCCTGGAAGTAATTAAATCATATTTGAAGTAATATTATAGTATTTATCTTTATCAAAAATAGAACACTTTGTTGAATTATATGTAACAGAATAATACCCTTAATTTGATTAACATATTTGGCATCCATTATCAACATAAAATTCTCCTAATTAACATTTTAAGCTCTTAGCATCTAGTATATATTTCAATGTTTTTTTTGATTCTTTTATATAGCAGCTTATTTCAATCTTTAGATGGCTATAATTTTATTAATATGGATCTAATCTAAATGTTAACGACCCAAAATCAAAGGAATTTTTTTCATTATCAAAAAATAAAAGTTAATTAACTGATCTATCTAATAATTCTTGTTAATCTTTTGCTATTATCTTATCTTTTACTGTACAAGTTGAATTTACTAAATTATGCATATGTTCATTTCTAGTATTTTTAAAATACAAGCGTATATCTTTTATAAAAGGCTAGTAATTTGAATTATGTATGTCAAAAATCTGAAATGTCTTTAATATCTAATTACTTGGAATCAATAAATCTTTAGCAAAAATTTCAATTCCTTATTCAATCATTCTGTATATTTTTAAATCCAATTTATTTATCTATTCATTATTTTATAGAACAGATTTAGATGGGTTCTCTAAGTAATTGATAACAAAAGCTAAATGATTTGGTATTTCTTTAATATTATTTGCATATTCTTCAGCATTATTGAATTACAATTAGGATTCTATAAAATTATCATTATTGATATTGCAATCATCTTCCAAATATATACCCCCTCCTATTCTAGCTGTATTTCCAATTATAATAGATTTTTTAATATTAAAACCAGAAGATTATACTGACATATATAAACCTCCTCCAAAAGATTCTGCTACATTGTTGATTATTTTACATGATTTAATTTATAAATTAGTTCTTAGAGCAGTTATAGCAACACCTTGACTTCCATTATTAAAAAGGAAATTGGAATTGATAATTTAGATTTTTGATATAAGATCAATTTATTATGAAAAAAGTAAACATCCAAATTGTTTGATTGAATTATAGATACAATTGAAATTCTAAAATTTAATATAATTAAAATCAGAAATTTGAATAAAAAACAACCCCTTATTGCATTATTAACAATAATTGTGTTCAAAAGTAATATCTTTAAAATAAAAACCATTTTAATTAGAGATACTTTACAAATATATTAGAGAGCTATCTAAATAAGTATTTTTTTGAAGAGAATTAAGAATTATATTAAAATAATCTTTCTAATTACTTTCAGTATATTGTTAAATAATGTTACATCCTCTAATATTATACATTCTTTATACATAATCTTAATAAGAACTTACATCATTTTTATAAAGCTAAGTATTTTTAATGATTAAATGTTCTATTTAAATTATAGATTAAATCTATTATATTTATGTTACTTAAATTAACTTGAATGAATATAACATTTAAATATTATCAATAATAACATTATAAAGCTATAATTTAGGTAAATTTGTAAATTAAAAAATAGAATTGATAATAATTCCTTCTATAACAAAATCATATATATAGATTATACAATTTTGAAAAGATATCATAGAATTCTAATTATTTATAGTATCTGTTATTTCTTGGATTAATAAATCTCTAATTTTTAAGAAATAATTCAACCAAATTTCTTAATTTTAAAGGATTCTCATATTTTCTATGGTTATTATATTCTCTTTAGCTTTAGATGATGAGAATTAAACATTTATTATTTAATTGAGCAATGAAATACAATTTGTAATTTAAATATTCTTTAATAAAATAATATTTGATGATTTAGAGGGAATAATAGTGAATATAGTAGGAGCAATTCTATTAAAAATATTTGTAAAAAGTGCATTTACTACATTTAGATTCAATGCACTATTTGATGAATAAATACTAATGCATCCTGAACCTTTTTCAATTGATAATAAATTATTTTCTATCTAATTTATAATAATATTAAATAGTTATATTTAGCCTCGTTCAGTGGTTGTGATATCAAAAATAGAGCTTTACATTGAAAGAATTTTTGAAAATGTACAATTTATACAAGACATACTTTAAACTGAAAATTATCCTGCTCCTCCAATATTCTTAATCTATAAAATTTAGAAAATAATTTCATTTAAGTTTTATTGATTTAGACTTTGATTGAATTACAATTCATAATATTTAGTCCATAATTATTAAGATAGATAATTGTGATTATTTATAGTATAATTGAAAAGCGTTATATCAGCTGACATTATTGCAATAAAGGGATTCGAAGAATTAGTAAATGCATTATTTTTACAAATAAAATTCACAATTTTTAATTTACTTAAGGATGAAGAGATGTACAAAAGACTGGCTATTTCTCTTATTGCAGTACTAGTATAAGAATGAAGAAAGTTTTCTTCATATTAAATATTTTAAAGTAAAATGTTTGCCATTTTATCTGATTCTATAATTAATAAAGAAATCAGATTAATTAAAGATGATTAAATGAGGATATTTTCAGTAAATGTAACATTAATTATCTTAATCTAACGAGTAACATATGATAAATTTTGTTAACTTGGATTAATTTAGATTATAGGTTCATCAATACTTAGAATATTAAATATTTGTATATTGGTAATTTATATACTAGTAAACCCAAAAATATATAGTAATTTATTTGTTTTATTGGTTATTAAACAATTAAAGGATAGAGGAATTTTAAAATCCAGGATGGAATTTTAATATGTGATATTTGTTATTGATATATAAGTATTTTCTGATAAGTAAAATATCACTTAATCATGATTATCAACAATTAAAAAATGTGATATGTGAATTTCTTAACTATTCACACAAAATAGTTATATGTTTTCATTTTATTTAGAAGATTTATAATTTTCTATTATTGTAAAATCTTCAAAGTGTATAATAAGTGAATTTGTTGAAAATGTTGAAAATATCAAAATTATATTGGAAGCCTAAAAATGATTTTGATTTGCTTTAAAATTATAAATGCTACAAATTAATTGATTTTTCAACAATATTTAAGTAATTGATAGGAATTACGAAAAAGAGTATTTATTTTAATATATATTTATCTAAATCATTGAAATTTTATTACTAATTGATAAAATAACAGATGCTTCTAAAAAGTTTAAATAAAATTGAAAATCAGATATACTTACTTCTATTTAATTTGTGCAATTTATTAAATATGAGTGAGAGAAATTATTATTTTTTATTATTGTATTAAATGCATTTAGATATCTTTATTATTAGGAATAACTAATAAAAAAACTAAAGATTGATGAATTTCTTAAAAGTGATTAATCTAAAATAAAGTTTGTTAAAGATATTATAGATTAAATTTTAGATATTTTAAATAATGCTGATTCTATAAAAGTACAATTTAAAATTTATAAATTTGTTATTTAAATTATTCCCTATACTTAATATGATTAAAAATTAAATAATGAGGAATTGATAAATTTAGTATTTTATATAGTAACATTATTCAAAATAATTTTACCAAATATTTCTGAAATGAATAAGGAATCAATATTTTATATTAAACTTTAATTTATAGTAAAATTTGAAAGTATTAAATCAATTTTATTATTACCATTTTAGAATATAAAGAATTAATCTGCATCAATTACAAAACTTAAATTACTAATCTCTATTTAATCAAAATTTCTGAATGTATTATTAGTAGCTAAAGTAATTTCTAATTATTGTTTTGATTATAATATGAAATCTACTCTTTTTAAAGTTAATACTTTTTGTTTTAGTAAAGTCTAGAAATCTATTGGTATAAATAGAAAACATGATTTTCTTGAGACTAAAAAAGTGAAATTAACTGTTAAAGATTAAATTCCAATTTAATTACAATATTAGGTATTGATCATGGATTCATACATTCTATTAAATCTTGTAAAATCACATGATATATATGAAATATCAAAAATAAATTTATCTTTACAATCTTAATTAAAACAATATCTAACGATTTCATTATATTAATCATAATATATAGAAGGATCTTAATATGGTTTTATGCATTTCTTAGTATATATGTAATTTTCCTGATTTACAATAAAATTTGGAAAATTAAGCTAATGATGATATTTGATTTTCTTACTTATATATCTTTATCAGAACGAGTTAAACATACTTCACATAATGGATGACAATAGGTACAGGTTTTGCTTTTCTCTGTTATAATATATTTTTTATAATAATTTAATGGACATATTTTACAATACGAACCAGTCTAATGACATAAAATGCATTCAGGATCACAAGTTTATTTTTAAATAGCATTTAATGAATTTAGGAAAGTGTTGTAAACTTGTTGTTTCAAATATGGTACAAATTAAAGAATAAAACTTTATATCTTATTTGTCTAATTTTAGAATAAGTTGTCCTCCATATTCAATTCTTCATTTTAATAACATTTATTATTTTCTATTATATATTTATCTTAGCACACAACACATTTAATTTCTTTTTCAATATTAATAGAGCATAAATTGCAATTTTCAATATATTATTAACAATTAGATATTTCTGGGGCAATAGAAAAGTCATCATTCATTGATGAAACACATTACTCTTAACTCTATAAATTTATATAAGATCTTTAACAATTTTCAATATCAGGTATTTGTTTTAAGCATAACCCTAAAGTGAAATCAAATATATAGTTTTCTTCACAAAGTGCACAACCTATTTAGACAACACTTAAATATCTTAAATTAAATTCAGAAACTTTCACTAATGAACATACATTTAAATCATTTAATTAGTATTCAAAACAATATATGCAATTTTTGATTTCACATATTTTACATTGTTTATCAAATGAATAATAAAATGGTGGTAAACAAATGAATTCAGATTTTTAATTAATTTCAGATTATTATTTACAATAACCATCAATTAATTTATAATTACTATAACATTTTATACATTCTAAAGTAGTTAATGTCAATTAACAAACCTAACAATTTTAAATGAAACATTCATAACAAATGAATTAATCAGATTCTTAAAAATCCATTTATTAACAAAATTATCTAAAATAGATTGAGGCTAGTTAAAATTCCTTAAAAATTCCATTAATATTTGGAAAATTGACTTATATTGCTAATGAATGAGTATAATGAATTGGATTTATTTATATTCCATCATAATAATACTAGATTTAACCAAAAGGTATATATGCTTCTTCAAAAGTAATATTAGGTTTAACAACATAGACTCTTTAGCAAGTAGGATACTCAAACCATGATTTTGGGTTGTTTACACATTCAAAGCAACTAATAAATTATTCCTTTATCATTGAAGGACTAGGTATTTTAATAACAATTATACCATTTAACACATTCTCCATCAATTTCAAAATATCCATATTTACAATTCTAACTTATTATTGAATCTTCATCTTTAATTAATCTTAGATTTGATTATTAGTATGATTAACATTGATTCTAATTATCTATTGTATTAAATGGACAAATGCAAACTTTATATTCAGGAAGATATGTTCTTTATGATTCTATTGAACAAGATAAACAATCCTGATTGGTTGGACCATCACATTCTAAACAACTATAATGACAACTTAATTATGTAAGTTTTTTATAACAATTATAAAACTCTAGATTCCTCATTTATATGTTTAAATAATTAGTTTTAGTTTATAAAATATTTCCATATTATACTTTAAATTAACAATTCTAAAATTAACGTACATCAAAGTTTGCATCATAATTAAAAGTAGTTTTACCTTCATAAAATAGTATTTTCACACTAAATTTATTTTTTTATAATTCAACTTTAAGATAATGCCATAAACTAATTTTATTTTAAATTAAAAATCTTTTCTATAGAAGAAAGGAATTATTGGAAAAATCAATAGAGACATCTGGAAATGTATAACTATAGGTAGTGATTTCTATTTCATTTTTATCTGCACTAAAATGATAAAATAATTAGAATGGTGATAAATTTTGATTTTAGAATATTGGATCTAATAAATTACCTGATATTTTGATTAGTTAATAAGTGAGTTGCTAAGATGGATTTACAATTTCCTTAACTTTAATCCATCCTACTAATATAAATGAATCACAATTTATTTTCTCAGAAATAAATGTATTCATATCTTAATTCTTAACATCCATATCTCCAATCAAAAATTTAGCATTTTGTGAACAAACACAAGTCTTAATTGAATTATATACTTTATTTGCAGAATCAATAAATGAAAAATTAAGATTTATACTTGAAATTTATAAGTCTTATAAAATAATAGGACCTGGAAAATATGTAAATATTTGGTCTATCTATAAATCATGTATCTTTGAATTACGTACTATAAAATTACCTCCAAAAGATAATATTAAATTCTTGTCTTTAAATGGATATTTCATCTATTTTGTTGTTTCAAGTAATATTTCAATTCTTTTCATAATTATCAATTTAAATATATCCTATAATGGCCATACTACAATCTATAAATAAAACCAAGTGTTTTCATAATCAAATGGATTAATAATTATTTCAAATCTATTTTATTCATCTGAATTATTAATAAATAGAAGAGTCTTTGTTATTTTCTTTGAAACAGAGTCTAAACAGTCATAATAAATCAGATTTAAACTTTTAGATTCCTAATCAATTGCATTATGTAAATGAAAGCAATAATTATCAAATAATCCAAATTTTCCTATCTAAGTGATTGTACTAAGAGGATTATACTTTGACCAAATTCCATATGTTATACAACTATTACTTGAATATTCATTCTCTTTCGGTTCAAAAATTTTCCTTAAATATTGATTAGTAGGATTCATCTTAATGGTCCCAAAAACACTCGTCATCTTCATACTTAATATGAAAATTAAATGTAAAAGTATCATTAGATTAAAAAATTAAACTTAATATAATCAATATATATATATATTTCTTATGCTATTTTGCAATTAAAATTTCTTAATAAATAAAACTTTCAATTAAGCTATCATCAGTCATTTATATAAAATTTAAATTTTTCATCTCTTTTTCTTAATTAAAATTTGAAGTTCTATATTTATTTTTTACCTTGATTTTTTATGTTAAATATTTATTGTTTAATGTAACAAATTTTGTAGCAGATATATCATCAATAATATTTGAAAGTAATTATAATGTTTTTCATATCAGAAATATTGCAATATTGGTATTTTCAGACCTTTTATAATTGAATAGATTCTATTTAAATATTCTTTAATTTATTTTAACAACTAAAAACCTAAACCAATAATAAATTTAAAAAATATGATATTATAATTTTGATGAATAAAATTAAAATCATTGTTCAATATATTGAATACAAATCTAATCATATTATCTTTAACTCTATTATTCTCCATCTGATACTTTTTAGTTGGTTTCATCTTTCTCCTAGTGTTCTAGATTTTAAAATTATTGAATGACAGAAAGTTCATCCTCAAATTCCTTCTAAGATAAACAATTTTGATATACTTTAGCTTTAATTAGATATTCTGGTGAAGATGGTTATTAATATTGATTTTCTATTTGAGGATATAAAATTAGTTCATTATCATAATAAGGTTCATTGTTATTAAATAAAAACTCTTCTTTAGAAGAATCATTTTTGAGGGCCTCATAATTTAGATTACAATTCTTTTAAGCTTCTTCACAAAAATACTATTATGAATCAGAAACTTTGCTAATTAAATAAGTGCATAAATAATAATACCTTATGCACAATGGTATCATCAAAAAAGGAAATAGTGTGTTGTTTTTCATTTTATGGATAATATTTCCTCTTAAATATATTATGAATTAAACTTTTTTAAATTCTATTAAAAATTATATTTTATTCTTTTTTTTATATATAAATAAGTAATTTATAAAGAAAAGTTTGATTTTCAATCAAAAAAAGTACTTAATTATTTTTAAATTAGAGTGCAATCTTGGTTGTCAACTAAGACTGGTGTTTCTTGTCTAAAGAAATAGAGAAATATGGTTTAATTTTCATATTTTGAATGAAACTTAAATTAAAATTAATATTCTTACCCAACCATGAATAGGAATACTGGCTTCATAAATTCCTCTTCCTTAAATACAATTATTTCTAAATTCACCAACATATCTTGTGTTATCATAAAATATAAGCTCTCCATTGCCATGCATTTTTCCTTTCTGCACATTACCCTTATATACACAACCATTAGCGAATTCAAATTTACCTTGGCCATGAATTTTGCCATCTTAAAATTGTCCGGTATAAATAGTTCCATTTTTACGTATTTCAGTTCCTTCTCCAATTAATTTATTATTAAGCCAAAAACCTCTGACCTCTTTTCTAGAATTTACAAATTTGCCTATTCCATTAGCCACATTATTAACAAAATTTCCATCGAAACTAAACAAAAATCAATTAAATATAATACTAATCCCCATTTGGATAGATCATTCTGGCTCTTCCATTTAATTGATTATCAATCCAAATCCTTTTAATATTAGAATATAAGATATACCCTTCTAATAAATTTCCTTCCTTCTACCAATGTTGTTTTCCTTAACCATTTCTTTTTCCATTTAATGTTTATCCGAAATAAATACTTTGATCTGGCATCAGTAAATACTGACCTTACAGATTAGGGAATAAATCTCCCAATTCTTAATGTACAAGTTGAACTTTCGGATGCAGCTCTCCTATGCTGCTTAGATTCATTCCTATTTACATATATTAATCTAATGAGTCTGATAAATCCAAATCAGTTTATAGAGTTGTTTGATTTACTATAATGATATCTAGTAATGTACTTGAATCAGGTAATTTAATATTGAATTGTTTAATGTGTTAATCTTTAGTTGATACACATCCCATGGTTTATTATTTTGATAATATAAATTGATCATAAATTAGAATTCAAGAACATATACTAACTCTTAAATTAAGAATTGAATATTCAAGATCAATGTTCTTAAAATAACATTTAATATATTTATTTTTAATTACTTAGTTAATATATTTCATACTCTTAAATGTAAATGAAGAGAAGTAAAATTATGTATTTAATTAAAACATTTATTATATAAAGACTATATGAAATTTACTATATTGCATTAATATCATATTATTATGAATGAACAATTTGAATTAGAATAATAATATTTTAAAAAATATTATTTTAATGAATTTATCTAGGAATGGATCTAATAAGTTTTCAAGACATGATCGCATTGCATATTCTTAGATTTTGGATTTAAAGAAGAATAAAATTTATCCATCTTCAACTAAGAATTCTGATTAATCAAATGGATATTTTCTGAGTTTAGTTAATATGAAAGCACCAGATTATGGGTAAGCTTAATTATTAAATAATGATGCTTTAAAAAATAAAATAAATGAAAAAAGAAATTAAAAATCAATGGATAATGAGTTAAATAAATTTGTTACTAGAGTTGAGACTAAATTGATTTCATCACCATTAAAAAAAAAAGTAATTGCTATTGATACAAAAATTGATATACCTACTTAAATTAAACCATACTCTCTCACTCCTCAATCTCGATTATAATCATTTCGTATTGCAAGTCCTTCATAAAAACCTAGATCATCGAGTTAAAACAAAAGAAATGAAATCTACTATCTAAGTAAACTATAAAGGGCTTTCGATACCAATGGTTCTGACTACTTCTCTCGTATGTATCGTCAACATTTCCATCAAACCTATTAAGGATTAAATTGTAGACTTTTTTCTCAAAATAATAATGACAATAATAAATCTCATAAATTACCCAAAAAACATTAAAGTATATTAAATTCATAACAAAATAAGGATAATTCACTTTGTTTTTTGATTTAGATGAAACATTGGTGCATTGTAATGAAACACCTTCAATTCCTTGTGATGTTGTCTTGGAAATAAATGTTTCTAAACATCAAATAATAAGAGCTGGAATTAATGTTAGACCATATGCAAAAGAAATGTTAAAAAATCTCTCCAATTATTTTGAAATAATTATCTTTACTGCTTCACATAGTAGTTATGCAGAAAAGGTATAATAAGAATATTTGATTAGGTTTGCAATTATTTAGATCCTGATTCTAATATAATTAGTCATCGATTATTTAGAGACAGTTGTACTTAAACTAATACTTCCTTATATACTAAAGATTTAAGATTATTTTGTGAAAATACTAATAGATAATTAAGTTAAGTTGCTTTAATTGACAATGCATCTTATTCTTATGCATGGCAAATAGAAAATGGAATACCAATACTACCATTTTATGATAATAAAGATGATAGAGAATTGATAGATTTAGAGAAATATTTGAAAAACATGATTGGTGTATCTGATATTAGAGAATATAATAGAAATAATTTAAAATTACATTTGTTTGTAGATCAACGTGGACCTTATAAAGTATTAGAAAATCTATTTGGTAAACCATAATAACTTTTATGAGTATTAGAAGATTATTAATAAAATTCATTCAATGTTTTTTTCTTAATTTAGCATCAGCTCTTTATGCTTCTTCTAATTTAGTTTTCATTTTCATAGCTAAATCAAAATTACCAGTCTTCCATGCAATTAAATCTTCTCTAAAATTAGAATCTGATGGTAAAGGATGACTAAATATATTAATAATAATATACTCTTCATCTTCTAATACATAAGGTTCTGTATTAATATTCCATATTTCTTAATTATCTATAAACATATTTTTATGCCATACACCATTAATTTTAGATATTTCTCTAATAATTTCATTTTATTTTAATTCTTTAAATTTTAAATATCCATCTTTTTAGAATCTCTTTATAAATTCATCATTCACTTCATATATAAAACCTTCATAATAATCATCTAAATGTTCTCTCCTTTTTTTCCAAATTGAACCTGGATAAGGATTCAATTTGATTTCTGCTACTAATTTGTGTTTCAAATTAATAACATGAAATTTTCCTACCATCTAGAATAATTTATCACCATACAATGTTCCAGTATATAATCCAGAACAAGGTAAAAATATAAGTTCATTTTTAGATTCATAAAAATAAACTTTTGTATATCCTTAATTAATTCCACTTACTGAATTAGCTGAAATACTTGCTATAGTACATAAACGATGATTCACTCTAATATAATAATTTATTTCATTACCTATATCCTTTTCCATAAATCAATAAATTGCTTATTGGTGGATGATGTGATACTTATTCTGCATAAATAGGACAACCATTTATAAATCCTGAGTATGTTTCTCCAAGAATAGGATTAAATGGTTTCCACATATTTAAATATAAGATGATTGTACCATATCCATAGGGTAAGAAGTTTTTAAATTAAAATATATAATCCTTTTAGACTGCTTCATCTAAATATTATAAGTAAGTAAGTGAATTAGCATATCTCTAAAGATTACTTTATTTTTCAAAGACATAAACAGGTAGACTAATATTCATTATAGACTTTCCAGAAGCTATATTTGATCCTATTTATGACAGTAAGTAAGAAAATACCTTTTTTTATTCTCTTAATCCAATCTAATCAACATATAGCAAACCACCTTAATTTTAATCTACTTTCCAATAATTTTTTAATAAGAAATGTCCTTCTGATGTAGATTTCAAGAATTTTGGTTCTACTTTTATAGGTTCCATTTAAAATTCCTTATTTAAACAAACATTCCAATGTTTATTTTTTTAAACAAATTCTAAAAGTTCCATTAAATTATTAGGTATCTTGTTATCTAATTCTATTGATTAATTGAATTTTTCAACAAATAGATCCTCTGAATGATTTGACAAAGTCATAGCTGTTTATAATTGTTATTATTATTCAAAATGTAAATCTCTAAAATTTATGACGTAATCAATATGATCTGCTAAAAAATTATATTATTCCATAAATGATATATTTTAAGAATCAAAAAAGGGATTATCATCAAGTTAACAAATAATCTAAATTATTGTTTATTGAGGTATCAAATCATTTGAATAACTTTAATTTCTTTTCTAAATTCCATTAAATGAATATTTTTAAATTTATTTCCTGAATAATTTAGCTATTGAATAATTTGGATTTACTGAATTAAGTTATTTTTCTATAATACAATCAGATGTCTTATATCTCATAATATATAATTATGTTTCTCTCTAATAACCAAATATTGATTTAATTCTTATTTGATCTACAACCTTATAATCTTAATAATCAAACATTGTCTATTCATTTGCTATGTATTTATTAAACCCATTATCTTCATACAGAAAATGTTTAATTACTTCAATATCATATTCTAAAATGATTTGAATTTAGTATAATCCTTTCTTTGAAATACTCTTATAAACATTGTTTCCTACTCTATAAAATTCTCCTTACTTAAATTTATCTACTGTCATATCATGTAAATATGCAGGTACTTTAGGAGGTTATTCAATTTATGGAGTGAAAACTTGAAAATAAGGGTTTTCTTCTTAATTCAAATTAGTTTGGATATCTTGTTAAGTCTTTTTTAAATTATCTGGAGATTCAGGTTATTCTGAAATCCTTTACATATCTTTATTATTATTATTATTGGATGATTTAAATTCTAACCAATTATTATTATTATGATTATCACTTTTACTCAAATCTAATTGATCAGATCTATTCAATGGTGAAGTGGAAACTGTTTATTTTGTAAATTCAACACTCATCCTTCTTGGTTAAATAGGTTTTGTATCACAAATTGGACTCAAAAGATTAAACCATTTTTTAGCATATTCTTCATCATCAGATCCCATTATCAATTATTTATAATGATCAAATATTGCTTAATTATGTGCAATTAAAATAAAACAATAATGTAAACTTTTACTCTTCTTCTAACCAACCCACATTATTCCATATTTTGATAATTACATTTCTATATTACCTTCTTTTCTCGGTACAATTAACTTTTTATGAGTTAAATTCAATTCTAACTTTTTTGTTCTCCATATTCCAAGTGTCTCACCCTTCACATGTAATTCACCTATTATCTTTGAATCATCTTCCAACTCTAAACTTTTAAAAACTGAACAGAACATGCTCTTTTAAGCCTCAACAGGTAAATTAAACAATCCTTAAATTTCATCTACTTCAAGATCAGGATAATTTTCAGGATTTATTTCAATTTCATTATTTTATTGATTCTTTATTGAAAATATCAAAAATTTCAATTTCTGTCTTTGAGCTTCTGGTACATTTGATTCCATAATTTGATATTTCTAATAATATTCTTCAAACATGTAAGTGAGGATATAAATTATATTACTATTATTAATTTTTATACAAATATCATATAATTAATGACAAGTGTAAAATTTTATACATACATTGCTATTAAATAATAAATATAATCATTTTCTATCAAATTTCTTTCAAATTTACAAAAATCAATAAATGAAATACTAATCATTGAATTTTTTATTTCAAAATTAATGAGTTTATATTTCCTATAAATATAATATCAACCTATAAATCTAAGCGGAGTAATTATCATTCTAATTCTGGGATTAAAAATGCCTGAAGATATTGCTTATTGACAATCAAGAGACTCTAAATTGAAAGCACTAAATAATAAAAGAAGAACTTATAAACTAGCTGCCATTAATAAGAAAAACATTAAGGGAAAAGAAATGCGAAATGCGAAGGGTAAAAGGGGGGTTTCTATGTATCAGCTGAAGCTATATTTATGCTTGATATAAGAAATAAGAGGATATTAAACATGAATATTTAAGTATTAATAATTTAAAGCCACAAGTCAGATAAACTCTTAGAATTCTTAAATTAAGTTAACTTCATAATGATGTTTTTTTTAGAATCAACACAGCCACTATTGAAATGATTAGAAAATTTGAACTATACATCACTTATAGATATGCATCAAGAAAACTAATAAAAATATCATTTAAAGAGAGGTTATTCTAAAATCTATGAATAAAGAATTCCTTTGACTTCAAACAATATAATTAAAGAATAATTAAGTAAATCTGTAATCCACTATATTGAAGATCTTATTCATAAAATAACAACAATTGAATGATCTGATATTATTGATATATTTATTTATATGTAATTAATATCCTTTATCTTTATAAATAAATTATTAAAAATAATATATTTCAAGAAATTTTGTAAAATATATAATTATTTATTAAATAAAACTTTGTAAAATCTAATTATGTATTTATATCATACTAATTATCTAATAAATTGAATCAGACTAACAATTTATAGAATTCACTTTCATATTTAAGTAATTAAAAAAAAATTAATTTTACTGATCATTTTTAATTGAAAACAATAGAATTCAAATCAATCTTATAATAGTAAAATTCTTTATTGATACTGGATTTAATTATTATTTTATTGATACTTTATTTTTGAGAAGAAGGAAGTACAAAAATTGTATAATATTGAGAAAAGACGTTTTTAAATAGTAAAATTTACTATAGATTATCAAGAAAATTATATTTGTGATTCCAGATACTCAAGTAAGGAGTGATAAAATCAAACAACTATTACAACATATGTTGGTAGTACAAGAAAAAGTAAGGATATATATAAATTTACTATTTTTAGGATAGATATTCTTGGGAATAAATTTTCAATCATTAAATTATAAAGATATAAGAAGGTTAAATTAATTAATGAAGGAGAAAGATGAGTTGTCACGTTCTGAAAATCTTAATTAATTACACTTAGAAATGAATTTGGTTATTGGATATTTAAATTCACCTGAATAGATACCTTTAGAAACATAAATTAATCAATTAACCTAAGGAAATGATGAGAAACAATCCATCGATTATATTAATTATGAGAAAGTATTTATTTGATATATTAATTTTATAGGGATTGAAATAATAAATTAATATGTGACTGAATAAAAAACTAGAGAGGCAATTTAAAAATAGATAATACATACTTTATGTTTGAAGGAAATATTGCTTTTTTTTCAATTATGTTATTTATAAAATAATAAAGATGTCACAATAAGGAATAATTAAGTTTACATAAGAATTATATTATTAAACAATTTTTGTATCTCTAAAAATTAAAATGTGCATCTTAAAAGAATGTATGATTAATTAATGTCTACCTATCCTGATAAATTCAATAGAGCAATTTGGGGTAGGTACTTAATAAGTTTCGAATATATGTAAATATTGACTATCACCAAGAATGATATTAAACATGCAGAGGATTTTATTTGGAAATTTATTTGAAAGAAAAGCAAATCATAGATAATAATTAATCTGATAACAAAAGGAAAAAAAAAATTAAAATAAGTTTTGGATTTAAATTTCGATCATCATACTTTCTTTTAATAAATTTATCAATCAGTTATTTGTTTAAATCCATATTTAGATTTAAAGATATAAATATGGATTTTAATTTATTTTATGAAGAAATACTTATACTAATCGATACATAATCATTAGAAACAATTGGCAAAGGCTTAAATTTATGAAATTTTTATAATTAAATTAATCTATGACTTTTTATTTTTATAAACTCTAAAAATATTATCAATAATTTAGAGTTTAACTATTTGATATACTACCAATAGTTTATCTTACATTTGTTGCAGCACTTTTTTTTGGCTGAAATGAAATATTAGATTAATTTTATTAAATTTCTGGGTTCTAAGAAAATTACTGTTCTTAAGACTTATTTCCGATTGGCAAAGTAGTCAACTTTTAAATTTATGGGGGATTCTACATCTATTATTAAGCTGGTTAAGAAATAGTGAATCGAGTATCTGTTTTAAATTTCCCATTATTATTATTATTTTAAAATTACTGTTAACTACTTGGATTTGTTTATTGACATAATTTTTAAGATTATAAAATCATTGATTATTATGGTTATTAAATTGATTATTATGTCTATTATAATGGTTAAAATGGAGATTATATTGATTATTATGTTTACTATAATGGTTGAAATTTAGATTAAATTGGTTATTATGTTTACTATAATGGTTGAAATGTAGATTAAATTGGTTATTATGTTTACTATAATGGTTAAAATGTAGATTAAATTGGTTATTATGTTTACTATAATGGTGATAATGGAGATTAAATTGGTTATTATGTTTGCTATAATGGTTAAAATGTAGATTAAACTGGTTATTATGTTTACTATAATGGTTAAAATGTAGATTAAATTGGTAATTATGTTTGCTATAATGGTTAAAATGTAGATTAAACTCGTTATAATGTTTTAAATGTTGTATTATTTGGAAACTATCTTGATTATTATGTTTAATTTATAGTCTATTATTAGGATGATTAATTTGAATTAGATTGTATTGTGTTATTCAATTTTAAATTATCAAAAGTTTNAAAAAAAAATTAAAATAAGTTTTGGATTTAAATTTCGATCATCATACTTTCTTTTAATAAATTTATCAATCAGTTATTTGTTTAAATCCATATTTAGATTTAAAGATATAAATATGGATTTTAATTTATTTTATGAAGAAATACTTATACTAATCGATACATAATCATTAGAAACAATTGGCAAAGGCTTAAATTTATGAAATTTTTATAATTAAATTAATCTATGACTTTTTATTTTTATAAACTCTAAAAATATTATCAATAATTTAGAGTTTAACTATTTGATATACTACCAATAGTTTATCTTACATTTGTTGCAGCACTTTTTTTTGGCTGAAATGAAATATTAGATTAATTTTATTAAATTTCTGGGTTCTAAGAAAATTACTGTTCTTAAGACTTATTTCCGATTGGCAAAGTAGTCAACTTTTAAATTTATGGGGGATTCTACATCTATTATTAAGCTGGTTAAGAAATAGTGAATCGAGTATCTGTTTTAAATTTCCCATTATTATTATTATTTTAAAATTACTGTTAACTACTTGGATTTGTTTATTGACATAATTTTTAAGATTATAAAATCATTGATTATTATGGTTATTAAATTGATTATTATGTCTATTATAATGGTTAAAATGGAGATTATATTGATTATTATGTTTACTATAATGGTTGAAATTTAGATTAAATTGGTTATTATGTTTACTATAATGGTTGAAATGTAGATTAAATTGGTTATTATGTTTACTATAATGGTTAAAATGTAGATTAAATTGGTTATTATGTTTACTATAATGGTGATAATGGAGATTAAATTGGTTATTATGTTTGCTATAATGGTTAAAATGTAGATTAAACTGGTTATTATGTTTACTATAATGGTTAAAATGTAGATTAAATTGGTAATTATGTTTGCTATAATGGTTAAAATGTAGATTAAACTCGTTATAATGTTTTAAATGTTGTATTATTTGGAAACTATCTTGATTATTATGTTTAATTTATAGTCTATTATTAGGATGATTAATTTGAATTAGATTGTATTGTGTTATTCAATTTTAAATTATCAAAAGTTTATTTTTAATCAATTAGAATTGGAGCATTAGGTTTTTCATTCTATGGTAATGGGAATTTTTATTGAAACTGAGAATTTGGAGTTTAAAATAATAGTGTTTGAGGTTATTAAAACTAATTTGGAAATCCGATTTATTAGAATCCGTTTTGAGGAAATTATGATTAATTAATAATGTTATTATCTTACTTTAATTTCCCTTATTCATATTAAACAGTCTTTTTATTACCATTTTGATCTGAAATACAGCCATCCCCATGTTATAAATTTTGATCCCAAGATCCATCATAAGTTAAAATTTTATTTTAATATTACCAAATAAATTTTCCTTTTCCTTTTCTTAATCCATTCTCATATTCTCCCTCATATTTTTAATACATAATTTAATTCTCATATTTATATGCTATCATTTTTCCTTAACCTTCAATTTATTCTTTAAAAAATGATCCAAAAAAGAATTAACCCTCTTTTGATGAAATCTATTCAAACTTTACTCCATATTCAAATTCATCATGAGAAAAAATACCAAAATAAAGTATATCTTTATTTTTTAGTATTCCTTTACCATCTTTGAGATCAATAAAGTTTATATAACCATAATATTTATTTAATTCTTATTAATCGAAATCATCATTTTTTAAACAAATACCTATTTATTTTTATTATTCTGGAATTTTTGAAAATGTATTTTCAATTTCTTATTCAATCTCCTTTATTATTTCTTAAAATAATTATTTTTAAATAATGTCTTGCAAATATTCATAGTATTTTTTTGTAAACATTTTATTTTGCTTAGTCTCTTTCAACCAAATTGGATTTTATATATCGAACTTTTAGGAATTTAAATAATTTATTATCTAAATAGCCAACTTCTCTTAATCTTTTCCCTTCTTTTAAAAGTAAGTTGTCAAAATTTAGAAACCTTTTTAGGTAAAATTTTCCTATCTTATGAATTATAAAGCATCTTCAAAATGAGGGTTAATAAATTTTTCCCATTACAACGCCCCTTCCATTTATTACTTGAATTATAATAGCTTAGTTAAATTAGGAAATTCCTTCTTGATCTTTTCTTCTTACTTAATAATAAAATCTTTGATTTTTAAGTATTTGGTTTTATTCTCCTTCAACTTCTTAAAGCAATCCTAACATATTGCATAACTTGATGAGATTTCTTCTATTTAGATATATTCTACATCTTTTTTAGGGCAAGAAAAACATTAATTGGATTTAGCCATTGAATTTCTATTAGATTATAATTTTATTGATGTTTATATATATATTTAATAATTCTTCATTTATTTTCTCTTTGAAAATTTGGATCATCTTAAAGTATACCAGAAATTTAGCTAACCATGTCCTTCTAAGGCTCTTGATTAGAATCTTAAGAGGTAGTTGAAAACTTTCTGAATTCAGTTACTAGTTTATTTTGCATTTATTAATATTTTTCACTGTTTGAAGGTATATTTTTTTAATCATCTTTGTCATCTTATTATTAATTTTTTGCAGCTTATTAAGCATTCTTGAATTGCAACCTGAACACATTCGATAAATTTTCAGGTATATTCTCATCAATTTACAATTCTTCAATATATCCTGTTTCTACTCTGAATAACCAGCCATGTACCATAACAGCTAGAAAATTAATAAAATATGATACGATGTCCGTCTTGCCAAGATTTCTATACGATTGGATTTTTCCACATATTAAGGACTTATTCTCTGACATTTAAGCATGATAAACATGCTACTCTCTCATTCTCATCTTCAAATTAATTTACAAGATGTTGATTTTTCTCATAAACATGTTTGATATTATTGAGCCAAAGATCTAGTAAACCACCTACAGAATCTTAATTCATGGCTGCCTTTACTCCTCCACAGAATGTATGACCCATAATGATGATATTATGGACTTTCAAATGTTCCACAGCATATTAGACTACACAATTTAACTAAAGTTAACAGGAACATACTTACATTTAAGTCTGTGATATTGACAACATTAGCTATGTTACGATGGATGAAGATTTCTCCTGGATCTGTCTCTGTCAATTCATTTGGAGGAGCTCTAGAATCAGAACATCCGATTAATAGATATTTTGGATTCTAGCCCTTAGCTAACTTGGAGAAGTAATCGGGATCTTGGGCTAACTTCTTTTACACATAGTTTTTATTTCCCGAAAGAGCCTTTGCATACTTTTAGATTTCTGATATTCCTTTTGAAACAACTTGATTTTGCATTATAATATATAAATTTTGGATATTAAGATTTAATTTATAAAATTCATACGTTAAATCAGAACTAATAAATTCTTACTTTTCTGACGTATTATAATGTTACTGTTAATTAATAACAGCATTTTAATATAATATTTTAAATAATCCAATCTAAAAAGTCATAACTGACATAAGTAGAATAAGTGTGTTATAAATAATAAAGATCAAAAACTGCAAGGTATAGAATGATGGTATTAATAAAATTTAATTTTGGTTAATATTTTTCTGTAATTATTTGTAAACCTTCAGTATAAATATCTTCAAGTATACTTAGTGCACTCTTAATTTAATTATTGTAATGGTTGTATATCTCTTAAAATTGATATACCAACAAATATAAATCATTCAAATATCAAGTATTCTCAAAAAAAATAGTATAAAAGAATTTAAAATTTTTGATTTTAAAATACAAAATTTTCAATCTCTTTCTTATTTCTCAATATTTTTTAAGCTCAATCTAAATGTATTTAAATAATATGTCATTAAACACACATTTAATTGATTTCTTCAACCATTACTTTATCATATTTTGAGAATTTATCAATATAAATTATTTTTCATGGGGATATCAATTAGCAATACATTTCATTTGGTATCAAACAACAATAATTTGTATAGATATGATTATGGAAATATTTAAGACTTAAATTATATTGAGGTTGCTGAACCATAATTTTTCATTGATTTCTTCAATAATAACATGATTGTTCATCAAATATTATGTAATTCAATAGTATTAATTTCTTTGTATTGCCATTAGGATTAATAACTTATGAAAGTCTAAATTGATGAAGTAATTAGGTGTTCATTTGATATAATATATATAATAATATTGGCATATTCTTTTTAATAAAACAACTAGAGGTTAACAATGAATCAAATTGATTAAAAATATTCTTTACCTCCTCTTCGTATGTCTGAAATACAAGATTTACTTCTATAATCTAATGAATAACATAAAAAGGATATTATTTTAAGTTACAGGGATACAAAGAAAAAAAAACAAAAAGAAATTGCTGAATTAGAGAAATTTAAAATCATCGAAAGAAAAGGTGTTATATCTAATCAAGTTTAGTTTTCAATTCATAAAGTAAATTGTAAGGGCAAACCTTAGGAAAGAATTTAGATATATTTTTATGCAAAGAACCTATGATTGATGATTATCTTAAACGACATATTATTGATCCTTAAAGAAATTTAGAAAAAGGTCTGAAAGATAGTAAATATGAAATCATATTATTTTAGTAAAGACTGGAAAAAACTAGCTTTTAGATGGAAGATGTTTTGGAGATATTCCTGAAAACAAATTAAGTAAAAAAGAAAAGTAATCTAATGAGTATTGGAATTAATACAATACATAATTATCTGAATAAAGATATAAAATACTATTAGATTCTCAAACTGGTTTGCAAAAAAAAATAAATTAATAAAATAGACTCAAAGCTTTAAAGATCTTTGTACCTAATAAGTATTCACCTGGATATTTTGATAATCATCCTTCATAAATTTTAAGTTACACGTATAAATTATATATTAATTAGTGAAATGCATAAACATTCATAACCATAAATTTGGAGTCCAAATAGTTTTTATGTTGATTCATTTGATGATAATCTAAATAAATAATTGTCAAAAAACAATCTTAAACTCAGTCACACTATATCAAAAGATTAAAGTAAATAATCTATAAAGGTTGATTGAATAAAATAAGATAATTGTATTTTTCAAAAATGATAACTGATATTAATAATATATTTATTTTGTTTTGATTAATGAGTATTTTTTTAATTATAATTAATGATTAACATATATATAATAGTAATATAGACATATTAATATTTTATAAGTAGAAAATAATTTAAATAATTATGCTTGACTACTTCATTAGGAGGAATACATAATAATATTTAACTTTGGGAGTATAGCTCAGTTGGGAGAGCGTAAGACTGAAGATCTTAATGTCATGGGTTCGATCCCCATTGTTCCCATTTTTTTAATTTAATTAATAATAATTACTTAATTTTTTATTATAATTATATAATATATTATAATTTGTATATAATTCAAATACATTTCAAAGAAATAATACTATTTCAGAACCATTAAATAAGAGATAAAAATTTGATATTAAATGGAGTTTATTATGATTTTTATACAATAATAAATGAACATCGTTGATGTGTCATTATTATTCATCTACTTATTCACCTTCGGCTTCTTCTTCATAATATTCTTCCTCCTATCCTGCTTAAGATCTAAAAATTGATAATATTATATATTGTACTTCATCCAATTAATCATAGGTTCACTTAATTATCTATAATGATTATCTAATTATTCATTAAACAAGAAATCTTGATTTGCTTCATTTTTCCATTCTTCAGAGTTCTCAAACCATTTAATTAAATATTTCTCATCTATATATGAATAATCATAAAATCCTTTTAATACTGTTCCAAAATATTTATCATCAATATTTCTTTTCTTCATTAAATATTAGATATTTAAAATCATATGACACTAAGCTAATTAAGGATCAAGATCATTAAAATATGTTGTTAATAAATCATAATTTCTTTCAAAACCTTTTGTTGGGTTTTCATCAAACATACTCTAAAAAATCAAATAACAAACTCTATCTTTAAGATGTCTATCCAAATTGAATTTTTTTATATCTTAAGTAATCATCATGTCAGCAACATCATTATCTATTTTATCATTAACAACTAATCTATTATAAGTGTCTCTCAATTGAACTAAAAATGTTTCTAATAATTCAGAATCTAATCCAACTTCTGCAGCCAAAACTTTCTTCTTTTTTTATTTATCCTCTTTATTTCCACTCTATCCTTCACTATTAATCATCTAAACTTCATCCTAACCATTCTTTATTGATTAATTTCCACCAGGAGGATTCTTTAAGATATAACTTGCTAATCTATGAGTATTATCCAAATCACTGACATGTCCACAAGAGTCACATTATCCATAAATTATCTTACCTCCCTTGATTTTCATATACATCTCTGGATATCTACATTTTTAACAAAGAATATATTTCTCAATGAATTTATCCAATTATTTTCTTATTTAATCATCTTAAAAGGCACCATTTATAATACAAGTCACATCATTGTCATTTTTAAATTTATAAGATGTTTAGGAACCAAACTCGAATCCCAAATATTTTAAAGGATCTAAGTTAAATAAATGTCAAAACATTGATCATGACAATTTAAAGCTTTAGCTATCTCATGTAAATTCATTATGTTAGTCTTTATACCATTTCCTCTACCTTCAATTTTAAGTTAAGGTTTTGGCATCTTGTATCTATAATTTGAGTCTTCAATATATGAAGGTATGTTCACTAAGACTGTCTTAATCATTAATTAAATTGTTTAGAATTTTTATATTATTTAAAATCATATTAAATAATTGTAAATACTCATATTATGAAATCTTAATAAGTAAATATTTATGCTATTACTTTACTTAACTTGAGACGACTTTAATTTTACACTATTATTTGAATTTAGTAAATGTAGAAATTTAGATAATAATTATATAGCATATCATATTAAGATGATAAATTATGTTGGATCATGATAACAGAGTATCTAAAATCAACATAATTTATTAATTAAATTTGTTATTGTCTTTTTTTTTGTATTAAAAACATTGATCATTATTAAAAAATTTACTTTTTTTTTTCAATTTCTATAGATCCTTACTAGTAAAATTTTATTAATAAAGAAATAGTATTCTTAGAGATAGAAAAAAGAATTAAATAATTTATGTAATATAATAAAATTAACTATTCTGAATTTTTTTCATGCTATATTTTTAAAAATTTTTATTAGTATAAATTCATATGTATATTAAATTTAATTATCTATAATTGATTATTTTTTATTTTAAATAAAAAGTCTATTCATTTCTATTCTATACTATTCTATTCTATTCATTCAACNTTTGATTTTCATATACATCTCTGGATATCTACATTTTTAACAAAGAATATATTTCTCAATGAATTTATCCAATTATTTTCTTATTTAATCATCTTAAAAGGCACCATTTATAATACAAGTCACATCATTGTCATTTTTAAATTTATAAGATGTTTAGGAACCAAACTCGAATCCCAAATATTTTAAAGGATCTAAGTTAAATAAATGTCAAAACATTGATCATGACAATTTAAAGCTTTAGCTATCTCATGTAAATTCATTATGTTAGTCTTTATACCATTTCCTCTACCTTCAATTTTAAGTTAAGGTTTTGGCATCTTGTATCTATAATTTGAGTCTTCAATATATGAAGGTATGTTCACTAAGACTGTCTTAATCATTAATTAAATTGTTTAGAATTTTTATATTATTTAAAATCATATTAAATAATTGTAAATACTCATATTATGAAATCTTAATAAGTAAATATTTATGCTATTACTTTACTTAACTTGAGACGACTTTAATTTTACACTATTATTTGAATTTAGTAAATGTAGAAATTTAGATAATAATTATATAGCATATCATATTAAGATGATAAATTATGTTGGATCATGATAACAGAGTATCTAAAATCAACATAATTTATTAATTAAATTTGTTATTGTCTTTTTTTTTGTATTAAAAACATTGATCATTATTAAAAAATTTACTTTTTTTTTTCAATTTCTATAGATCCTTACTAGTAAAATTTTATTAATAAAGAAATAGTATTCTTAGAGATAGAAAAAAGAATTAAATAATTTATGTAATATAATAAAATTAACTATTCTGAATTTTTTTCATGCTATATTTTTAAAAATTTTTATTAGTATAAATTCATATGTATATTAAATTTAATTATCTATAATTGATTATTTTTTATTTTAAATAAAAAGTCTATTCATTTCTATTCTATACTATTCTATTCTATTCATTCAACCATACTTTTCATGTTATTCCAATTATGATTCGGATCAATTTCTTCTTTTTTAAATGATATTATATTTATTTATAATAAGGTAGTTATTTGACGTGTTTGAGAATTCCTTTATTAATATATATTGAAATCTTCACATTGATTATTATTTAGATCACATATTTTATTATGAAATTAATTAGTACGAAAATTTTATAATAAAAATATATATATATTTTGATATAATAAATATAAGATCATATATGAAAAAGAATAATCAAATTAAGTTTTAAAAGTTTATGATTTATTTGAATTCAAATCCTTTAACTTTTAATTTATCTTTTAGTTAATCATAATAAAACTTAATCATATATGTTAATCGAGCTTTCATTCTTTAATGCGAACATAAATATTATGGATATTTAATAGTTTCTTATTATTTACATTCATCAGATTTATTAGCACTAATTATAGAAGTAAATAATTTATTCGATGCAATTATTAAGTCAGATACAGATTCTGATTGAAAAAGACTTTTTTTATTAAGAAATGAAAAATAATACTCTTTTTTATTTTAGTACACTTTTTACTTAACTAAATTAATTAGCAAATTCAATTATTTTAGTAATAAATAAATTATTGTTTATGATATTAGAATAATTGCTATAGGTATACAAAATATAATGATTATTGTTTCTTAGACTGCTATTGATTACAATTCTTTTTGTAGATTAAAGTGATCATCACTCTATTATTAAACTGTATTAGTTTCAATAAGAACAATTAAAATAAGTGGAGAATTGGCTAATTAAGTTGATTTTATTATTAAATTATCCTTAACCTTTGAATTGTATCTGCAAAGAATCTTATTGTTTTATTAATTAAGACAATTGTTTTGAAAAGGTAGTCCATTATGATTATTCATAACTTAAATAAAATCATTTGTATCGAATCCAGTAATGTTTGAATCATTGAAATAGTAAACTGATAAATTCACCTAATTATAAAGTAGTGAATAAAAGATTTTGCCCTAATTATCTATTACATAGAGTGTAGTATTAGTATTAAAATTAGATGCAACTGATGCATATCCAAAATCTATATCTTTAGCAATGATACCAACTATATTATTTTTGTTGTCAGCTAAAGAAATCATCATAGGTATTTTAATCTTACCTGATACTACTTGATATGGACTAGCAAAATAAACATTATCCAAAATTGAATCATTTGATATTTTTTATTTAAATTCAATATAATAAGATCTTTAATTTGGGATGAAGTTTTTAGGAAAAGGTATTCCAGTTGTAATACAATAAAATAATGAATTGCTATCAAGAAAGTAATAGAGAGGAGCAGAATATGTGTGATCGAGAGCAATTCTAAATGAAGTAAGAATAAATGTTAATGCAATCATACTTCTTTCTTCTCTCTCTAAATTATTATTATTTAGTGGAACACCAAATATTCCACATGTGGTAGCAGATTTGAAACAATAAGAATCAACTTCTGATTAATTGTTTAAACACATATGAGGCTTTTCAAAATATAAATTTTCTTAAGAATGATTTTCTTAAGAATGATTTTCTAAATAATCAAAGTATTTATAAATTCTTCTAGTTGAATAAATCTAATTTTTAGTGAATTAAAACATTCTTTCCATGCTTTGTTTGTAAATCCAGATGTTATCAAGCTATTATGAGGTTTATTTAATAAATATTTCATTTGATATTGATTTTAGATTATCCTAAATATATTTTTGAGTTTATGTGATTGTTACAATCAAAATTGTAAAAATGATTGTCCAGATTAAGAAGGAAGCCATTAAAATTTGGTTTTTGATAGTCCAATTTCTATTAATGTACCAAAAATTGAGGGATTTCAATTTAGTTAAGATCATGAATTAATTAATAATATATGTTAATTTTTTATGTTGAATTGTTAAATCAGTACTAGTCTGTTACATACAATTATTTATAATATAATGGCAATTTATATATATAGATAATGAATCATTTATAAATATAATTGTCAAATTTAAAAAATAGTCCTTTTAATCTTGATTTAAATTAAAACTTAAATCTCTATTAAGAGTCTAGTAAGTATTTTAAATTTTTGATCATAATAAATTAATTAAGAATAATGTAAATCAAATTTTGAAGATTATAAATGAATTAACAAAACAATAGAAATTATAAATAAAATTAAATTGCTTTAATTAAGATGAAGTATTTTGGTTTGTCCTTTAGAAACATAAAATAGTTAATTTATTTAATACTTAGATATATTTATTAAATATTTTTGAATTTTAATTTTAAGGAGGAAAGTATAAGATAAAATTTGAATATGACTTACTAATTTTAGAAGTTCCAGATAAATGAATTATTACCATAATTTTATAATATTTAATTAATATATATATTTGTATTTAGAATTCATTTTCTTTAAGTAGTTTCATCAATTTGTTGATCCTTTTATGCTATATATATATAAGATTAAGATATTACAATTAAGGTAGTATGAGATGAAGCATCCACTTTCTTGTATAAGGGACTCAGCTTTAAAATAATCTTTATTACAAATATTGAGTAATATGACAACATCTTCATCATTTGCTTATGGAAAATTAAGTTTTAATTTTTCATAGAGTTTCAAAACTATAATTAATTATAGTATGCTACTTACATTAATCATCATTTCTCTCATAAACTTTAATTAATCGGACTTTAATACTAGATTATGGGAATAGAAGCTATTATCTGTCTTTACTTATTTAAACTTATTTGATGCATCGAATTGGTCTTTTTACAGGGTATCGTTTAATTTTATTCTTTCTTTTTTTCTCTTGCTTTTGTATAAGTTTTTTTGGTTTTTAAATAATTCGTTTAGGTAATGGTGGAGGAGGTGAACTTTCACAATCATAAAGTTTGCCTGAAGCCTCCAATTAATCTATGTCCAGCATTTTTGTAATATGTTTTAAAGTTTAAACACTTTGAATTTATTCTTTAGGAGTAGGTTTAATGACTTCTTTATTGGGTACTTTCTCTTCATCATCAGAAATAGTTATAATATTTTGTTGTTAAACAGGTTATTGTGTTTATTGGTATGGTGCTGGTCTGAATTGAGGGTATTAGTTTTAATATTGAAGGTAAAGTTAATATTATATTGTCTAGTAATCCATTTACATATATGGATATGGGTTATAGGTGGGTTTAAAGAAATGGGGATAAGAGTACATCAGAAATTATAATGTGATTTTGGTTTATTAATTTATTTTAATCTAAAAGAAATGCAAGTTATTTGTTTAAAAAATCTTATTTTAAAAAATAAAATCAAATTGATTAAGTTTATATCAATCACTAACAAGTTTCATTGTTTCCACGAACTATGAATCATTCAAAATTTCAGAACTTATGTCTAAGATACTTAGATCTTGGTTTCTAGATTTTTTATAAATCAATATGTCTCTTTGTTATTGCATCATTTAAATTGCATAAGATCTTATTTATTTAATTATATAGAATACTATTTTAACAAAACAACTAAACGAACAGTAAGTGACAAATAACGCATTGAAATAAGTGAAATCCCAAAAAGTTCATCATAATATACTTCTTATTGCATTCTTATACAAGCTATGATTGATAAAAATGCACTTAAATCTAAAATATTCCAAGCTGCTGTGAAGAATACCTTTGATTAGTGTTAAAATATAAAATAATAAATTATAATACTAGTCCTTCTGTGATAACTTTCAAAACAATATCAGTGCAAATTGTCAAAGTCAATAATCCTTCTAAAATTAAAACAAATGGTTTCTCGAGACTCTTGATATATCAAATAAGCTCTTACTTTTAATCATCAAGAAAGACCTAATATGTATTAAATTGATTTCTGTTCTTACATACGCCAGGAGCATTGTAGATATAATCAATTATAGTAGACAATAAAATAAATAACAGATGCTCCTTTATAGACTTGTTATTAAGTATTTTGAATTCATCCTTATTATTTGTAAAATAATTTATTAATATATTACAATGAAACTAAAGATAATTTTTATTTATTTTTTATGTGATCATTTTTTAACAATCTCAAATAAATATTAATATTTGTGGATAAATAATCAATAATCAATTATCAGATTACATAGAAATTTTTACATATTAAATGAATAACCAATTAATTAATTTTTATTGTTCTTTATCTAAATTCTGTAAAAAGAATTAAGAAGAATTTTAGAAGTACTTAAATTAATTAATATCTAAATAATTACTTCAATTTTTTAATAAATTTATTTTTTAAGATTGCATGATACTATTAATATTTCTTTAAGTATTGATTATACTTAGAATGATATATTTCATTCAATTTTAATATTATTATAATCTCAATTTTTTATCTTAAATATCAACTACTTAAATATGAATGTTATTGGAATCTTCTAGACCAAAATTACTTTGATTTATGATTTCTTATTATTCAAATTATATTATTTCATTATTAAGTTTAAGGAAATTCATAAATTTATTTTTTTTAAATTGAAATTAACAAGAATTCTGGAATTCATATTTTGTGAAAATATATAGTGGTTTATATTTTAACTATTTTTAATATACATTTATTGATTTCTAATATATTTAACTTAATTTCATTTATCATATAACCTAACCTTAATATAGATATATTCTAAAGTCAAATTAAAAAAGCTACAAGCTAAAATGAATACTTATTTCGTCAATTTGAAAATGCTTTTCAATATTATCTTTAATATGTTCTTTAAGTCCTGTTTATCTTAAGCATATTTTCTACCCAAAGGGTAAAATAAAAAATTATATTTTATCTACTACAATATTTATTTTTGATCTAAATTTCTTTCTAGATATTATTTGCATTTTCTTATTCAATAAATATTTAATGATGTTTCAATATAAAAGTTTTTCTCTATTTCTGCTATTTATATAATTATAATACCTTAATCAATTTATTTGTAATATCTTTTTTAATATCAATAGAAACTGCATAAAATATCAATATTCTATTATTCAATAAGTCTCTTTTAATATTTTCAAATATTTTGAATAAATTAATTGTATTATCTTGTTAAAATTTTGTTATTCTTTCTTGATGTATCAAAACTATAATTGTTCTACTTTTTAAATAACATTACTAAGTTTTGAAATATTTTTAATATTGTTTTTAAATTAAAATATGAAATCATAATAAAAAAATATAAGATTATTTGAGTGTAATTAAATTAATAAAACAACAATCTCTTTTATTTTTAATCATCTTAATCTAGGAAAGTAATTAAAAGATTAACTATTTAATTGAAATAGAAAGTCTTTTTATTTAAAAAAAACATAATTTTATAATTTTTATGAGTTCAGAATATCCCATAATTACATGGAAAGAATTAATAAAACACTTTAAACGATCATCATTATGGGTTGTTATAGAAGGTATGGTTTATGATGTGACTACTTATTTGGATAAACACCCAGGTGGAGAGGAAATCTTAAGAAAATGTGGAGCCATGGATGCAACAGAATAATTCTTAGAATATAATCATTCCAATTATGCTCGATCAATTCTTATTTCTAGAGTAGTTGGATAATTGACAAATGAACCACAACCTGAAAATTATTTTTAGTTACTAAAGCAGAGAATATAGAGAGTAAGAGTAAATTCAAATACAGATTAAGAATCCATACAAAGAAATTACTTGGGAAGAATTGGCATCTCATAACACAAAGGATGATGCTTGGATTGTAATTAAAGATGATGTCTATGATGTTACTGAGTTCTTGGATCATCATCCTGGAGGAATGAAATTATTATTAGATAAAGCAGGGGATGATGCATCTGAAGTCTTTCAAAGAATTAATCATTCTTAAAAGGCTTATTAAATAATGTGTGAGCTATAAGTTGGTGTAATAATAGGTAATAAACTATCTAATCATAATTGATAGGTATAAAACCAAGTAGAAAGTAGAAGTAAGTACCTTATAATTATGTGTTAATAATATTTATCATAATAGTATTTTTTTTATTAGTTTATTTATTTTTATTGTGATAAATAAGTATATATTAAATTTCCTTATTAGATTGTATTAGATTATTTAAGTAAACATTTATTTTAATAAAATGAATATCAACATGCATCATCACAAGTTATTTAGATAATTATGATTAAATAATTAGTTTGATTAATAAAAATAAAAGATAGTTCTAATTTTAATGTATCATCAAGGATCTTTTAATTTTAAGAGATAATTATAATATACTTCATAGATTTATAATTGTTTTTTTAAGAAATGATTATTATCATAAAATTGTATGAATTTTATAGTTAACCTATTTTAATATAATTTCTATAAGGTAGATATTTGAGAATTCAATATATATATATTCTAATATAAGAATTGATAAGTGAGGATTAAGGTTGTTTTGAGGGTAGAATTAAATTGTATATAAATGAATGAAATTCTTAATAGAATGATGATATAGGATTGAATGTATGAATTTGTTTGATAATAATTAAAATTTAAAATATTCAATTCTGATGAGCAGACAAGGAAATTCATAAGATTATGATTGGTTGGTTAAGGTTATTGTGATTGGTGATTCAGGAGTTGGTAAGACAAATATCTTGTCTTAATTTTGTGATGCGAAGTTTTCGATTACTCATATGGCCACTTTGGGAGTAGACTTTAAGATCAAGACTATTGATGTAGATGGGAAGAAGCTGAAATTGTAAATTTGGGATACTGCAGGATAGGAACGATTCAGAAATATAACAAAAACATATTATAAGGGAGCATAAGGAGTAGAAATAATTATTAAATTGTAGGTGATCTTAACATATAGTGTAATAGATAGATAATCGTTTTAGAATGTGGATGGGTGGTTAAGGGTAAGAGAAATTAAATTATAATAAGTCAATACAAGAGAATACAAATTCAAGTGATGTACAATTGGTCTTGGTAGGTAACAAGGCTGACATGTCTGCAGAAAGATAGGTCACACTAGAAGAAGGCAATAAGTTATCATAGCAATACAATATTCCATTCTTTGAGACTTCAGCTAAGAGTGGCATGAATATCAATGAAGCATTCCAAAATTTAGCTTAGAGAATCATTTAAACTCTTTCTAAGATGTAAGCTAATGATGAGATAAATAATCTCAATTTAAAGCCCCTTTAACCAAAAGAAAAATCTAAAACTGAGGTATTATATAAAGATTTGATTATTAGAGCTGTTGCTGATATTATAAATTTATTAGACAAAGATTTTACATATATTTTTGTTGAACTTCCTTTTCATTTTCTTTTCTTTATTTAAAGTTCTCTAATTTACATTCTTCATTAATTAATATGCAAGATAAATCGAATACAAATTCAAGTGTCCAAGAATCATATTCTCCTAAGAAGCCAGTTGATGGTGGAGAGAAAAAAAAGAGATCCAGAACTCGTAAGTAAAGTGATGCTCAACGTGAATACAAGTGCGAGTGTGGAAAGTCATACTTGAGTTATCCTGCCCTCTACACCCACATGAAGTAGAAACATAATAGGGTTTTCAAATTACTTAATACTGTAGTAATCTTTGAAGAACCTGGATGAATAGAGATTGGAATCAACATTTTCAGAGTCACAAACTTAAGACATCTTTGCCACACTTGCCAATGCTTTAGGTAAAGAGGAAGATAAACCACAGGCTTCTTTGAGTAATCAAGATATATATGATCTAATTATGTGGGAAGTGTAGTTATTAATAATGGAGACCGACAATAAATATATCAAATTGGATTACTATAATGAACTATTGAAATCTACACAACTTACTGATGTAACTACTCCCCAAGATGCATTTATAAGGTTTATTCACGAAGTCAAAGGAGTCCTTAATTATGAATAGATGAAACTGATCTTTCTCTTTGTGTATTCCTTTCGAAAACTTCTGCTCGATTTTCCAGATTGTACAACTAGTGGATTAGTTGAAAAAGCTAACTAGTTAATTTGTTCTCAATTGGATAAAGTACTCTAAAGTATCCAATAATTATCAAATCGAAATTACATAGTACATTTATCTAGAGTATCAAATTTGAGAGAGGTAATGATCAAAATAGTACTTGGATTTTGTAATTGGCTATATGCTCGTCATTTGACCGATGACAAATTACTTCTGAAGAGCGATTCTGATTGATTTTTTATATCAAAAATAGAAATCATTCTTGAGAAGCAATCTCTTTATCTTATCTTATCATATCTCATTCTTCTATTTGCTATTATTGATTATTTCATTAAATATTATTCTAAAAGAATTGAGTAACCTAATTTAAATATAAATTAGATCATATACAAACATTCGATCTTGTAATAACTCTTCTGATTCATCTAATGGTTAAAGAACTCTACTTAAACGAACCTATTAAATCCATTATAATTTAATTATACATCAAAGCTTTTCAAAAATGAGTCAAATTTAACATAAGATAATTTTGTATTCATTATGTCTTGACTAATTTAAGAAATTCTTAAACTCATTTATTACTTTTGAAATAAAATGATCATGTCATATCATCTTAATGACTGAGATATTGTTCAAATATGTAATTGATTATCATTTCAGATACCCTCAACAAAACATTAAATAATTATTATTCCATTTCGAATTCACAACTTTAAAAGGCTTTTTTCAAATGAACAATTTTTATCCCTATCTGCAAAGAGTTGAAATTATTATCTTATCTAAAAATAATAGAATCAAAGCTGTTTGCTTAGTATTAGAAAATTCTTAAATTAATAATCAATCTTTATCAATTCACTTATCATATTCTTCATTAATTCACTTCATTATGAAACTCAATAGTTGTTATGTCATTACTTTTAAACTTAAATATTTTTTCATTATTTTTGATACTGTAATAATTAATCATATTTCTTTATAAAATTGTTTTTTAAATAAATAATCAAGTCGTAACCGTATATAAGTTTTGCCATTATTGCAAAAACAAATCAAAATCAAATTTATTAATTTATTAATCTTCTTACAACACAGACTATCTAAATAATTGATCTTCTTATGCCCTAAATTTAAAATCATCTTAACTCATATCAACATAATTCCAATTTATAAAGGAATCAATGTCAAATAAAAAGTCAATTAATTTATGTTCAATTTTGATTTAAATTTTGTAAGTCTTTATTCCATAAATTATTTATTGTAAAATTAAATGAGTATTGTTTTATCATTCAAAAATCTTCAATATTTCAATCTCATCTAAACCTTTCGATTTTTAACATGATATGTCTTCATTGGGTAGTCAATAGTTTAATTTGAATCAATCAAAAAAACTTATTTTTATTATAATAAAACTGTATTTTAAACTCCAAATAAGTCTTGGATGTATAAAGTACAAAAAAACCTTTAAAATGCAATCAAATGATATTTAAGTTAATTGAATTTTAAATGTATACATATACTATTAATATTTCTCAAATAATAATGTAAGTACTAAATATATCTAGATTTCTGATCAACCCAAAATCTTTTAATCTTTGATATCCTATTTTATCCATTCTTTATTTATTTCATCTTAGATTAAAGATTTAAAACTAGTTCTATACCTGAATTAGCATGAACAAAAAAAAAAACTATTCTTCTCATAACATATATATTTATACTTATTCCTTTAATATTTTTGATCACTCTTGAAAGGTTAGTAAGATGTAGGATCCTAAGAATTCTCTTATAAATTGCTAATTTTGAATAAATAGAATAAATTAATTTTTTTCAGACTTAAATTGATCAATCATATTATAAATATAATTGAACTTGTTATAAGAGAATAATCCTTAAATATATTTAAATTAGTAAGGATAGTTAACATTTAAAATTTTATAAAATTAGTACTAAAATAGAAATAATTAAATTGTTATCCAAAAAATTGTAATTAATTTTGTTTTAAAAATAAATATAATTATATATAAGTCATACTTTTTATTATATAAATTCTTAGTATCTTAACAATCTTTCTCTAGAATCTATACTGTAAGGATTAGTACTATGGATCTAAAATATAATATTAATAATTACTTTGTTCTTATAATTTTATAATTCTTCTTTTTATAATATTAATTGTCTTGTTAATTAGTCTGATTATTCTAAATTTATTGTTTATAAATTATCAAATTAAATCCCTTGTTTATTTTACTGTTATTAAATTTCTTATAATTTATTGGACTAATTTGATAATATTTAATTTTCATAGTGTTAATTGAGTTTCGAGATTTATTATTCTTGTACATAATTAGTTAATTCAATTTCTCCCATTTTAAAATATAACGAATATAATTATTCTAGAGAATATAATAATTATGATTAAGGATTATCATCATTTATATTTATTTCCATTTAATCTAAAATTTTAGACTTCTATTATATTACTAATCTCCAATTATCTAATTTTTCTGTATCATATACAATCTTTTTTTATTATTCTTCTATTTCTGATTTTAATTTCTTTATTAAATCTTTCTTCATATTATTTTAATCAAATTATTATGCTAATTAAAGTTGAGACTTCAATTATTCTGAATCTACTATAAATTTTTTTTTCATTTGATTTATATTTTCTTTATTAGTTTTATATAATTGTTTTTCTCTATTTAAAGCAACCCTTTCATCCAATAGAATTAATTTCCATTTACGCCTAAATCATTTATAATTATAATTACATTTATATTACATTCTCTTCAATCACTACACTTTAATTCATTGATAGATTATTTTAAATATTTATATCAGTTCCAAAATATTAAGTACCTGTTTATCTAAACAAATTACTTTAAAACTTTGAATTTTCAATACTTTAATTAGCTGCCAATTATTCTCTTAATTCATGAAAACTTTAAATCATAGTTTCCATTAATTTTTATTTCTAATTATATTCTTAATTTTATCGTATACTTGACTAAAACTATTATTCTAATAACTCTAATTCTTTTTCACATTTTTTATCATCTTACTTATATTAATCAACCAAAAATTTCAAACGGTCCAATTCATATTTGATTACATCCCTTTATTTTAATTCATTTTATAAGTCATATTTTGAAATAACAATATTCATACCTGTTAATTTCTCTTCATCTTCAATCTTTTTTCTTTTCAACTATTTTATTTCTTCTTTCAATTCTTATATAATACTTTTTGTTTAATTAATTTCCATACATAAATCAATTTCTTTTCCATTTCCTAATATTTTACCTGTCTTTTTTTCATAATCTTTTTAAATCTTCTCTAACTTTAATCTTAAGGTTTCTTCTAACTTTCTTTTCATTTCCAAATATTTCTCTTTCTTTTAAACTTCAAAATTTATGAGTTAATTTTATAATTATTAAATTAATTTTTCATTTTATTAAGCAATTCTTTAAACATTTTCTTACTTTTTCTATTCAATATCTATATTTTTGTATTCAAATATTTAAGACTACAAAATTTAAGATTCACTTAATTCAATATTTTACAATTAATCATTAAATGCTTATTAACTATAATTAAATTTTGGATCATATTAACTCTTCATTTCTTCTTTTATTGATCTTATCATTCTTTAATTTTCTTCTTAAAGATCTACTATTTCAAATTTATATTCTCTTCTTACTTTATCAAATTCATTTGTTAATTTTCTCTTAATAACTTCCTACTCTGATCTTAATCTTTTCATATTTTATTAATCCATTTCTTAAATCTTTTAATAAATTTCCTAATTTAATTCCTTTTTATATTTATTTAATTAATTCTCAACATTCTTTTTTTTCTCCTATAATTATTTCATCCATATAGAATCTGAATCTGACAATTCCTTTTATCTTTAATTAATTCTTTTTACTATATCTTTTTATTATCCCTATAATTCCTATTCCAAAATTCTTAAGTTATTCTTCATTGTTCTCTCTTATTCATATTCATAATTCTCAAAATTACGTTCTAATTATTTTTATAATATATTCTTCTGATTTCTTATATTTTACTCCATTTCTTCTTCTACTTTTCTTTTTATCTTCTTTTTTTTCTCTTCCTCACTCTTAACAAAATTTTCCTTCTATCTTTCATATTCTTCTTTTAATTCAAATAACTCAGGATCTGCCTCATTCATTAAAATCAATTCCATTTTATTCAATTTCTATTTATTTTCCTCTTTCAACTTAATTACATCTTTCTTCTTGTCATCCTCATATTCTTAAATTTATTATGCAAATTCTTAATCAACTTGAGATAATAAATTCTAAGTTGCTGAAGGTTAAATAGGATTTTACATTACATAACCTTGATTCTATCTATTCTAGTAATATTCATTTGAGTTCATCATAAATGACTCAGAATCTTCATTTCCATCCTACCCATTTAATACCCTATATTTTTCAATATCATTTTTGAACTTATTAATCCCAGTCGATTTCTGGAATATATATTCTTAAATACTTTTTTCTTCTGATTTTATAAATCAATTTATTTAGCTTCCTCATATTTCTTTGAATAAATCATATCACAAGGATGATCATAAATTATTTCCTTCGTTTTCTTATTTTTATAGTAAACTTAATCGATCCCATTAATCTTCTTAGAACAAATCTTCCATTCATCAGGTAATTATGCTTTTAAACCAGCTTCTGCAATATCCAAATATTTATTGTCTTCAGGTAAATTCATTCCTAAATGAATTGCATATTCTCGAATTTCTAAATATTACTTAAATTAAACCTTGTTTTGTAGGAGAATAATCTTCCATGAATTCCTCTTCCAATGTTAAAGTTTCATCATCATCATTAAAACTTCTATTCATTTAATGATTCAAATCCTACTTTTTTAACTTAATTATACTAGATTAATATTATATATAAATCAATTCAAAAATTTTTTAATAATCCATAAATAATTAATTTGATATTACTAGTCTTATAATAACTTTATTAAATGCTTAAACATTATTCCCTATGAAATTATCTAACAAAAACATAAGAAATAAATTTATAAAAATAATATCAGATTAGTTTCAGTATATACTTAGAGAAATCTATGCATCCCATTAATCTAAATGAATAATGGGATGCATTTTTGAGTTCACTATTGGTAAAAGCAATAAATTCCTATAATTACTTGTAAGAAGTATGCTTTAATAAATTGGCATAAATTAAATCTAATTATTAAACAAAATTATTTTATTTGAGTAGATATTTATATTGACATCAAAAATCAATTGAAATATTATACATTCTCAATACTAAAAACTTATAAGAAAGTAAGTTGAAAATTATGAGGAAACCTTTTAAAGATTCAAGACTCATTAATGCAATTAAACTTACGAGTCTCCAAATCCCTCAATATTGAGAAATTTAGCCAAGAAAACTTGAAATACATAATTCATATAAATCAAAATTATCTAAGTTTTTCATCAAACTTGGAATGTGTTGTATAAAAGGTTTAAAACATCCCTTCGCTCATTGATTTATGAGTAGATCTTTTTGGTTACAATTTATAGAATTCACTTTAAGTTCTTTACTATTGTACATTGATTCTATCTCTTGGCAACTTGTAACTATAGTTATAAATCAAAGATAAATACAGTTATTCTAATGATCCATTATGTCCTCGATTTTACGATGAACGTGCAGGGGCAGGAACAGGAGGAAAATATCCAATTTTAGCATTGGTTTTACCCTAATCTTTTTAATTGAGTAATGATTGATTAAAAATATCAATAGGATTTCTAGTTTAAATAATAATTACTAACTTATATATGGGTTCACTTTTTTTAACTGTTTAACTTGGTGTTTCTGGTTTATTAGGTTATACTAGAAGATTTTCAAGTAATTTTGCATTTTTAGTTAATATTTTCTCTTATTTAGTTTCTATTTTTTATTAGTTTTATTTGTTAGGAGAGAATTTGTTCATAACAAGATGACTTTCATTGAATTGAACTGTCTTTTCAAGTTTAGTATTATCTAAATTCTTTTTTGTTTCAACACTTTCTTATGGTATAAATTAAGATTTAGTTTATTATTAAAATGGATTACCATTGTCAGTTAACATTTTATATTCTGTTCGAGTTAATCTAATTTATTGCATTTATTTAGTTATGTCATCACCAGGTAAAAAGTTTTATCCTGACAATCTATATTGTAATTACTCAGCAGAATCACTAACCTAATGTCTAATTCCTTCTTTGTATCTTTATTCATAGATCAATTTAACGCCATTTGTCATAGAGAAGGTATCATAAGGTAATTATGCTCCTCTGTCAATTCGAAGTCCTTTATCTCCAGTTGCATCTTTGGTTGCATCCTTTCGATCTATTATATTCTTATATAATTCATGATGTTACTTTATTTGGTATATCTGCAGTAGTTTTAGGAGGTATTGGTATTGGTTATTAAGTTTAGATGACTTATTTGCTTCCTTTTTTTGAATTGGTTTAAGGTATATTCTATTAATTAGTTGTTTTAGGAAGATCTTTCAAATCGACCTTAATTTTTAATGCAGTAGGTTATAATTTATCATATTTGACTCCTCTTGATAATAGAATTTTGCCATCATAATCATAAGTATATTTATTTGAAGATGATTCTTTTTTCTAAGGAAATAGTTAAATTTATACTTAATTTTAAATGATGTCTTCTTTAATTTTCTATTCAATTTCATTCTTCTTCTTAATATCATAAAGTTTCTTCTATCTTAATTTATCAACAAAATCATCTTCCTCTTCTGCTACTTAAAATTCAATCAATCTTATCTCTGAATGACTTGACTTTGGAGGTGCAACAGTTGATGGTTTTTTCCTTTCCAAAACTGAAAATCTTTACTTGTTATTTTTTGAGCTATTATGTTATGATGGTATTTCATTTTCAACCTACTCTTCTTATTCCTCAGAGAATGACTAACTCATTTCTTCAATACTAACTCTATTTCTTCTCCAACGATCATAATGTATTACATTCTTTTATTATACACAAATATATACAGGTTCACTATCTTCAGACATATTACATCCCTCTATTGTTAAACCATCTTAATTGAAATAACTTACAACAATTAATTCCATAATTGTCATTACTTATGCATTGGAACTGATGGGTATTTGAGTTTGCATAAACTACATAAAATTATGGAATACTTATTCTTCTGCTATTTTTAATGATTATTTGATAACATAAGATGTTATTTATTTCGAGATGAGAAATGATTAGGCAAAGATTCCATCGAATTCAGATGTCATTGATAAATAAACCTATATTTAAGATTTCCATTACTTATTCCATATTAAATTGAGGCATTTAATCATCTCCTTCAATATCACATTCATCTCTTTCTGAAAACTCATCTCCATTTACACTATTGCTCATTATAATTATTATTATAAATTGTATAATTATTATATACATTCAATATAAACATAATTGTCTTAGATAAACATTTACATTATATCCATTCTTACGATGTATATATAAATATATATTATGAGTATTAATATAAATATATTAAAATTGAATGTTCAAAAAATCTATAGGATGTAATAATCAATAGCATTTAAAGTTTTTAAGAATTTCGATATTTTTGGGCAAAACATCCAATTAAATTTCAATGGTGATGATTCTTATTAAACAGCCACAGGTGGTATTTTTTCGATTACAATCATTGCTGTCATTGCTTTCTTTTTCTAATAAAATATTGTAGATTTCCTGAATAAAAATTATGTGAATTTGGATGTATAAACATTATTTGATGCTAATCCAGATGATATAATCTTTAATGATGATAATTATATGTTTGCATTAGCTATTGAATAAAACAAATTTAATACTAATCCTTATTTCAACATCACTCTGAAATAAAGAATCTATACAAGGTTAAATAATGGAACAATAATCAAATAAGATTCATTTATAGATCTTATACCATGTACTATTGACAGATTTCAAAACATATTTAATAATTAAAATTTCACCGATCAATTTATTTCTCTAGGATTATCAGAATGGTTATGTCCTCACTACAATTATTCAATAAGATTATCAGGTGGATACACTAGTCAAATATTTTAGTTTACCAAAATAACTGTTTCTGAATGTTCAAATTATACTGATAATAATTAAATCCTAACTTGGAAGCCAAAATGTGCTAGTTCATCTGATAGAGATAATCATTTAAACAATGATAGATCATTTAGATTAAAAATGTACTTCTTCATCTCTTTAATTTTAGGTATATGACCAATACTATCATTAATCCATTATAACCAAAAAACATATCCTAAGTATTTCTTGATGATGAACTATTCTTTTCATTTCTATTACTCACTGGAACTGAAACAGATGTATTTTATTAAAAGTATAATGTCACCACTAATCAAAATATATTCCCATATATTGAAGACAATTAAGAACAATTATTTAATATCAAATAATAAGGAGATTTTAGAGTAAACAATGTTTAAAACAGTGGTTCATCTTATTCTGCTCTTTATATGAGAAGAAGTCCATATACTTATAAAGTCAAGAGAGATTTTCAGGATTTAGCTGATTTACTTTCATATTTAGGTGGTTTTGCTAATATTGTTGTTATGATTTTCGGATTTTTTATATCATTTTACAATAAATCCTAATGTATATAATGAATCTAATTTATATAGTCATGATTGAATTAGCAAATTAAGTATATGATTTCCCAATTAAAAATGTAAGTAATATTGAACTTCAGCAGAGAAAAGAAATCAAAAAGACAATTGCTAGAGCCAAAAGTAGAACAATTATTTAAAAGCCAAATACTTAATATTCTTAATTATAATCACCAAAATATAATCAAAATTAATAATTAATTATTAATGATACAACTAAATAAGATGAATAGTGTATAACAAAATAAGGTGAATAGTAAACATTTTAATAAGAATAAGAAAAAATTATTTAATAATTAGGTATAACTGATAGAAAGAGTTATTTAACTTAATAAATTGAAAAGATTCTAAATAGAAGTTGCCCTATATTTTTTAATTGTAAATATATTTTGTATCAATTGTTTTGTTAAAGATTCTTCTATGATAGGAATAGTATATTACTATAAAAAGCTATGTAAATTAAATTATATCTATAATAGTAAAAACATCAATCAAGATTTAGATCTTTGTGTTATTATTGATAAAGTTAAAGAAATTAATTTGTTAAAAGAATTATTATTAACAGAAGACCAATTAGTGTTATTTGATTTCGCTCCCAAAGAAGTTATCAATTTAGAAGTGGATAAAAAGTTAACCTCAAGGAATTTAGCTAGAAATACTATACGAAACTTTAATTAGATTTAGAATACACTTAATAGTTTGGAAGAATAAAATAAATCTAATCAATCAATAAATACCTATTATAAATTATTTAAGGTGATAATTTATTTTAATATAGGCTTATGATCGCATGCATCAATCATTATAATAGAATGATAAGATCAATGAAAAATTGATTGGAAAATTGGGACAGGAAGTAAGAGACATTTTTGAAGTTTCTCAATTTATTTAATGGGAAAATAACAGAAAAATGAATAGTGAACCATTGGATGATGAGTTTTAATGCGATTCAGTAAATTCAGATCCTCCATGCATTACAAGTTTAGATTAATTCAAAGTTAATTTAAAAATAAATAGTTGATTAATTCTATATTATAATGTTGTCAATTAATTTCAGGATCTTTTACATCTACTCCTATCTTATTATGTAAGTACTATAATATAAATACTTCAAATAACTAAGGAAAATAACAATACTTTTATATATTATAAGATTTGAAGATCCTTAAGAAATTATTTAATTATGAAATAAAATAAAGTAAAATCTCTAAGAAGTTAATTTATTTAAAAGTTATATAACTTTATATAATATATGATTATTTATTATAATACTATCATTACTATAATTATTATTAATCTTTTTTTTTAGTTAATACTTTTTTAACTTATTAAGTTTACACTTTAATTTGTTACTAGGGATATTATTTTTCATCTTTCTCTTCTATCTATTAAGGCAATACCTTTTAATCTTCTTCATTACTTTATTTTTATGTTTGTTTTTACTATTCTACTTAAGATTGCTAATCAATTTATTATTACAATAAAAATAGTTTTTTTATTTCTTTTTATGCCTCATCTTCATTTTAATCAATCTACTCTTCTTTAATTCCTTATAAAGGTTAATTTGTTATTAAATTAGGTTATTCTTAAGCAAGTTTTTAAAGCAATTCTAAACCTTAGGGAGCATCTTTATCTTTATCTTTTACTAATATTTTTGGTCTAATTTCAACAGGTAATTCAACTAATTATTTGAATGGATTTTATTCTTTTAATTGATCATTACATTCAATTGCTCTAGATTTAAAATCAGGTTTATATACTTTTGTCCATAAATCCCAAAACTCTCCTTAATGACATCCCTTCTTAGCAAGATTCAATCTCCAATCTTCATTTGATAGATTAAAGATTTCTGTAAATTTGCAAGTTGAACATGTTAATAAATCATATCTTCCACCAAGATTAGTAAATCCAATATATTTTTAATCCCATAAGACTTAAACCATAATTTCTTTTTATTCCAATAATCCAACAACAGTACCATATATACCAAAGGGATAATTTATATTCACTACTCTATCTCCAATTTTATGAATTGTTGGATGTTTAATAAAGAAAGGAGGTAGAAATGTCTAAGTTGTTTATTAAATAACAAAACCAGGATCTACTTTTTTAGTAGTATTAATATTTTGAATAGGTTTTTTATGTATCTTAATTTCAGCCACTTTGGATGAACTACCTTGTAATAAATACTAAGATTCAGGTAATTACAAAATCCAGATATAAATTTTAAGGAGATCAATATTAGGATCAGATGAATTAGGAAATAAATCCTTTGCATTAATTGGACAATTTCTTTAACTATCATTCAATTAATTAAGATATTATTAAACTCTTGAACACTAATTTCTGTATTTACATAGAATTGTAACACATTTTTCAGATAATTCTAAATCTTTAAATTTTTGATATTTAGATGATCCAGTAGCATATTAATCAGCCTAAGGTAATCTTACTAATTCAGGTACTAATTGATTATTAGTTCTATTAATTATATTCAATCCAATATCTAATTGATCAGCAATTTTGGATTCCTTATCCTCCATATTGACAACAACACTACCAAGTAAATTCAATAAGGTTTTAACTGAACATTAAAGTTTCTCACTTACAATTTATAAAGAATAATAAATGTCAGAGTGTATATAATCATATCCTAATAAAGTTGGATAAGCTGTGATTTGAATAGTTAATTTTTTATCAATTTATTTGATAATTCCATTAGCTCCATTTTATTTTTCATGAAATATTACAACTTATCTATCAATTTGAAAATCTTCAAAATTTGGAATAATGAATTTAACCTTTTAATCTGGAAACACAAATTCATATGGATATACTAATTCTCTATATTATTCTTATGGATAACTTAATTGATTATTATTGTCTCTGATATAATGTTTATATTGTTTTACTATTAAAAATATTGAACAATCTAATTTCATGTATTTCTCATATTAATTTAAGGTTTTATTTCTTATTTCTTTATAGATTTTGCTATGATCCTTTTTACTGTAATCTTTGAGCAATGAAATTGATGTTAGTTTAATTCCTTCAAGTAAGTTTAAATGATCAGGTCTGAGAATAGCTAATAATTCACATTATTATTAGATAGGAAATCCACAATAGACAAAGTTCTTATTTTTGATTACATCTTAAATGAATGAATCAAAATCAAATTTAGTTGATTACAATTCTAATAATAAGAATTAATTCTCAAATTTTTTCATATCATCTTCATGTTATTGTATATTAATCAATTTTGATGATTTAATATTAACTACTTTTAATGAAGGAATTTAGTGAAAATTTTCAGATTATTCAATAATTTATTATTATTATTATTATTATTATTATTATTATTATTATTATTATTATTATTATTATTCATAAGCAATTTAACATTATTCTTTATCATCAATATCTATAAATTATTTCTTACAAAAAGATTTAAAGTTACTGAAATGTTTAGGTAATGTAGATTCATAGATTTATTATTGATTTAAATCATATTAATAGAATATTGATTGAGATTATTGATTTCTTTAATCATGTGTATCAGGAATTTAATTATATGCCTCTTCAACAAGTTTGCAATCCAAAAATGGAATCTTTGTTATATGTTGATGTTCATACATTGTACCATAGGAATCAGTTTCAAAATCTTCTGGATAATAGTCAATAGGAGTTCTGAGTATTGAATTTTCTTTGTCTGTTAAAAGTTTACCATATTGTTCAGGTAAGAGTAAAGCATTCTCTGGAGTTAAGATACTAAGTAGTTATTTAAATGGAGGATATGGTTAACCTTTTGTTAATATAATAGGTTCTTCTTTATCTTAAAAGTTTTCTACTATATTTTATACAACTCCAACAATATCTCCACACAAAGGAGCATAATAATATTTATAATACCATTCCCAAGAAGGAACTCCTTTGAAATAATACTATAAAACAAAGTAAATTCCCTCCATATAATTAATACACATATCTCCCAGTTTTTCTAGATCTAATTCATCACCTTGAGTAATTTAACATTTTGCTTTATAATAAAATTTTCTTCCCTCTGTTTATTCTTGAAGTGAAAAATATTTCAAAATATTATCAATCAATTCTTTTTCTTTGGCAATCATTTACTTGTTTTCATGTTTAGTATTTAAATAATTGAGCATCTCTTATTGTCTATCATTAATACATAATTTCTCAAATCCTTACAATAGTTCAAGAAGACTTAATAATTCTTTGTAATTGATATCTCCTCTATGGACAATGTAATCATTAGCATTAGTTAAATGTTTTTTGAATAAGTCAACAAGAGGTTCTATAGTACCAATTCTAATGTCAAAACAATAGATTCTTGGTAAGAAATCATTTCCAACAAAAAAGCATAATAAAATAAAATCATCTATTATGCAATTAATGTCATAAGCAATCTTCATTTTATCTTTCAAGACTGCAAATTCTAGATCCAAATATTCTCTTACAATAGAAATATTGATAATTAAAAATTCAGGAATTTTAACAACTCTATTTGCAGCAGCACTAGCAGATTATTTGAATTTAAGATCTTCTCTAATGATGAGAACATTTTTCAATTAAGTAAGTAAACCTAACATAATTAAATCTGCATCTGCTCCATAAATCATATGAACACTATTAGGATCGCATTAAAGATTACGAATAAAACTAAGTAGTTTATGTTCACCTTCTCCTGGTACATCACATCCAGAGAAAATGATTTTGAGATTCTTGAATTTTGGATCTTCATAATATTTTCTCTCTATATAAAATTTAATCTATTGATTTCTTAATATTTGAATATATAATACAATTGAGTCATAAATTCAGTACCAGGACTGAATTGATTATTTTTATAAGTTTCATTCTTTTGAAATAAACCAATTTATTGAAGATGAGCACTTAAATACTTATATCTCTTTTATGATTGAAACCGTCTTTGACGCTATTAATTCATTTTAGCACGTGGTGCAACTCCATCAAATGCTAAAAATAGTAATTGTTAAGGATTAACTAAATTAATGATCATATCCAAATAGTTTATTATTGAAACCCAAACATCATCAAAATCTCTTTCTCTTAATTGATCCTTGAATAACACAGTAGGATCAGTTGCACACTTATAAATGATTTAGTTCATATCTAAATAAAAATAATCAACTCTTTATGCTCGTGTGTGTTCATATAGACATAGAGGATACCTTCTCATTAGCCATGAATAGAAATTAGGAACACCCATTAATTAAAATATAAAAATTAATAACACAAATCAAATGTTTAATTCATACTAGTATGAGAAATAACTTACATTCACAAAAGATATAGACAAGATAAAGAAAGGGTATCTTAGAGAACGAGAAGTACGTAAAGGTATAAATCAAATTAACAACTAAAGAATTAAACAATAGATTGGCTTAGAATTATAAAAAAAGAGTTGAAAATTTTGTTATTAATATGCTTGAGAATCCAATAGTTTGTGTTGACTATCATTAACCTAATCAATCAGCATTTAGAGATGAAGATCCCTCAAAGAATTTAGGAGACCCACAATTCTATGTCAAGGGTTTCAAACATGAAAAAGATCGAATATAAGAAGCACTTGATAAGAATAAGGATCTTGACTTCTTACCTAATCGATAAGTTGCTCATTATTGTTTCAGAGAAAGAGATCCTTCTAAAGATATCAAACGTGATATTTTTCGATATAGAGATAAAACAAGTTTGGAAAGAATTGAACAGTTTCTCAAAGATCATACTCAAACACAAGTAGAAAATCAGAAATTCCCAAAAAAGAAATTGATTAATGTTGAAACTCTTTCTGATAATATGACATCTTAAGATCGCAAAGCTTATATCAGTAGATTAGTGGCCAAAAACCTTTTGCCTTCTCTACATTAAAAAACACATTTCTAAGCTGCATCAACAATGTATAATAATTTACCATGTATATATATTATTTATCTCTAACTTTTTAGTATCACTTATGGACCATACAAGATCATTGCCTTAAATGAAGCAATTAGATACTGAAGAAAAGAGTAATCAAATCAAATTATTTAGAATCTTAATAACAATAAAGGGAGGTTTAAAAGACAGAAGAGAATGAAACAAAAGATAATAAAGCTAAATAAAATAATGAAATGGAAACTTTTAATCCTATTGAAACTTCTAAAGTTATTTTGGAGAGGTGTTAAGTTATAAGGAATAAAAATCCTAAAACTCATGTTATTCATAAAGGGGAAGGACATCTAATATCAACTCTTGATAAATCTATACAAGAAGTTTATAAAGAAATTTATGGAATAGATTTTAGTGAACCTAAGTTTTTTCAAAAGTGACTCAAATATAAAATAAAATATTCAACCACTCATCATTGATTATTTTAATAATATCTCTGTCTAATCTATTAAATCACTTATAGTGTTTTCATATTCTTTAAAAAGAACTACAGTATTTTAAACACTAATTTCTTCTAATTATTGATTTTCAATTCTTAATTAATTTATTTATTATTCTAATTATAAAAGTTCTTATGTTAATTTTGTAATTTCTAATTTTTATGATTAGAGTAAAGTAGGTGATTGATGACTTAAATTTTCATTCTCATCTGCCTCGAATTCACTAACTTCAAATTTTTTTTGTATTGTGCGACAAGATTATTGAGATTATTATCTAGCATCTTAAGCACATTTATCAACAGATAAATATAAAGAAGATCTTTTTTTAGCCAATTAATTTTAATATTATTTTATGCTTTCAACAGTTGTAGTTCTAGCTATTACAAGCTCAGAATTTTTAGTTTGAAGTTAATTGATATTAATTTAAATTATTACACTAAAGAATTTATCAATTTCTGTTGAATCATTACTTTAGATAATTTTATCTAAGATATAGAAAGCACTAGAAAATGTTAGATTTAGAAAAAATTGATTCTTATAATGCATCATAGCTGATTCAATAAATTATTTGGCTGCCATAATTTAATCTTATTCCAATTTAAATCTAAATTTAACATCTTAAATAGCATCATGTTACATTTAATCATGATCTTTAATGAATTCTTAAGTAGTTTAATACTCAGGATAATATTGTTTTGGTATTTTATTATATAAATCTTCTAGAATTTTTAAACAAACATAGTCCTTACAAAAACATAACAAGAATATTGTTAATTTAATCAAATATTAATTGTAACCAACTTTAGGATTACGAGTTACAAAGGTATCAACTACATTTGTTATGGTAGCTTCAACATCTCTATTATTAAATATCAATAAATTAAAAAATTCTTAGATTGAGTAATTCATTGGTGTTTATAAAATAGTTTTAACATCTCTTGCAATTTTAGATTATTTAATTTCTTTATTTAATTTGTACATAGATTTGATGAATTCAACATCTTTGACCCAATATTTTTTGGCAATCTCACTATTATGATTCCAAGCTAAAAGAGATTCTGAAATTATCTTTCTTATGGTTTCACAATCTAAAGTTAGTAAATAGTTTTATACCTTGCATACAAAGTTTACATATATTTCTAAACACATCTCTAACTTATTGTAATTTAGAGCAATCAGTACAAATAATTCGATTACAACGTTTGCATTTAGTATCTCTTCTCCATAATATATTAAAGGGTTTCTTACAAATATCACAACTCATAATTAATTATATTTTAATTTATATGATAAAAATTGTAAGAAGATGAGTTCAAACTTAAAATCATTTAATCATTGATTATTTCAAATCTCTTTGATCCATACTTAATAAACCAGGTAAATCTTCAACTTCATCTTCATGTAAATTAACTTTCTTTTTTTTTAACTTATCCATAATCATTCTATTTTTATCCACTTAAATATAATTTGAAATATCAAAGACTTCTTTTACTTCTTATCCTAATTTTTCAATTAGTATTTTATTAAATCTATTATTCTTCTCTTCTGAAAGAATGACTCTCTCATATGCTTAATACAACTTATAATAAATTTATAATCCAGGATTTACAAATTATCCTTTTTTAAATTTCTTATCAAACATCATTTTAGCTACATCACTAAATTATACACCTAATCTTTTAGTAAATGCACGTCTAAAATAAATAAATTATAGATATATATATATACTTAGAATCTCTTCTTCCTGGTAAATGATGTTTATAAAATTAATCTTCAATTGTAATAATTTCTTTTGGTGCAAAATTAAATAGTATTTATTGATCTCTTTCTAAAAGAAGTTCTTTAATTAAATTAATTTCATTAACTTTATCAATTAATACACATATATCTAAATCTTAATTTATTTTTTTTCTATAATTTTAAATTAATTAATATTACATTGCTTTATCCAATAGAATACAATTCTTATCTTAAAATAATTTGCCACAAAATAATTAATGTAATACAAATTTAAAAGTGAAAACAATTGGACGACTTCTATCAAGCATCATTTATATTTATTTAGTTAAATATTCTTTTCTATTATGAATTCCAATTTTATTAACTATTTATTTGTGCATCTATTTTATGGATTGTTTCATACTCTTTTACTCTTAATCAATCTAAGTTTTAGTTTGTCTTTCTTAATGAAATTTAGCAGTACTACCAAACATAGCAATATCTGTATGATTATTATTTTATGTAAGATTACAAGAAAGCATACTTTTATCAATACTTTCCCATTCTATTTCATTATCTCCAACTGGTTATAAATTTATTACTGAACTCTTATTAGATTTATGCTACTTTTATTCTGAATCTACTTTGTCATTATGAATTACTAAAGTACAATCAACTTGATGTGATATTACTGGTCTAATTGATTAGATTGGATTGTAATTAATAGATTAATTAGCAGGATTTATTGAAGATACAGGACTACATCTTTAACTGATTATCTTTGATTATGATTTAACATATGTGATTTCTTTGACTAATTGTTATCTCTCAAATTTAGCTTTGTTTTCATTGCCAAAATGAAAATCATACACCTCATTAGCTAATTCAATTAGATCTAGCTGATTTTAGAAATGTACATTATTATTTATTATATATCCCTACAAAGAAACCTAGAACAACAAACACGATATTAGCAAAACCACCAAGGATGGAAAGTAATTTATCTAATTTTTGATATGATCTTGATATGTAATTGGTATAAGGGGATCTTCTTAAATAAATGGCAGCAAATTATTCTGCAGCATAAATTCCTTAATCTCTATAATCACCTTCTTATTTTGCAAATATTTCAGAGGCTTCTGATTCTTCACTTGTTGGTAATAAATTATTATCAGTATGTAAAATATATTTGGTGAAAAAAACATCAGTTTCTTTACCAATTATATTTGGTACAAATGAAAAGAATAATTCATCATCTAAAAATGATTAAATATATTCATCTCCTTTTTCAGGATTAATTACTTTATTTGTAATGTATCTTAAAATAAAACATATATATAATTACAATTTAACTCTAAAAGATCTTTAATCTAATAACCATTCATCTAATAATTCTTAAGAAGCACAAACTGGTTTCCAAGTAAAAAATGAATTAGATTAAGTTTGATTACTACATTCATTAACAGCAATTTTGAGGAAATCAAAATATTTATTTGTGTACCTTCCTTTCAAAGAAACAGAATAATTAAGCCTATAATTGAGAATAGAAGTACTAAGGACATAACCAAGTATCTAGACCTATTTCACGATATTGTTATGTGAAATTCAATCCATATGGAGTAAATATATTTTAAAATCTATCTAAAGTACATGGTATCAAATCAATATGTTGATCTCGTTTAATAAGAGTGCCATTTTCTAATCTTTCATATTATCTTATATAAAATATAATAGGATTAGTTACCTTTATCGTAAAGTTATATTAAAAAATGGATTAGTATTGAAATTAACTTATTCTATAGCTACAGCAAACATAAAATTTGATTCATTAAGTTATATTGAATCAGGTTCATCTTCAAAAACTTCGGTTGTCTCACTTTAAATGTTTACTTTATTTATAAAGTCTCGAATATTTGATTAAAAAAACAGAACAACAATTCCTAGGATCATTAAAGTGAAGAAACCACCAAAGGCAGTTTTGTATTCATCTTCTCCATTGAGATTTAACAATATATTCTATCCAAATAAATCTATTGACTTAAGCACTTTGATTAGCAATTTAAATTACACTTCACTACAGATTTTCTTATACTCTTCATTAAATTATATAAATTTATAGATATTAATCAATCTCATTTTCTTATTAGTTAAATTATTGATAAAATTCCTAAACATGAACATGATCCCCAAAACCAATAATATGCTTTATGTTTATCTGGTGTCAAATATGGCTTCTAAAATGTAGAATAGAAACTAGGAACAGGATACAAATCTTAAATATTAATATATCAATCCCTTTTTACCTTAAGATTTAAATAATCCTGCATTTTCAGTAGATGTTCCTAATCTTTCTAAATATAATTTTTTTGATTTCTCTTATAATTAATTTTCTTTGGCTATTAATTCAAGATCAATAAAAGTATTCATAAGATTTTAATCTGTATTCTTATCTGGATGTTCTGGTAATTTTATCATACCACACATATCTTTTAATTTTATTCCTTCAATTGATTCTATTTAATCTAAATAATTTTCTGGAACCCAACCCAAATTTACTATTATGGCTTCATTTGAATTATCCCTTAGTATACCGCACAACATCATTCCTGGCCTTCCATCTTAATATCTGTACACCTTTAGTATATATTTATCAAGAGTTCTACGACAATCTTTATTAAAATAACCCTGATGTTTTAACTAGTATATATGAGTATTTTTTAGGATCTAATTATAGAATATCTGAAATCTCCATATTTTATATTGGATAATCTGGTTTGAATTGCTCATCAATCAATTTCCATTTTCTTATAGATTCCTAATAACGCCTATATTACCAGTTGCATGCTGACATAGCAGTCACTGTAAGACAAGACATTACACCTGTAAACAATATTCTTTTCATATTATTTATAAAAATTGTAAAAAATATATATATATATATATCAATCTTTAAAGAATTTATATACTAGTTCTGATAATAAAGAAACACCCTAGCATTATTATTCTTCTTCATTTAAATCTAAATATATTTATGATTCTATACCTGTATTCAAATCTTCAATTATTAAATACTTTGATTATCTCTTCATTTAAGGAGTAGCTTATTCTATCCAATCAAATTAGTAGTTTTCTATTATTTTATTTTCTCTTAAGATATTTCTAAATAAATTGATTAAGAATTCATAATCAGGTTTCTTTCTATGCTGATTCCATTTGATATACCCAAATAAATCTGCAAAAGGTAATTAACTCATTGCTTTTGAATTTATATATTATTCCTTTTATTTTAATGCATCTCCATTAACTAAAACTTCATTTCCATATTTTTTCCAAGGTAAATGACCTATACACATGATTAATTTAAATACCATTATACAAAAATACAAGAGTGTAAGCTAGCATTTCAATATCATCAAGAAATCGATACTTCTATCTCTTATGTACAGATATAGGATCATATAAAAATGTGCCCTCTAACTCTTAACGAGTATCTCCCTTACTCTAATCTTGGGCTATTCCAAAGTCTATTAAGTATATTTGTGGGTCTTAAATAAATATTACTTAAAACCTTTAAGTGATTTAACCATTAAGTTTGTAGGTTTGATATCTCTATGCACTATATTCATTTGGTGTACTTACTTTAAGATCTCCAATACTTTTATTGCTATAAAGCAGATGCATTTCAAAGTAAATTGCTTTAATTTACATTTGATTGTGTGTAAATCTTGAGATAAAAGTTCCATGCTCATAAAACTCCATTTTTCTTATTCTTCAAAGCTATAAACTTTTGGTATACCAACCACATTAGATAATTGTGTCATAATTTAATATTCATTTTTTAAGTCAAATTGTGAATGTTTGATTGCTACTTCTTAATTGGTTGATTTGTTGACTCCTTTATAAATTGATCCAAATCCTCCTTTATTGATTTTGTTTTGAATTAAATAACCTGAGAATGTAATATTTTCACGGTAAATACTAAGGCTTTTTTATGATCTAGCCATTGTTTAATTATCTTATAATATATTGCAATCATAAAATCATAATTCACGCATTAATTAAATTCTTTTAGTGCACAATAAGAAGAATGAAATTTAAATATTAATTTAGAATAATTTTATTTAAAGTTCTCCTATCATTTAAATCTTTCTAACCTGTCTCCTTGTAAAGTATAACAAAAATTCTATGAATTTAAAAAGTAGTTGAAATAATTGAATTACTCATTTAGGATGTTTGTTTTAAAAAAAGTAAATAGTTAATGTATATTTCCTTCTATGTTTATAGATGTATTATATCCACACAAATAAAAAGTATTAGTAAATACTTATAAGTATTGAAAATTAATGCAAACGTAAATGAATAGTAATTGAAGGACATATAAATGAACACAAAGAGTGTTTAAAATAATTAAGATATTTATTTATAATTTGCTTCTTAATAGTGTATGAAATCTTAGAATTCTAAAAAACCTAATCTAAAGATTACACTAAATAAGAAATCAGTGGCATAATTAGTGAAATCAGACAAGCCTCCAAGTTCCAAATGTTCTTAGAAAACAACATCATCAAATGGAAAGGTAAGAATTATAGCGTATATAAATGATTTAGACAACTGCTTCATCTAAGTAATTGTGTTTTAAATTCCAAGACAACTATTCAACTGCTAACCCATCTGTAATTTCAGAGGGTGAGAAGAAATGTAAAAATATTATAAATAATCAATAGCACTTGATTCAGATCAATCATAACTGATATAATTGCTGATTCAAAAAAATTTGTAATTGTAAAAGCAAAATTCAGATAAGGACACCATAATTTCTAAACTTATAACAAATAAAAAACCAGTCATTTTATAAAGAGCCAATACATCAAATACTGAGAGGAGTCCTGAAAAATGCTTTTAAATGTATCTATTGCAATAAGAAGATCTAGAAAAAAGTTGCAGCAAAACACTTGCCAGAAGAAATCAAATTCTCCTCTCGGCTTCACGTTTTGTAATGTTGATTAAGATGACGAAGAAAAAGTAATTTAAAGTCAACCAATGACAAAGTCTCAGAAGAGACTTCCTAAAGAGTTTTAAATTGTACCAAATCAGAGACGGTTTTTCATATGAAGAAATTGAAAATAAATTGTTATACGATTTTATGTTTAGTTTCAATTAGATCGAAAAATCATCTACAAAGTTATTCAAATAATCCACATATTTCTTCTATATTAATTTGCGTAAAGATAATATAATAAAAATTGAGAAATTATTACTACAGAACTGAACATTAATAAATATATAATAAAATAATTCGTATTTTTAAATGTTTAATCAGTGATTAATCGATACTATTATTATATTTTACTAAAGATAAAATATAATATTTTAAAAAGGTTAATTCACTTATTTTAAGTTGAATCCAAATTATTAAATAAGATTTCTCTAAATCATTATTTTATAATTGTATAATATCACATATATTTGTTGGCAACTCTATAAACTGTTTGTAGGTAGTTTCCAATTAGTGGTGTACAATGTTTCCTTCTATCTGCCTTTGGATGTATTTTTTATATTTGATTATATAAAATATCTGCTGAAATAGTATCACAATAGAAAAATGAATCTACATTCCTTTACATTCTAGCAAAAGCAGTTAAATTTTATCGGAAGAAATTAATATCATGAATTTCAAATTCAATCTCACATCTCCTCACATTATTTATTATATTGTCTCTCATTGTTGGATATTTAAATTCTGGATTTACATCATATAATTTAAATAGTAAATGATACAATAGTTTATTCCATTATATTTATCCATCAGCTTTAAATTAATCTTTTAATTATGAAAAATTCTAATGATCAACTGTTAAAACTCTACTAAGACTAATTTCTAAAAATTGATATTAGATTATTTAATATTATTTAAATCTTATAGATCTAAATTTGTTTCTGTCAATAAAATTATCGAAATCTATTGGTATATTAAAATTATTTTCAATATTTGAAGATAATCGATATTGAATATAATCTTTCATTATGTCTAAATTTTCAAGTCTTTTTTTTTGAATTATAGCTTTTTTGCCATTCAGATATATAGAAACTCTTTGACTATTTTATAAAAGTAAATCCAATCGTAAACCATATTATTATTTTAAAGATGGTGCATTTTTCTCTGGATCAATATACATATTATATATTTTTGATGAGATCTCATCATTTTTTTCTAAATTTCTAAAATATTAAGTCAAATTAATAAAGCTAAATGATAAAGAATTCGTATCAAATTTATCTTAATGATAAAGAACAAAATTAGGTTAAAATGTATAATTTTGGGATTATTGTGTTATCAATAAATGATGATATTTGGATGCAAATCTAAAAGGATTACATGTTTTAATACCTGAAATTATCAATCATTTCTTTATACTTTTCTTCTTTAGATAAAAAGGTGCCCAACTTTATTTCAATTTCTAATTGTTAATCCGAGGTGAGATTTGATGTTTATTCAAAAATACTTTTAAAATATCTGATGATTTGTTCTTAATATTCATCATAATCAACTCTAATAGGAATGAGTTGATTTCTGATGGTTGGATCTTTTTGTTTTAAGTATGATAATATATCATAATAAGGTTAATTCATAAAAATAATTTATAAAGTAACTAAATGGAAATTCATTCTGATTTCGATCTATTTGTACATATATACAATTTTAAATATAAATATATGTTAAAAAGTATATATAATCTAAGAATTATTCACTAAATAATTACTTATTCGACTAAATAGTTGAATGAAAAAGTAGAGTCTATGAAGATATTTATTAATACTAATATTTTGAGAGTGTTTACAGTAAATAAGTGAAGTAGTCATTTTTGATTGAAATTTTGGATTAGTTTTGAGAATTTTAGATTTTAATTATTATTGCCAATTCGTATATTTAATCTCTTTTTTTAAATTTAGGAACAAAATAAAAATTGATATATATATCTAATTAATTAATTGTACTCTTCTTTTACTCTAGTTAATTAATCAATCAATTTACTTATATTAATTAATTATGATTAAAGTGGATATCTCTCGTAAACGTGATAGAATTCATAATGAAATTTTTCTTTCTCCAAAAATTCACAAATATTTAATATATTCTTTACTTAAACATTCCATTAATTATTTGTTATATAACTACTAGAAATAAGAATTGATTTTATAGAAAAATAATAAATTTTTCATATATTTCAGATATCATTTATAACCTAACCCATTTTAAACAATCTATATATTAATATCTATCAAATTTAATCTAAATTCTGAAGAAATCAAACTTAGTTTTATATGTCTTCCTAATAAATACAAATATATTTACTTTAGACTGTTGTAATCTTTTGGGTTAAATTAAACATTCCTATCATCTAATTCTATGAGAGAATGTAGAATGTATCACAAAAGTGAAAGGATTATGTATTTATAAGGAAGTAATTTTGTAAATTGCAAATTCTTTAGATTTATGTCATTTGATTTGTTAATGATAATTGATAATATATTTTATACGACGTATCAAAATGATTAAATATTCATCTTTTAATTCTCTTTCCTTGATTTAAGCTATCTTAATTAATTTAATTAAATGGATATACTCCTTCCATAGACACAAGGTGAATTAGTATACATTTATATTTCTGCTCGTAATCTTCGAAATTTAGATCATTCGAATATATTAGATTTCAGATGTCGAGTATACCTTAAGGATGATTTCATAGGAGAAACAGAAGTCTCTAAATCTACACTTGATCCTGATTTCAAATAGCCTATTCCAATTATGTATAAGTTTAACAAAAAATAAAAACTGATTTTCCAAATTGTAGATGCTGATTAAGAATTGTCTAATCAATTAATAACTTAATCAAATTAAGCAGCTCTTGTTGGATCATGTAAATAACCTCTAGCTAAACTAATGGGTGCTAGAAATTCATTGAGTTAACTCAATCTAATGAAGGGTGATGAAATTGTTGGAAATATCATTATTCATGTAAGCAAAAAAGGACCTTAAGTTATTGGATAGAATTAATAAGGATCCAAAGTTACTGAAATAAAATGGCGTTGGGCTGGTATAAAACAAATTTAATTATAATAGGTGTCAAATTGCTTGACTTAGATTTTTTCACTAAATCAGATCCATTTGCTAAATTTTATTCAGTCAATGGTGATTAAATTGATTTGATCCATTAAACTGAAATCATAAAAAATAATTTGAATCCTAATTGGATGGGATGGGAAACTACTGAAGAATAAGCATTTAAGAATTCTAAGAAACTATTTGTAGAAATTATGGATTATGATAAGTTAGGATCTCAATAGGTTAAAATATATATTACAATTAGATTGGACATGTAACAATTGATTATAATGAAATTAAAAATGATAAAAGAACAGAATTTCCGTTATTAACTCCCTAAGGAAAAAATGCTGGTACATTAAAAATATTAGAATTAACAATTATTGAACCACCTATTTAGGCTACAGAAATAGTATAAGAAGAACCAAAAGATCCTACATTTCTAGACTATCTAATGGGTGGATGGCAAATGTCATTATCAATAGGTATTGATTTTACATTTTCAAATTAACCTATTACTAAACCTGATTCACTACATAAAATTGATCCAAATAAACTAAATTATTATTAATAAGCAATCAAAGTGATTGGAGGAGAGATTGTTGCATTTGATTATGATAAAGAAGTACCAGTTTATGGATTTGGAGGAACACCAAAATTACCTACTTATACAAAAAATACAATGGATGATTGTTTTCCTTTGAATGGAAATAAAGATAGTCCAAGTTGTTAGGATATTAAAGGAATTTTAGATGCATATGTCAATGCAGTTCCATAAATTGTTTTTTCAGGACCTACATTTATTGCAAATGTATTGAGTAAAGCACACTTATTTGCAGTAGAAAATGCTAAAAAGAATATATATACAGTAGCTATAATTCTAACTGATGGATAAATTGAAGATCAGTAATTTATCTATATGATTATTTAGAGATGATGCTATAAAAGTATTATTACAATGTCAGAATTTACCAATGTCTATTGTCATTATTGGAGTTGGAGATGAAAACTTTAAATATATGAAATAATTTGATGATCCTAAATTCCTTAAGAAACATGCTAAAGAAAATCAAATAGTTAGAGATATCATTCAATTTGTTTCATATTAAGATTTTAAGAATGACATTGAATAAATGAGTTCTGCAGTCTTGGATCAATTACCAAAATAATTCATGGATTACATGCATATCAATAACATTTAACCTGTTAAAATGTCATCAGTACACATTAGTAAAGCTATGTGATAATATATCATAATAAAAAATTAATGATATTTATAATATTTTTGGATGAATATCAAACTTGGATGTTTGAGAAATCTACACTTTTAACAAGGGCTAAAGCTTATTCACTAACTCCTAATTCTCTAGTGAATTCATTCTTGGTATTGGTATAGATATCAGTTTCTTCAGCATAAGTGTTATTTTCTAATTCTAATTCAGCAGTGTATTATTTTTAATCAGCTGCTCTTTAATCTCTGAATTCAACCATTGAATCAATTTTCTCTATAAAAAATATATCAAATGTATTTACCATTGGTAGCAGTCAAATCAACTGTTGCTCTATTAATTTATCTTTAAAATTCACTATATTCATCATCTAATTATTCAAGATATGCTTCATGATCAACAACATCTTAAGCTTCTTAGGCTGTTAAATCATTGATTTAATCAACAACTGCATTTCTAAATTCGTTGAGAGCATCAACAATATTTTTCAAAACATCTTAATTAGAGAAATTTTGATTTGAAGCTAAATTAATCAAAGCTTTAATCATTGGTGCCATTCTTGATCTTGATTTAATTTTGTTTTCAATATTTTTAAGTGTATTTTAGAATCTTCTGATTTATAATAATGATGGATTTGTAAGTGAAGCAAGAAGAGCTAAAGCATCATCAACTGAAGCAGTAGCATCATTTAATTCAGCAACTTATGCTTCAAAGGCTTCATGTTCTTATTCTCTAACTAAGATTGCTTCATCATAATTCTTTCTATTTTCTTCTTAATATCCAACAACTGAATCAATCTTGCTTTAGATTTAAGCTCTTCTTGGATAGAGAAGATTGTCTAAAGTATCTTATGTATTATTGACATCTAAATTAATATAAATTATTAATTACCAATTACAGCATCTTGAATGTCTTATTCCAAACTGACTACTAAGGCATTATGTTCATTTGTTCTCACTTAGAAATTGAATTCTAATTCTTCTAATTCCTCTTCTAAATCATTAATAAGTTCTTCAATAGCATCAATTAATTCTTGAACTGGTCCTCCAGCCATTGAGTGTAATTCTACTAAATGAAGTAAGGCTTTTCCATAGGTGCTTTTAGCTAAATCAGCTTACACTTTAGCCATATTTCTCTCTTGGACTCTGGCCGTGAAAGCTATAGCAATGAGGGCAATCAGAATAATTGATTTCATTTATTTAATTATTAATCATATAAAAACGAATTCTTTGAATTATCAACCATTAATTAATCATACTCTTACCTCAATTTTTCATTATATAATTATTATATATAATAATTACTTTCATATATGCATACTTTCTACATATTCATAACTAATACAAAATTTAATATCAATTAATCTTAAATTCAAAAACGAATTCTTAACTTTATATTGATCATAATATTTAAAGATAAAACTTAAACTTTTAGAATACTTTAATATATCTACTTTAATACATCTATATTTAAAAAGTCATTGAATAATATAATTAACATATGAATATATAAAGATTATAAAACTGAATATTATAAATATAGATTCAATATATATATATATGAATCCTAGAATAAATGGTTTATTTATGATTATAAATATCAAACGAATTCTTTTGTTTTCATAAGAATAATTCTAAAGCTAATTATATTTAATGACTATGCTTAGATTTAGAATTGAAAAGATTTCTCATCTCATTCAACGAATTGAGTATTTTCTTTTAAACATTAGTAAGCAAATGTTTATGATCTATAATTTACCAATCACTCACATCTGTTTCCTCTTCTATAGTTTATATCATGAAATCAGAATCTGAATTTTGACTCCTCACTCTCTCTATTTAATTTTCATCTATCAAGAAAGTCACTTCTTCCTCAACTGAATACATAAGAACTTTTCTCTCAGGTGTTCTTATTTAATCAGAATTGAATCTCACTAATCTATTATTCTACTTTGGGATCATTGTTTATTCTTAAAATGATAAAGATCTTGGTTTTCCTACTTCTTATGTCAAATTCAAGTGTTAATGGAAACGAACAATTATTGATACATCACCATCTATGTTTAAATGATAGCATTTATATAATTCTAAATTCTAATTTTTACCATTATGATCAATAACGATTTAAAGTAAGTAGTTTTAATAACACTCTTACTTAATCAAGAAATTTTAATATAATGAGCTCTTTGTAAACATACAACAAAGTGAATTTTTTTCAAATGTACATTGTTTGCCACATGGCATATTTCGGTTGTTATTACTTTTAAATTACAAAATCCATTATTCAGCTAAAATTCTCCTTTGACTCATATTATGTTCTAAGTAAATTGATATACTTAAGCTAACTTCATTTGATTTAGAGTTTAATGTCTAATTAAAAATATGCTGATTGCCAACATCTTAATTCAGACATACTCTTTTATTTAGTATAGTTGTCATGTATTCATTCAGAATAAATTTATGATTTTACATAGCTTAAATTAGATGCTCCTTTTTTTAAATTGTTATAATTTATAAATTAGACATGAAGACCCATTTCTACTTAACTATCAGTTTTTTTCAGATTAATTTTTCAGTGACACTTAGTTGAAATCTACTAAGAAGAAGAACTATTGTAAAACTTATTTAAGCATATGATGGCTTTTAGTATCTTGATGAGTCATGAACTTTAAATTTTATATACTATACTATGCAATTGTGTTCAATAAAATAAATAAAATTAATATGTAATATGAAATAAAAATAATTAATATTTTTAGACACTATAATAATTATTGTTCCATAACTTATGCAATAGCTATTAATCCAATTATAAATTTTATGAATAATATATTGTATTTATATTTATATATTTGATTTTGTAAAACATAGAATTAATTAATAACATAATATAGAAATTGAATACTAAAACAATTAAATAATAATAAAATATGTTTTATTAATATCAAGCATATATACTTGAAACTTATTCAATTAAAAATAGCAAGCTTCCGTTATGAACTGATAAAATGAAATTGAATATGAAAATTCATAAATGTAATTGATTGATATTAAGTAATCTTTAGATCAAAATAATTTAAAAACAAAAACTATACTAATTTTAAATTGATGATGTTATTAATTTTATTTATAAATCAAAATGTTTAGCGTATTTCATACTTGCAAGAGTAAAACATCGAGTTTTGACAATACCAAATTGCGTTGTCATTCAACTAGACTCTCTTAAACTTAATATTCTTGTCCAAGAGTAACAGAGGAAGATAAATTATTATTTGAGAATACTTAATTAAAATATCAACTTCATTAATTGGACGAAGAGTTTAAAATGTATAAACTAAAATAAAGACAAATGAAAGTAAGTAATACACATATAAATGTAGACTGGATAAGGCTTTAGTGGAGAAATATGTTTTTAATTGTAGAATCTGCGAAAGTTATAAACTCTAAATAAGTAACTTGAACAAGAATTATTATAAAAGGTTAAAGATATTGAAGAGATGAAAAAATCAATTAACCTTACCAAATAGTAAGAATTACAAATAGAATGTAAGGAATATCATTCAGAATGTTTACGATTAAGAAAATAAATTTAATAACTTAATTAGCTTTTAAATTATAAACTCAATGGAGTTAATTTGAAAGATCTCTATGAAGATTTAGAAAAAAGACTTAAAAAATTATAAGTTGAAACTAAATAATAATAATAACTAATTTAATAATTACAATCTGATATTACAAAATATAAAAATTAGATTGAAAAATTAGAACTTGAAAATAAACATCTTGATCGAGAAAATAAAAAATAATTATTATTAATTAGTCAAGTATAAGTGCCATAATAAAATAAATTTAAGAATAGACTACAAATTTATAGAGATGAAGTTGAAATTACTAAATTGTAAGCAAAAATAATGGATTTACAATAACAACTTTCAAATTAACAGAATTATAAAGAATAATATATATAATAGCTAATAAAAATTATTAATGAAAAAGATGATTAATTATAAGCTTATGAATTGTCAAATCCAAATCTAATTATTAAATAAGCAACTGAAACGTAATAATTGATTCTAGATTAAAAGTATTAACAATGTGTATAGAATATTTAAAGTGAGAAATCTATTTAAGATGAAATAATCAGTGATATGCCATCCTAATTGAATCTTTTGAGATAACCAAGTATTCGAAAAAAATAGCATGTTATTGATTATTAGAAATCATTTCAAATTGAAATGACAAGCATAAATGGATTTGAAGAAGATTCACCATTAAATGAATAAGAAGAAGATGATGATTCAACTAATAAAAAAGAATTTAAAATTTAAAAGCTTCCCAAAGTCAATTATTATGAAGTTAAAACAATAGGTTAAAAGTTAAAATTTCAATTTTAATTGAAATCTATCCCTTTAATATATTTAGATCAACTTCTGGATTACTATGATGATTCTGAAATTACAATTGAAGAAATTATAGACATCCTATCAAAAGAGCCTTTTATGATGGATGATGAGAGGGAAAAGCTTTTAGTAGCTAGATATCTTGTTGAAGATAATACCTAAGATTATGTTCTACATAGTCTAAAAAATTCAAATTCTATTTCAATAATTAAAAGTGTTTTGAAATAATTATTAGGTAAATATGAGTTATTTTCTATTTCGGAAAAAAAGAATATAGAATAAAATCTAAAACAAATTTTCATTAAACATTAATACAAAATATAAGATACTCTATCTTAATTGGCAATAAAAAAGAATTATTCAAAGTAAGGAGAATGTGATAATTCTGATTATGAAGCAACATTGAGATTTTGTGAAATATAATTATAACCTAGATCAATTGAATATATGGAAATGATAAATTACAATTTAGGAAAGAATTTAGATAGAATTAATTATAAAATTCTAATCTAATATTTTTGCAATACTTAATCATGATTTTAAATTGTTTATACATTTTTATGCTTAATTATCTATATCTGTGTATTATTTATATACATTTAATATATAAAAGTATAATAATTTAAATTATAAATGTTTATGATTAATTCCTATATGAAATATTATTTTTAATAATTTTCTTATTGAAATTTTTATAAATACTTTTCATTTTTTTATACAAATGGAATCCTAAATTAAAAAGAAAACATGCAAAATAATGAAAATCATACAGGTTTCATTAAAATATTCAAATTTTGCAAATGATTTAGATACGTACTTAAAAAATGTAAATTAGAGTAATTTGCTATAATACAACTTCCTATAAATGTCTTATATTTAATTTGATTGTATGCAAGCTTATTAGAAAAATTGAGTTGAAGAGATTACCATGCTTAATATAAATTATAGATAAAAACAAGTATTATATAACTAAATTCAATAGATTATTTGTAGGAATATCAAATGGCGATATACAAATATTTGATATATCTACTGTAAAGTTAATTAATAATCTTGTTGGTCATGCTTATTCAGTTTTACAAATATAATCATTTGCTGATTAATACCTGATTACTCTATGCTAGAATAAAGAAGCAAGAATTTGGAATAGTAGGAATTTACAATTGATATTCAAAATCAATCAGAATATTGCTGTAAAGAAAATTTACTTTTCATAAGATGGATAAAAGGTGATTTTAGTAGCATATGATGGATCAGTCAAAGTATATATTATCATATCTTAGATATATTAAACTTAAACAGGAGAAATTATAAATTAAATAAATTAAAACTTATAACAAGTTTAATTTATTAAATATTTTTAACAAATTGATTAATGTTTAATAGCATATTAAAATAAATAAGAGAGGTAATCTATACAATTATCTATTATTAGATATGTTCTTCTATGGGATTTAAAAGATTATACATATAAGTAAATTCTTCAAGGATTTAAGAAGAGGATTAAAGATGCATATTGCAATTCAAATAGTAAAATAATTATAAATTCTAAAAGATTTCGATTTAGCAGTGGCTATTTTAAATTCATCTAAAATGATTATATATAATATATTGACTGAAGAAATTAAAGCTGAAATAGAAGGACTGAATGATTCAAAGATTAATGTGTAATTTACTAAAAATAATCATCTTATTATTACTGATCAATAGAATATATTAGTTTAGTATTTATTTATTTTATATATATAGTACTGATAAAGGAAAATTTAAATAATAATTAAATACATTTATTGAGAAAAAGGCTTATTTTATAAAAGTTTTAGCAAATTAAAATCATATTAATAATAGAAAGAAATTTTTAAACAATGATTAAATAATAACTGAGAATGAATAAACAAATCATAGTTAGTTTTGGCTTGAAACACCCTCCTATTTTGCAGCTTTAAAATGATATATAGATATTCAATAATATAATCATATTATTTATAATAAAATTACATTAAACCTATTTTAATCTTATTATAATAGTGAAACCAATAAAATATTATTTAATTTAAATTATAATCTAAGATTAATATTAATGAATTAAATATTAATTTAATATTTTTATTTATCTCATCTCATCTAATATTAATAAATATTTTGTATGTAATTAATAATTAAAATATTAAAATGCAATATACTTCTTCATAATTAATTCGAAATCAAACTCCTGAAGATTTACTTTAATCATATTCAAATTAAAAAAGAGAAAATGTATCTACAAATTCTTAGATGTAATCTTAAATAAAAGTAAATCATATTTTTTAATTATGAGCATTCAATTGAATTACTAAAAAATAATCAAATAAGTCATTAAACATTTATTGATTCTACTAATAGAAATCAAGATTAACTAGTTTACTAATTATTTCAACTTTAATAGAAAGTACGTGAATGTGAAAAATAATTCATTAAAAAAGAATTGTTTTTGTAAGAATAGATACTTTAGACATAAAAGAACTTTGATAAAACAATGAATTTAATGAAATTTAAATATTAAATGTAAATAGAAGATCTTAATTCTGAATTAAAGGTGAAAGATGAAGAAATCTATAGTCTTAATTTATAATTATAATAAAGTAATTTAAATAAAATTGAGTAAAGATTATATTCATCTTAATAAAAGTAAAAATCAATAAAAAGTGAATATTTACATACTGAAAGTTCAAGAATAAATTATAAATTTAAAATACCAAGAAGAACTTCAGATGTTAGTAAATATTAGAAAGAATTGAATAGAATTAAAATTCAAACAGCATAATTTGCTTAAAAATTTGAAAATGAGAAAACTTAAATTTAATCAGATATTGTCTAATTGAAAAATTAGAATTAAATTATTTAAGGTTATTTGAACTTTAATAAAGTTTAAAGTACTGATCAATCATAACATAATTCACCAATAAAACTCAATAATATGTTGACAAATAGATAGAATAGTTCTTCCTTTGGAATTAAAGAATATTTCTCTAGCTAATAGTGATAATCTTTTTTGTATTTATTTTTAATAGCTATAAATTGAATCAATATTTTGTGAGGAGTTCCTCCATATATAAAATTTAATCAAAGAGTTACCAATAGCCAATGTTTTCTTCTCCTAATAACTACATTAATTGTTTTCTTAAATCTTAAGTAGAAAATTCTAAAAATATATATATATAAATTATTACATTTAGATTTCATTAATTACAATGCCTTTTCAACAAGATTGTTACCTAATCCACCTTCACATCTATGTTTTAATAGTTTAATTCTATCTTAAATTCGAGCAACAATAGAATTAATTGGTTTTATTTCATCCTAATCAATTCCATCATTATCTCCTTAATCTTCTTCATCCAAATCTTCATTCTCTAATTCCTCTTCAACTAATGGAATGACTTATCCAGCTACACTAATAATAATATTCTTACTTTCTAAAGCTTTGATTTACATATTTTACACTTATCTATTTTGTTAAAGAGACTAACTAATTTCTTATATTTTCAAAGTTTTATCTTTTAATTTAGTTTTCATTAAATCAAGCTTTTAATCAACATCACCTTCCTCTTCATACTCTTCTTCATTTTCAATTTCCTAAATAGCATTAACTCCATCACTATCTTCAGAATCATAATATTCTTCTTGAACTTTTAATGAACTATCCTTTGATTAACGATACTATGCTTATTTTCTTTCTTAAGCTATTTTTCTATTTTAATAACTTTCTTTATATATTTATTATCTTTCCTTTTCTTCTTATATAATTTTTTCTTCATCTCTTTTTTGTTTCTTCTAAATCACCCTTTCTTTAGCACTAATTGTACTATCATCTCTCAATCTATCTTTTTCAAGTGATAAACTTCTTTCTTTTTATTTCTATCTTATTTCATTAGGTCTTCTATCTCTTTCCAAAGAAACCTTTCTCTAATTAACTCTATGATAATCTGGTCTTTATTGAGTATCTGTTTTTTATGTATTTTCTGATTTATTTGTTATGATTTCTGTTGTAGCTTTAGAATTTGAATAAGTTTCACTTTATTTTGTATTTTGTATAGGTACTTTTTATTATTTCTTTTATTCTAATCTTTTAATTTCTTCTTCTAATTTTTTTTTTTCTATTTATTCTTTTTTTAATTATTTTAATTTTAATGCTTCTTATTCTTATATTTAAATTAACATTCTTTATTCTGCTCTTCCTCCTTTTTCTAATTCATTTTTTATATCTGCTATTGTTGCACCTTATGCAATTTATTTTTGATAATGTTAAATAAGTGGTAAGACTCCAATTTATTCAGCCTATTCATATAATGTATCCACATACATATCATCTAAATCAGCTGATTATGGTTCTAAGAGGATTGATTATAAAAAATACCACTAAAAACTTCAAGCATGTAATAAATAATCCTTAATTTTATAATTGGTTTATGAACTATCTCCTATATAGTAGGTCTAGCCTTAGGATTAGTATTAAGCATCTTATTTATGAGATCTCTTAATGCTTTAGAATAAGTTGGACTGATGGATGAATAAGAACCTTTTAAAATTTTCAATGCCAATCCATTCATTGATTATGCATCAAAAGCATGTCTCAGATTACACATTTCATATAGACAACATCCAAGTGCCCATACATCACTCTTATATGAATATGGTTTATATTTAAATAATTCTGGACTCATATAATATGGAGTTCCAATACAAGTATTAGCCAAATCACGAGTAGAATCAAGTACTTTTGCAATTCCAAAATCACCTAATCTAACTCTACCATTTTTAAGAAATATATTTTATGTTTTCATATCTCTATGTAAAATCTTTTGTTCATGTAAATAACATAAAGCCAATGTCATTTATGCAAACCAATCTAAAATTTAAGATTCAGGAAAACTTTTCTTATTTCGAATCTTTTAATAAATATCTCCACCTTCACAATGAATCATTACAATATTTAAATATTATTCTCTATCTAAATATGAATCTTTATAGGCTACAATATTTGGATGTCTCAACTTTTATAATAATCTAACTTCATTTTCAGTATTTTCACGATCCTTCTAACTCATGTCTCTTATTTTGATACGTTTAATAACATAAAGACGATCTTCTCTTTTATTTCTAGCCAAATACACTTAACCAAATGATCCAGAGCCAATTGATTTGACTATTTCATAAAATTCCATTATTTTAAATATTCATAATAATATAGTTAATTAATATGAATAGTAATTTAAATTATAATAGTAATAATAACAGATTATAATCATTAAACTAATTGCCAAGGACTCATTCCATTACAATTACGTAAGTTTTGTGCTCCTTGTGCAATTAAGAGATCAGCAACATTATAGAATTGATATGCTATAGCTTTATGCAAAGCAGTGTCTCCATCATTCTAATTTAAAGAATAAATTAAATTAATACATTTTATAAATTGACTTTTGCACCTTTACTTAATAAAAATTCTACAATCTCAATATTTCCAGTCTAAGCTGCTAAAATTAAATAAGTGTTGTTTCCTTTTAAAAATTCATTAATTGACAAATTTGGATTGTTAGTAAATTCTTCTTTAAGCTAAAATTATACTATAATATAAAGTACTTCTGATAATTTTTATTCTTCAATAAGTAATTTGATTTTCTCTATAAATGGAACAGATTATCTTCTACGAGATTCAGTAATTTATGTTCTCATTTATAGAGCATGTTTACTCATAGAAGAAATAACAGTAATAGCATTTCTTCTTTCTTAACTCTTTGTGGGTTTAAGTAAATCCTCTTCTTTTTAAGAAATTGGCATTGTTGTATTTTACATAGTCTAAGTAGCCTTCATTTTATTTGATTATGTAGTATTTAAATTACTTGTTTCTTTAAAACTAGTCTCATCTTAAGGAGAATCGTTTCTTTTTTGTATAACATTGGTTTAACTTGTAGTAGTTTAAAGTAATTATTTAATAGGTTTTGAATTATTAGATGTATAATTGATTGTTTAATGTCTAGGTGAAGATATAATTTTTTTTGAATTTATTTTTGAATTAGGTATTTCATTTGTTGGAAGTTGATCATGATAAGATGTCTTATTTTTAATAGGTTTTGCAGATTTAATATAGATTTTTGCCATATCTATTTTAATAATAGATTATTGTGTTTGTGTCTATTCATCTAATTCAATCAAACCATAATCATTAGTTAGATTATCAATTTCATGATCATCTTGAAATATACCTGTCAAAATATCATTATATTAATGCAATATTATTTTAGTTTGAGCTATTTAATCTCTTCTTTTACAATATCTATATAAAGAATTAACTTTGTTAATAATCTGATTATCATGATAGATATCATAGGGATCTTAGATTATCGTATTATTAATTAAGGAATTATGATCTTGTAGCATGATATTTCGAGTTTCTGGATTTAAAGTATTTATTATGAAGTTAAGATATGAAGTCAGATTTGTTATTTTAAGTTTAGATTAACATTAAATAATTTCATAGTCTCTATCAAAACTATCTAGATCATTTTATGAATAATCAATAAATGATTAATCGAAATAATAGATTTAATGAAATTGAAATCTATTATACTCTATAGTAATTTGAAATATTGGATTTGATAATTACTCAGGATAGATATTAATTGGATTGGTATAACAAGATTAGAGTCTACTAGATTATTGACTTTCACATATTTTTAGAATATCTATAGAAGTAAGTCTCTCTTGTATTAATTTTAAATGCACTAAGATATTTTACTCTAATTTTATAAAGATTTGTGACATCTTGTTTTGTAAATACATTTTCATAAACCTACTAGTCTTACTATATAAAATAATTACTTTTTATATATTATAGAATTAACGAGCATCTTCATTTAGATTCTCTTAATCTGATATACCAATTATCTTTTAAATAGATTTAGAGAATTTTGATGTCATCTTCTTAGGTTATAAGGATATCTATATTTATTTTAAATTAACTTACAAATTATAATGCCTACTTTAAAACATGTTTGGGTTTATCAGTATATTCTTATATATCCTCATTAACATCTTCCAATTTCTTACAATAATCTGGAACACTGAATGAATAGACTCCTATTTAATTTTCTGGATTGTACACAGAGATAGTCAACTTTTTTCTATTGATTTGCATTGTAGGTTACAGTTATACCTTTTTCTCCTCAATTGGATCCAACATTATTGTACTACCAGCTTTATAAATTTAAGTAGGCTAATTTTGAAATTGAATAGTTGACAAATGATTAGTTAATGTAAATCGAGGACTTGTCATCTGAGTTTTAAATTTATCTGATAAGAAACTATTCTCATTTGTTTGAATTTCATTATGTTAGATATGACTAGTAGTTATGATTTATCTAATATTCTTTAAGAATATTTAGATATTCATATTATCTTCTGATTAAATAGACTAACTCTCAATATTCAAACTCTACTTAAAAATCTTCTTTCTCTAATGATCTTTAAATTTAAGTGGTCCTTCTAATGTAAAGTGTGTTTCCTCATCCTTCTTTAATTTTCCTTCAGAGATAATGTTCTTGAATTATGCAGAAGCAATCAATTCAAAAATAGACTATTGATTCTTCATTTCATTATCTGGAACACTCCCTAAAGTTTTCATTGAAGTTCCTTTCAAAATCTTTCTTGCAACTACTCTACCACTCAATGGAGCAGACCCTTAAATTTAAGGAATTTAAGCTAAAGGTAGAGAAGATAAGGTATTTTTTATAAATTATCTTTAGGTGATTCTCCCTATAAAGAAAGTTTTGGTATTTGAAATTTCTTAAACTGTATGTAGAGATTTGACCTTATTATGGCCTTTGTTTCTCATTTTATTATATTAAAAATGCTATTTTACTTTTGTAAACTAATTATTTAGAACACTACCCGTATATTTATAATGATAAATACATAGAAATATCAAAAAAAATATAAATTTATACATTAATTTTTAATTTTATCATCCTAAAAATGAATAATAAATTGTGGATATTATTGTTATTGTTGCTAGCAGTAGAATAGAGAAGTTTATAATACAATTCAAATTACAAATAGGTTCATCTTCATTTTAAGCTATATATATACTTAATATTACTTAAATTATTCAATGTAGAACTAGTTTATTCATTTGAGAGATTTTTATTCATCATAATTGGACTTGAATTACTTTATTACATTGATAGAGTAACCTTCTTAACACATCTATGTTTTGCATGCTAAAATTATTCTCATCACAATTACTTTTTAAGGTATAATTTTTCTCTTGAATTATAATTTAGCCAATTCTTATCGAGCTTTTTCTTATTATTGAATCTATGTTGCTTTATCTACAAAATTCCACTAATTCTACTTTAACCATTCTCTAATGTCTTCCAAATTCTATTCTTAAATTCTCTTAAATTCATTCTACACTTATTGATCCAATAAATCTATACCAAACTTTTATGCAAATTGATATAATTTCTTTCATAAATAGATATACACTTTACTTTTTTTGGTCTATTAAAATCTAATTGAGATATTTTCTCTAATTATTTCTTAGCTATCAATGCTTTTTATAATTTATCCTTTAAATCCTCTGCTTCTTTCATCTAACCATTTTATTAATAGGTTTTCACCATTTCCATTCCCCTTGTTTCAATAAATCTACCTAATTCCTAAACTTCTTTAGGTATTGGTTTCTTTGGATCTAATTCATAACTAAGCTCTTAGTCATTATCTTGATATGCAAATTAAGCCATGAAATCTTAGGGTAAATCCTCTTCTTCATAGACATCATATTGAGAAGTTTCTTATTAATCATACAATTCTTTGTCACTATCATATTCTTCAAACTTTTTTAATTGTGCTTTAACCATTTCGTAGACTTTTGTTATGCCTTCATTAAGAGGATCCAATTACTAAGCAAATTTTAAATCCTTACAAATCATTTCACAATCTAATTGAGTTACTTACTCTGATAAAAACCGAGACTAATTTATCTAAAAAGTTAAGTACCTAAGCTCTTAAAATAAAGGCACCTGCACAAAGAGGATTTAATTATTACCAATAATCACACATCTTAGTACAAGCTGCTTATTCACGTAAAATGTAATAGCATTTACCCATCAATTCCAATAACTTTTTCCAATGGTCTTAAAAGCAATGTTAATTAAAAATGTATACCTCTTATTTATTATTGTTCAGGGTAATGTCTACAATTTAAATCTTCGAATTTAGTATCCTCCCATCTTTTTGACTATTTGGCTTCTGCAAACACAGACATGCATATCTCAAATTAATCTATTGCGTTTTAATATTGATCTAGAGTATTAAATTTTGTATGGTACTTAGATTAAAGAATTTTAAACCTCTTTCGAATAAAAGTTCATAGATTTTCATTTTTTATGAGAAAGATTGACGTGATAATTGCTTACAAGCTAGACGAAGCATAATTAGTTTATTATTTAATTAAAAAATCTTAGATTTTGTGTCCAACTTTTGATAAAATATTTATTTCAATAAAGAAGTGATCTTCAAATTGTAATCTTTTTTAATTTTATTTATATATGACAAGTCCTTCTATATAGAACATTATTGTTTAATAATTAAATAATAATAATAAACGAATAATTATTATAATTAATAATGTCAACTAAATTTCGTTAATCGGTGAGATTCTTACTTTGGGTGATACGTAAAAATGTACCTGGAAGAATTGCATTATTGAAGTCGTAATGTCCCTCACCTAAATGAGATCCAAATAACGTTCACAACTTGAAGTTTTGCAAGTAAATGCATTGATGCAACGATTTCAATACTGTAGAGACATGATAACAAAAGAAGGATTTGAGAAATATAATAAATTTTGTGAATTCTTGTACACAATTTATTGTAGAACAGGAGAGAGAGTAATTCGTAAAGGATAATAAGGAGTTCGGTTTTACATGATCTTGTAAGGATAAGTTTCATTGGTTAGCTATAAACCTAAGAATCGTAAAGCTTAATTGTTGATGGATTAAGAGAAAGTATGATAGTCATGTTTATTAAAAGGATACTGTTTCTAATTATGAAGATGATACTTTATTTAGTGCTTTCAGTTTTAAAGAATTGAATCCTGGAGATTATTTTGGTGATATGTCATTATTAGATAATGGATAAGTGTCATGCACTATTATTTGTAAGACTTTTTGTTAGTTTGTGTGTATGGATAAACAATAATTTGTAAAGTTTATTGGGAAATCAGTACCAATGTTATAGAAACTCAAAATATTAGAAGAATAATCAATTTTTAATTGTTGGACAGATGGTGAATTAAGAGCCTTAAGTTATGAATTCAAGAATAGAACATATCATTAGGAAGAGTACTTATATTAAGAAGGTTAAAGGAATGTTTAAGTTTTCTTGTTAATGGATGGATAAATTGAGATGACTTCAACTAGAGATAATTAGTCATATCATCTTAGTTCTTTAGATGTAGGTGCACTCTTTGGAGATGATACTGATTATCATACATGTAATGCTAAATGTGTATCAGCCAGAGCAGATGTACTTTTGATTGGAAGACAAGTTTTAAGTCGTATGTTGGATTGGCATCCTGAATCTAAATAATTGTACAGACAATAATTATGTATTATAATCTAATTTATACTTTTAGAATACAAAGTTAATTGGAGATAAGAGAGATTGAATAATCTTATTGAAAGTCATGAGGACAAAACTAAAGTAAAAAGAACTCAATCAATTAAAATGTAATTATTGGATTTATTGATTAAACCAAAGTATTAAAAGATTCGTCTCTCACCTTGTGTTAAAAGAGTCACTAATATATAGGACATCATGGATTTTGAAGAGAAGAAACTTAAACATAAAGAAATCTTGGAAAAATAGAATTTAGTCATTTCTTAACGCAAAATTGAATTCTTTAAATTAGGTCTTACATTTACTGAAAAAAGAAGAAAGAAGTAAAAATAATAACAAGCAGAATTGAATTCCAAACTTTAGAGACAATGTGAAAGTGTTATCATCTTAGAACCTCCTTTAGAGAAACTCAATAGAGCATCAAGTACTATTATGACCAAAACATCATAAAATACTTTTAAATTATCACCTACCAAGAAACATAGAAAAGTTTTCTCAATTGAAGGAACAACCATTAATATTCATAATAGATAATGAACTATCATATATTTTATTATCAATAGTTTATAAATAATTATTACTTATGAGCAAAAAAATAAAAAATACTTAACCTCTACCAAAAGTGAATTGGAAGGATACTGATATGGAAGAAGAACTTACTATCAAAATACCTCATGCTAATTTAATTAATAAGATCATTGATCCAAGATCAAGTCCTTAAGAATTCTTTGTCCCAATAGTATATATTATTTTATTCTAAGAGATTTCCAGCTCAATAACATATGAAAGATGCTGATGGCTTTTTCATACCTTTACCAAAAGAGGATCCAAAAAAAAAACTATAACAATAACATCAATTTCAAAATAAAAGGTATTAAATTCAATTACAGGATTTAATATCTATTGATGATTTGGGTCAAGGTTCAAGTGGAAAAGTAATTAAAGCATTACATAGACCTACTAATTTGATTGTTGCACTTAAAGTATTCATAGTAATTAGTAGGCAATACAAGTAATGAATGATGAGAAGTTTACTAAATAAATCAATTTGGAATTAGAAACTTTGGTCAGTTGTGACCATACTAACATTATCAGATGTTATGGAGCTTTTCTAGAAGGAGCTTAAGTTGCTATCGCTTTAGAATTTATGAATTTAGGCACTTTACAAGATGTAATTAAGAAACAAGGAAAAATTCCTGAAGGAATGCTAGGATTAATAGCTTATTAACTTCTTAAAGGTTTGGATTATTTACATAGAACAAAGAAAATCATACATCGAGATATCAAGCCTTCCAATTTATTGATTAATAGTTAAGGAGAAGTCAAAATATCTGATTTTGGTGTTAGTGGTTAATTATTAAACACTTAAGATCAAAGAAGTACTTGGGTTGGCACAATTACTTATATGTCACCAGAAAGATTTCTTTGTGAGCCCTACTCTTCTAATACAGATGTTTGGTCTTTGGGACTCTCTTTACTTGAATGTGCATGGGGAGTTTTTCCATATCCTCATCCTGGAACTAACGAAACAACTCACTCTTTAGGATTTTGGGAAATCAAAGAATACATAGTTTATAAATCAGCTCCTCCTTCACCTCCTGATTTTTCATAAATTGGGGCTGATTTTATAGCTAGATGTTTATAAAAGGATCCAGGATAGAGGAATAGTGCTGCAGAATTATTGGTATAAAAATATAAATTAATTCTAAGGAACATCCTTTTATAAAACAATATGAAGATGTGAGTCTATAATATTTAGAAGGTTGGCTTAACATTAATTAATGATTTAAAATTATAATACATCATTTAAGATGTTTCAAATCTGAACATGATTCTATATTCTTGACCATCATTCCTAATTGATTGTTAATTTCAATTAATTGAGGTAAAGTGCATTTAAACACAATATCCTTGTCTTTAGTATCTGTAGATTTAGTGTGTAATTATATTTTATATATTTCTTAATACACTTTATTAGCATATTTAGAAGACACAACTATTTCCTATTGCCAATCGACATCTACTAAGTAATTGAAACCAATTTTTGATTCAAAATTGGCTGCTATTATAGCATTATCAGGATCATTGATAAATTATTTGAACTAAGTAAATTTCTTAATATATCCATCTACTATAGTTTGATCAAATCCATAATCATATAAATTTGTAGTGATTTCAATTTCCATTAATTATAACTTAATACATTGAACTGTGAATAGTAAAATTAAATTGAATAATTCATTTGTTAATGGTTCTGTATTTAATTGATCCAATATTTTTGTATTATTTTCTTCTCCAGCCAAATTCATAAATACACATTTAGATAATTTATCAAAATTTTATTAAGTAAATGGATCTTTAGCTAATAAGCTAAATCCTTTTGATACTTCTTCAGGTATGTTTTTGGTTTCTTAAATATTCATAATTTCTGATTTTAATTTTATGACAATTATTTATAAATATACCTAGATTTGTATATATTATAAATAGATAGGATGGTAGTAGAAAGATTAATGGATTATTTTACTTTTATTTGAACAATTAATTAAAGTTAATAGAATAACTTAACAAATTAAAGATAATTATATTGATATAAATAATAATAATTGATACATGATAACTGCTAAAACCTCATCTATATTAATTTATCATATTCAATCTTCATCTAATATTAAATATTTTCTATTTTGAATTTATTGAAAAAAAGATTCATTATTAGAAAGATAGTTATGAGATTAAGTTTTGTTTTAGATGACAATTGTTAGAAGTAGATCATTGAAGACAATGGTATTTGATATTTTCTTTTTAATTTATTTATATTGATTTTAATTTTGTAAAATTAGTTAGATTGATTAGTATATGTTAATTTAAATAATTAATGGGCAATTGTTGTAAATAAACTAGTTAAAAGAATTTCTCTTCAATTCAACTCAATGACCTTTTACAAAGAAAATCTCTGCTTCTTGAGTAATTGGAAGTAATTGAATAATTAAACTTCAGCAACTTTAAAATCCAGTTTATAATCAGACTTCTCTTTAGGTAAAGATGATTACTTGGATAAAAGATTCTCATGATCTTTTTGATTATGAAAACTCTAATCGAATAACTTAATCTTTGACAATTAATTCTTCTATTAAATTGTATAGAGATAAAACGAGTGGAAAAATATAATCTGTTCAATAAGGAAAAACACTATTAAGGATTGAAAATAGACAAAATTGTTTTTGGATTGAACCTAGAGTAAATATTTGTATGTAAACATTAGCAAATAAAAAATGATGATCATCATGTTTGGTTAGTTATAAAATCAATATAATAACAAGATAATGGTGTAAAATTATAATATAACGATGTGATAAGGGTTGGGAAGGTTGAAATAAAATTATAAGAATTCCATTTTGATGTGGGTGAGAAAAAATTAGATGAAAGAGAAACAATTTTAAGTTAAAGTGTTGATGAACAACGTTGTAGAATTTGTCTATTAGGTTCTGAAAGTATAGATGATCCTAAAATTGAACCATGTAATTGTTCAGGAACTATGGCTTTGATACATTTAAAGTGTTTATAACATTGGATTGTTACTAAATATAACATGGAAAGTAGTAATGCAATTGTATTTCTATGGGATTTAATGAAATGTGAATTATGTCAAAGTAATTTTAAAAGAAAATTATAATTAAATGGTCAAACAGTTGATTTAGTAGAATTAAGTAAAAGATAATTCTAGAGTTATGCAATATTAGAAATGAAGAAACCATTGATTAAATCAAAGGAAAGATTAACATATATTCTCAATTTGGAAAAACTTGAATAATTTAAAATTGGAAGAGCAAATGATAATCATATTCGATTATGTGATATTAGTGTGAGTAGATTTCATTGTAAATTAATATTGGTAATTCATGTAATTATAATTATGTAGCACAATCAAGAATTTTATATTTATGACAATAATTCTAAATTTGGTACTCTTCTTAAGTTGAAGTAATCGATGCCATTATTGAAAGAGTTTTAAAATGTACAAGTTTAAGTTGGGCGAACGTTGTTTGAATTCGAGAACGTAAGCAACAGTTACTCCAAATGATTATTAAATTAATTAATGTCATTTTCTGAATAATAAGGTTAAGAGTTGCAGATTAGAAAGGCAGACTTAGATGATTACGATGAAATTATGTAATTGATGTAAGAAGAAGGAGAAGAGGATTTATAATAACTCTATGCATATCCTAAGATTCTTACATTATTTGAAAGATCCTATTTGTCAGTGACAGTTCTTGATTCATAGAATAATATTATAGGAAGTGCAGTATTTGATGATTGTCCATAAGGAGTAACAGGATAAGTTGATTTTAAACATGAAAATTTATGGGAATAATGGATTCATGATGGATGGGACATTGGGTTTCATGTAAGCTCATTCAACTGTCTTTGGATGACATTCTTTTTTCTTGGTATTCTATTTATATCTAGATATAGCAAGGAAGCGATTCCAATTGACTGAAGATCAACAGTTACAGATCACTAAACAAATCTTTTAAAAGGTCTATGATTATTTGAATGTTGTAAATGGCATTTTCTTTTTAAAAAGGAGTGAAGCTAATGATGCCACTCAATAAGAATTAGATATTGCTTTAGAAAATTTATTTGAAATTCTGCCAAAAAGACAAGATTTCAAATTGAAAGTATTGATATAATACACTATTATAGTTTATGTAAGGAGTAAATTAGAATTGTGAGATCTATTATTCAGCATCTTCTATGGTAACTGAATTATTAGAAATAAGAATGGCACGTGAAGAGGATCATGATGATTTAGCTGCTATCTTTAATCGTTAATCAGATGTACATACTGAAGAATTTGGTGAATTTTTTATTGCTGATTTAATTGCAACTCAAAATCAAACTAGAAGATAAGCAAGAAATTATAGAAGTGATGGAAAAGCAATTGTTGGATAAGTTGGAGATAAGGCAGTTGGATTAATGAGTATTTCAAGTGATATTGAGTAAGATATTTGTCTAAATATTAGTTATCGTCTACTTGGATAATGTTTTGATTTAGAAGTATTCGACAATCTCTAAAAATCAGAATATATGGAAGCAATTAGAAATCGATTAGATTAAATAGCACTAGAAGAATAAATCAATAAATAGATCATTACTTATAAGAAACATATTGAATTAACTAAAGAAGCTATGAAATGTCATATCATTGGACAAAGACTATATTTATAATAGTATTGTTTTGATAGAGATTAAGAGATTAAATAAAAAATTGATGATTATGGATAAGAAGACTTAGCTAAAACACTTACATAATAGGTTGTTACTAATATGATTAATGGATGGTTAAAAGATTATTAAGTATTTAAACCAAGTGATTTATTTTTGGAATATCCTGATTCATTCAAAGATTTAGAATGTATAACCATTAAACCCATCCAGGTATTATTAGAAGCTCTTGAATTCTTTGGATTACCAAAAGGATATATGAATGGAGAAGGTCATTGGAAAGATTGGGCTAAGAAGAAGGAAGAAGAATAAAAGGCTCTTTCTCTCAAAAGACCAAAAAGATAACAGAAGAAAACTAATAAAAAAGCAAAGAAAGAAGATAAGGATGAAGACATCTTCAAACCACCTCCTTATTTTGATTTGGGACCATTCTTATTAGCTTTTACTAAATTTACATCTGTCTCATCTGAAACAAGAACATAATTTAGAAAATAAATTGAATCAAGAGTTAAAGAGTTAATAATGGAATTTTGTACTGAAAATGGAGAAATGGATCCTAGTCGTCATATAGATTTAATTGAATTTCCAGATGTTCTTAGAAATAAAGGATTTGATATAGGAGCACCTATGGGAGAAAATCTGGCATTTATATTAGAATGTTTTGGTGAATTAGAAGTAGATAATAGGATAATCTAAAAAATAAAGGAAGAAAAAGATGCTAAAAAAAAGGATGCAAATCTTAAGAAAGTTGGTGATGATGCACCTAAACCTGTTGATGTATTGTAAAAAATGACTTCTTATAGTGAATTCATTGGAGCAATTTAAAAATTAAAAATATATGATTAAATGATGTGTAGATTATAATTAGTTCGATCAAATACATTATAAAATGAAGTAGAAGAAATAATATAAGAAGAATAAAATAAAATTAATAATTTAGAAAAAGCTAAGAATTGTGAAAGAAATTAAACTTAATTTGATGAACATGTTTCTTAAATTTAATCTATTGATTAATTACCAGAAGTTCCTAAAGCAGCTCAAAATGCTGTTGTTATCAATCTATTTTGTATAGATGAAAGATTTGAATCAAGATCACTTGATTTTGTAGAAAGAGCCTTTGAACTCTTTCCTGATAGAGAATATCTTATCCTAACATAACCATATACAGTCTAAGAGACTACTCTGTTATCACACTTTCTATAGGTATAGAGAAAGAAACATTCTACTTTTGAACATGTTCTGTATATATTCCATAGAAATAGTTTAGATTCTCATTTGATAGAATTAAGAAAGTTGAATTAAAATGAATGGAATTAATGTCAATTTTTAGTAGAAAATTTATTAGGAAAAGATAATATTGAAAAAGATGTTAAAAATGTAAATGATAATGAAACATTTATTGTTTATTGCAAAGATGAAATAATTGGATTATATTGTATGAAAAAGTATGTTAATCTATAATATTTAAAATCTCATTTTTGTATACAAGATCATATACTAATTAAAGAACATCCTAAACATTTACATACAAGATTATTACATGGAATATTGAATCCATTATTTGCTAAATAAACAAGATTTATTTTAAGAGAAATTTGTAGATTGATGGATAAAACATGTATAATGTTAGAAATTCATGATCGTACTCTTTTACCTGATATATTCCATGAATTTAATTTTGTAAGAAGTCGTGCATTCCCTCATTTTTTAAAATAGAAATGGGATTGGACTCTTGATGATGATTAAAAAGAACGAATGGGTACAATTTTAGATGATCGTGATCCATATGATTAATCTTAATCACCCTTTTCTTTAGCAATGCTTACTAAAAAATAATTATCAAATGTTAAAATCTCTAATAATTCTCGTATTGTTGTTGTTGGAGCATCTGATACTGGATTATCTTTTATAGAATCATTACTTACAATAAAGGATATTCATTTTACTAATATTATTTTATTGGCTCCTGGAGGTTTAATAACAATGCATGTTAAACATGAATTTGAAATGTTAAAAGCAATGAGTACTAATTATACTTTAGAAGAATTAAGAGCTTTAATGATAGATGCTAGAGTGTAAGTAGTAGATGCTAAAATGGTAAAGTTGGATAAAAAGGGAAATAGAATTAAAATTGATAAAAATGCATTTATTCCTTTTGATTATCTAATTATTACTGTTGGTTTAATTGATACTGAATTATAATCAAGAGAAAAAATAAGTTTTGGTTTATCTAAATCTCCCTATTATAAAAATTCATAATTTATAAATGGAGTGTATAGTATAGATGATCCATATTTATACTCTCATTTTAAAAGAACTGGATTCAAAGGTAGTAATATAGATTTATTAACAAGAAAGAAAAAACCATAAAATATAACAATTTATGGAAATACTTTGACTACAATTACATTCATGAATGGATTACTTAATAGAGGTGTTCATCCATCTCGTATAAATTATGTTATGCCACCAAAAACATTTTAAAAATAAACTAAATTTGAAAATAATAAATAAAGACTTGAATAAGAAGATAAAATGATATTTGATCCAGATTAATTTGAAAATGAGGAAGTCAAAAATAAAGTATTTGATATAATGTTAAAATTGGGTATAAAAATTCATTATGGATTTACATTATATGAATTAAAAGTAGGTAAGGAAGGATTTGGATTAAATAGTGAAGATGTACTATAAGAAGTAATTTTTAGAAAATAAGCAGACAATTATGAAGAATTAAAAATTGAGATTTAGAGAAAGGAATAAGAACTTTAAGAATTTAAAGACAATTCTGAAAATAATATGAGTAAAGATATGTATGGAGAATAAGAGGAGGGTGAAAACTAGTTAGAAGTATTAGCTAGAGAAATTGAATAACTTAAAGCAAGTGAATATGATTATTTATAATTGGATTCAAGATTCTTTATAACAAGTGGTTTGATTGATATTGACAAAGAAATCTTTAATATCATTCATGAAAATGGATTAGTATATAATGGTAGATTAATTGTAAAGAGTAATTTTTAAACTACTTAAGAAAATATATTTGCTTGTGGTAAGATTTGTGAGTTCTCTTAAAGATATAAACATCATTCAGTTGGTAAGAGTTTAAGATTAGATAAGTATAATGGTAGAGAACTTGGTTAAAAATTGAGTAAATGCATATTAGAACAATTAAATTTAAGTTATTTAACTTCCTAAACTTATTCAGTAGATGAATTACCATAATTATATATGCCAATTGGTTAAGGTGGAATAGTTCCTTACAAACTTTATTATTATTATATTAAAAAGAATGACTTTTCAAAACCCAAATAACTACAATAATAACCATCTAAACCAATAGTATCTGATAATTTTAAGGATTCTTTAGGTCATTTCCTATAATTTGATGTAGATCCAAATGGACTTATAGAAAGTCTTACTTATTTTGGTTCTGAAGCTGTTCATATTCCAAGTTTAATACATTTCATTGAATTATCAGTAAGATATTTGAACAGATTGGATTAGAGAGGTAAATTAATTAGCAATGTATCTGAATTTCTATCTGAAAATTGGGCAATTGCTCTTTATCATGAATGGTTTAGTGAATTTAGACATATTACTAAGAGTGAGATGTTAAAAAATGAACTTATTGATCAAGTACTTGAGAAATCATAAGAATATGCAAGAGATGGTCGTTATATGGATGATAATTTCTTTGAAGAAATCAAAAAACTCATCACAAGAGACATTGTTGAAAATATACAAGTATAATATTTATTGTAATTTATTTAGGAAGGTACCATTGAATTTATTAGATAAAATTAGAATCACTTACCTATGTACTTTGTTCCAAAAAAGAAACTTAATTGAAATAATAATTGAAATAAAATATTATGAGTAAAAATTCAAGGTTTTCATTTCCAAAAGCTCCTCGATTCCCATCACTTCGTTAAGTAAATGATATTCCATTTTATAACATTCCATCCACAATCAAAAAACGTTCTATTAGTCTTGGAGAGAGATTACCAATCAAAAATATATCCAATACACCTTCTCCTCAACATTATGCACTTTAAGATACAAAATCTTAAATGAAAAAATCATTTGGGATAGGCAGAGACGTAACTTATATTCTAATTTAGAGAATGTATCAACCAATGAAATCATAAAGTCAAACACCAGGCCCATAGGTTTATAAACTTCCAAATACTCTTAAAAAAATCAGTTATTCTATACGTCCTCGTTTGAAATTATAGACTGAATCTTCAATTACTCCAGGTCCAGGAACATATCATATTGTTGTTAATAGATTGAAAACAATCTTTTGAGAATGAAAAAAATAATAATCTTATTCTTTTGATTAATAAATCAATTATAAATTGAGACATTCTTTTAATAAATAAATATATTTGTTGTAAATATGTTGTCTGTTTTACAAAACTAACATGATTTAATTTTTATAATATTGATTATTTCTATCATAATATAATTTTATATACTAATCAACCATTAAATATATATGTTTAACCATCTCTAATATTTATTTATTTATATATTATTATAATTTATACAAATTAAATAAAATAATTAAAAAAAGCTATGGATTTTAGAAAATTTTAAATTACTATCCTGAAATTGGTAGATATCTTTGGCACTCCTTACTTGCATTCTATTAAATTCAATTAAAAAATCTAAAAATCAATAATAGGAGGAATAACCTCTATATTTGTTTTAGTGATCAGCTTGGCCTATTTCATCTATGTATTTAATTAATGGATTACATTTTAAATTTTACCTAAAACTAATAACTCTATGAAGGTAGAACAATATTCAGAAATTCATTTACAAGATGAAAATCCAATCATCTAATTAAGTTATGGAAAATATTCTGAATAAAAGTTGGATCCATTTGATACATAAAATAATATATTAATGCCCATTGGAATATATTTCATAGATGGTAAACCATAAAAGCCTTTCTCATTATTAAACAACAAATAAAAATCTGATGTGTATCCAAACAAATTGTTACCAAGTCTTAATACATTAACATTAGTGTAAAATGGTAATGCTAATTAAGACTACTAGAAAACAACTGAACTTGTAATTATGATTACTAAATGTCATTAAGAATATTTAAATGATGGTGGTAAATGTGCAACTGATTAATAAATGGAAGAATTCTTTGCAACAAGTGTTACATATTTAGATTTTTGGATCAATTTGAAATAATATAATTTCTAAACTTAATAGTTTGAAGTAGTAAGAAAGTAATATTATTTCTGGTTTGAATCTAAGTCTGCTTAATTAACTTAAATTATGATAAAAAAAGCATATTTACATGTTGATAAGGGAATATTGTTTAATAGTTATAGTGATTACAATTACATTTAGGATACTTAGATAATGATGTCTACAACGACAACTAAACTTTGGGCACCTTTAATCTCTGGTGAAACTTATTTAAGTTTAATATTTAGATTAGATCCAGTGTCAATTGATATATAACTTGTATATTAAAAATTGGGTGAAGTATTGGCTATGGTTGGTTCAATAGTAAATTTGTTAATGATAGTAAAATATGGAGCTTAATTTTATAATGAATCATTATTAGAGAATAAATTGACAGATAAAATAATTAAATATTATTATTCTGATTTTGAAGAACTCAAGGCTTCCTAAGATACATAAACAAAGCTTTACTATAATTAATTAAAAAAACAGGCTAAAAAAAAGTTAATTTTTCATAATATTCTATATGAATTGTCAAGGATTTAGCTATTCTTATTCAATTAATATGGACGTACATAGATAGAAAATTCTCATTAATTAAAATTTAGATTTTAAGATTTTAAAGTAGATTTTGAAGGTGAAGTGTTTACTGCTAAATAATAATAAACTTAATTAAATTTAATTGCTCATGAAAGTACTTCAAATTTCATGTTGATAAGTATTCCTGAAAAAGATAGGACTAAAAATTAAAGAGATGATAAAGTACATCCAGAAATTAGAAGTAGTATGGAATAACAATCTTTTAGAATAGAAAAGTGATTTTTAAGTATTATACAATTTATATGAATTTGATTTAAAAATTGAATTGATAATTTAATTATTAATTATTGATAATAGAATGCATAAAAAAATAAACAATAATAATAATATTCATGATTATTATGATGGTCGTTCTTCTTTTGGAAGATTGGCATGATAGATCTTTTCCCAACTAATAATAGTGTTATCAAGATTGGTTATACTCTAATGCAAATAGCCATCCTAATGGAATGATATTCATATATTTACAAAAAATGCATTTAGAGTAAACCATAAAGGTCTTACAATAACTTTAAAGAATCCCATTTCAGATTTAGCCATAATATGTATTTTATCTAAATCCTTTAAGAAAGGTGTTTATGGTATACCCAATCTACCTTCTTCTTCATATTAAGCACTAAATTCTTTATTCACTCTTTCAGACCAAATTCTAGAGATATCAAAAACTTTAGCTCCTCCATTAAAATCAGCAGTATGAATTATCATTCCTGTTAATAATTTAAGATCATCATCTCCAGTTCCAAATGGTTTAGCCACATCTTCTTTTATTCTACTTTCAAAATCTTTCAAGAGAGTAAAATGAACTTTGATATCTGTATAGAGAATATTGTCTATAAGAATGCGTCTAAATTATTAATGCTATTCTTTAGTTAGATTACTTAAGAAATTGAGTGATTAATCTTTAAGCATGAATATTGTAGTAGCTGCATGATGTTATTCAAGAGGCTATAAAATAAATATATTCTTACACTTGAATCATGATATCTTGTGGCTAATTTAGATTGACTATTAATCATAAATACATTTGTTCTTCCTGTATGTGAAACATCATGACATAGACCAGAAATGATGGTTGCCATTCTTCGAAAATCATCAATAAATTATTTAGCCTTTTCACATTATAACATGAAATGAGCACTTTACATAACAGATATACCATGATCATAATTATGAAATGAATTATTTTTCTTATTATATTTCTTTTATAGAACACTTAAAAATTAAGCTAAACATTAATTATTCATATGATATTAAGTAATAAATCCATTCTTTTCTAAAATACTATATACTAATCTATGTTTTTCTTATGAAGAATCTAAAGTTAAAATGTTAAATTCAAATAAATCTAATTAAGAATCTCTCTCACAAATTTTAAATTAATTTATATCTACCTACTCTAATTATTATTAATATTTGATATAAACACTAGAACTAATCTTCTTTTTCTTTTAAGGTGGAATAATCCATTAATCAATTTATATGTCTTTTGATTATGAATCAGAACCCTTTACATCAGGTTTACGATGTCTAATCTATTATAATTCATTTTCAGGTATGAATAAAGCTATCATGGAATTTGCTACATCTTGTGTTTCATCTAATTAATTTAGAAACTTAAATGTTTGATGTTTATTGTATTGAATTAATATCTATCTTTAAATATCTTCTTCAAATGATTTATTAACTTCAGCTTCTTTCTATACATCATTAGTCATGCTGTCCATCTTCAAAGTCATAAAATAATGTTTAAGTCTTCTTGCCTCATTTTCATGGAATATTACTGTAAATCCTTTAAAGTCATTATCAATCACTTTGAGAAATATTTCAAATTAAGGGATTTCGAGGTTGCTCAAATATTGATTTTGCCTATTTTCATGGATATTCTAAATATTCACCTCAATATTGGAAATGATACTGTTTTAAGCGAATATATCCTGATAAGTAATTTTATTGTATAGAATTGCTTTCGGATCAAAATTGATATTATATCTTTATCTAATTATATATATATATAATTTAATTTACTTCAAAGATTTAGAAATAGGTCTACTTAAGAAAATCAATTCTCCTTGCTTATTAAAATCAAACAATAAAGAGTCAGTAGTTCTAAGGAAATACTTATAAAATGCTGATTTTTCATAACATAACTTTACATAACCATCATATTTCTCTAATATTTAGATTATCTAAATATATATTATTATATTTTTACAAGAGAGTATAAATGTTAATCTTATTCATTTTTCAAATCCATATTCTTAATACTTAATGTTACTTGATTTGAATCTTTTAATTCTATTTTTAATGAAGATAAATCTTTGTCTTTCTTAACAATTGTTTAATTTTATTGTTCTTATTCAACTTCATATTTTACACTCAAAATTTATTTAATACCTTCAATCAATAAAAATCTTGATATCCTCATAAATGTAATTCCTATATCCTAAACATGATCAGCAAAACGTAATGGATTAAAGAATTATACTTTAGCAGTTATGATAGTTTCAACTAAGAATTATGCTAAATGAGTGACATCTGTATTAAATCCATAGATATTTGCATAACTAATTTAAATTAAAATGGTTATTACTTAATAAAATTTCTCTTTATATTCTTTTTATCCTTATCTGTCCAATGCAAACAAAAGAGAACTTCATAATTTTTAATATGCAATTAAAATTTAACAATAGATGTTTATGCATATGCATTAGTTTTACAGGTCTCTTGGATTTGGGGATATTGATTATGTTTTTAATCTACTCTATGGATATAGGATGGTCGAATATATGTTAATTCATCATTAACTTTTTAAGCTTCTTCTAAAGTGACATCTTTAATGGAATCATTGGCTGAAGAATACACTTCCCAATCCTTGTCTCGATGAATGAAAAAAGTAAATTCATCTGCATCGACAAGTATTTTGAGAAGGAATTTCAGCACTTAATATAAATTTTCATAAGAAATGTCTTCTTGCATTAAAAGTAAATGTGTATGCAAGTTGCCAGTAAAAATATTCTTTAATTCTTTGTAGATCTCATCTATTTGTCTCTTCATTTTGTCATACACATCTTCTTCACTTGAATCAGCATCTTTTTCACTTATTTCTGCTAATTTATTATCGTCACCTGTATTTTATATATGCTAACCATTCAAATCTCCTTATTCAGATGTAAGTTGTAGTATTAAATTGCATAATTACAATAATTTATCTTTATCTTCAGGTACAAGTAAATTATGTTTGTCAATATGCTTATTCAATAATTCTGTCAATTGATCAATCATCACTGCACCTACACCTGCTAAAGGTTGAGGAATTGATTATTCTTGCTTATTTGTATTCTATTGTTTATCTTCATCCGTGACATCTTTCATAAAATGTACAGTCTTGGATTTATGTTATCTTCTTCTTTGTATTGCCTTATTTTATTCATCTAAATAATCTAGTAATGCCTATCGTAATTGCATTTCCCTAATTAAATGAGAAGTTTCACGAATACTTTCCAGGTCCACTATTTTGAATGAGAACGCGACATATTTTTTCTTCTTTGTGAGTCAGACTAGATTTGAGGAGAGCCTTCTGTTCAGAAGAGATTTGATTGGTCTTACAAAGATTGGTGACAACGATGAAGAATTATGTGTAGTGACTCAATTATGGATCCATTTTTATAATTTATGGGGTCGTTTCAAGTAATTTGAACTTCCCTTATAATATGATTGTGAACGAGGTTTCACAATTACTGTGTCTGGAGCCTCAGTAACATGTTTCTTGAACTCTTCCAATCCAAAACGTTGTTTCTATTAGATTAGATTGACATGTTTGTGTTTCCCCATAGAAATAAGTTTGGACAATTTGTTGTTCAATTTCTCCTCTAATTTTGGAGTATTATCACTAAATTTAAATGCCTTCAATTCAGGTTTAGGACATCTATCTCCTGAACATAGAACTAAACCAAAGCCTATTGGATAGCAACGAATTTAGAGTGGACGATTGCAACAATAACTATAAGGTACTTATTTAGAATTCATGAAGAAAATTGTGTATGTTTTAGTATACAAATGTTGACAAATGAGGATGCTATGTTATCTAAGTTAGATTTCAGGGAACATCCTCATTATTAGATTCTGTATGTAGATCGATTTCTCATCACTTGGAGAGAGGGACTCTGTTTATGATTCTACATGAACTAAACACATAATGTGAAAAGTCTACTGGCATTAAGTGTCTCTTTGAGTGAAGGTTCATAAATATGGTAATAAGGCTTATCATCTAAGTTGGGAAGTAAAGTGTTATTCATTTTAATAAAAATATCATTAGATTTCCATCTTCTATTGAAACAATTTCTCAAAGACAGCTCCAGGTCCTGATGGGTCCTAGAAGTTGTGCAACTTAAGGTTTTCTCTAAATTATTAAGATATATAATAAACTTATTGTAATCTCGAACATCTCTGCAACCTTACATTCCTCTTAAATACTTTAGTAAGGATTCCAATTCTTTATCTTCCTTGTTATCATAAAAGGGAATGATAGGAATCCCATTTTCTAATTGCCATGCATAAGAATACGAGGCATTGTCAACTAAAACTAATTGACTTAATGGACGATCAAATATTCTTAAATCCTTTGTATACATTCCTCCAGTTGTCATTATGCAATTATCACGATACAAACTATGTGAGATTAATGTTTTATTGGGATCCAGATACTCAATAACCTTTTGTGCATAACAAGGATGAGAAGCAGTGAATATGATCAATTCAAAATCATTGACCAATAATTCAAGTAATTTTATAGCTCCAGGTCTAATATTAATTCCTGCTTTAATAGTTTCTTAAGGTGAAACTTATATAGTAAGAATAACATCACTAGGAATAGCTAGACTCTCATTACAATGCACTAAAGTTTCATCAAGATCAAAGACTATACTAATTTTATCTATAAATATGTTAAAATAGATTAGATACTTTTATAAATATCCTTTTATTTAAGATGTACTTATTTATTTTTAAGATCTTTTGGATCAGCTGGTGATAAATATGAAGCAACATATATTCCTTAATAAGTTTAAAAAAAATGCTCCCTATACATTCTACTAAAATAATCATCATGAATAGGTTTGGTGAAAGCATTCTTAACTTTAGTTATATAATATTGTGGTTGATCTGAATTTAATTTCTTTGTACTCTCAAAATATTTGTTGACACTTAGACTACCTTTTCCTGCACTTTTAGGTGTAACCTATTATGATTGTGTTTTTGGCTTCTAAAATAAAGCACTCTAAAGCTTTTTTAATATAAGATCCTTGCTTTAACCTACAGATTGCTAAGGACGATGATGTGCTTTCTTTTCAGTTGATGGTCTATATGATTAAGTTCCAGTTGGTGTTGGAGGTTTAACAGGTAATTGAATGTCTAGTTATGGTGAGACTTTGGTGACAAGTTGACTTAAAATCTTAGAGGATTGAGTAGGTGTGATTATTGGATGTTAAACTTTACCTTCCTTCTTTTTAAGTAATTAGAAGTATTTTTGCATAGCAGCATTGACTTCTGAATTGCTAAGCTTTTTGGCTGATGACTCACGATTTGCTTGTATTTTTTATGGCAAATATGACTTTGAGAGATTAAAATCCATTAAATATCGTTGTGGTTTCATATATATTAAATTTATGGTAACCTGATTGACAGGTTTCCCTATGATTTATGAATTATATTGCTCAATTTTTATACATTAGGATCCATTCTAATTTCATCCATCTATTACATCATACGATCATGTAATTTTCTAATTCTACTTGTTGGTAAATGTAATGTGGTATTTGGAAGTTTAGTAAATTTTTATTCAACTTAAATTTGTGGGGGATCCTACATACTTTCAGCCTTTCTCTTTGTCTTCTTTGGTTTTATTAGTAATTTGAATTCATCTTCCTTGAATTTCCTAACACTTTTAACTTTTTCTACAACAATTGAATTTTCTCTATCATTTCTTGGTGAACCTACTTGCAATAATTGAAGCATAAAATTAAACTTGTCTTTATTTGTAATGTTGTCATCATTCAATTTCTCTTACAATCTTTTCCTCTAAATCTATTCTCCTATTCTTCTAAATAATCCATCTAATGTTGGAGGAGTATTTACAGTTTCATCCTTCTTGGGTTTATAAGTCATTTAAATGTCAGGATTATGAAGTAATTAATGAAATGCTAACTCATTTAAATGATTCTTAGTATTCTGATGACATGATTAATTAGACATCCTAAGTAATTTACATAAATTGGAGAATGGTACATCATATTGCCATGCCTAAAAAGTAATATATAGTTGGAGTAACTACTCGTAATAATTTAAAGATTCTCTCTAATGTTATGAATTCTTCTCCATCACGAATCAAATTGAAAAGATCTTACAACAAGTTCTAACATTCAAGTGGATAACCATGTAAGTAACATTATGAATTCATTTAATTTATATAACTAAATTCATTAATTTTTCCTCCTAAGTTTTTCAATCAATTATGTAATGGCTAAATGAATCTTTGACTTTATTTCATCTATCTTAGCATAGAATTCTTTAATTGTTTGTAAATGATCTGTACGATAACTAAAATAATATTTGATTCAATAACCTTATAGTTCTATAGACTTCTTGTAAGACTGCATTAACTAAAACAGTTGCTCCATAAGTATATGTAACAAACACAAGTGATGTTATAATAATCATAGTTTAAACTTCATAATCAACAATTTTGAACCAAATCTTAAAATTTCCTAGAAAGAACATTCCACAAGTAGAAATGAAGGATCTATAATAAGTAGTAAATTCATCAAATCTTTAGGAGAATAATTAATAGAATATAAATGCATAAGAAGCCAATATAGTAATGGCAAAGATAACTATTAATATATATTGATTAATAATTACTAATCATAATGATATTTTCTGCTCCTTTTGCAGCCATAGCTTAAACAAATGCAACAGATTCTGAAATTTAAAATAATTTAAGAGTGTTGAAACCTACTAAAATTATTAGAACTCCTCTAATTATTAATCCATTATTAAATTGATTTGCATAATACATAATTGAAGATTCAGCAGAATTTTGTAGTATATCTAATGAATCAGAAGGAATTGATGAAAACATTAAGAAACTTACTAATTGTAAAATAAATATTGTTAATTGATACATTATACCAACTTAAATAAATGCAGTAAAATCTCGTCTAAGCTAAAAGTTCTAATATTTCTTTTTAATTGAATTTAAAGTCTCTTTAACAGCTACAAATATCATAATTGAATTTAAAATTCCTGATATTGCTAACATAATATATTCAGTAAGCCAGAAATTAGCAGCTTCTTCTGGTTTTAGACATCGAAAACTCTACATATGTAATTATTGGACAATCTCATAACTAGGAGCAATTTCAAAGAAATAATAAACTACATAAAATTATTCTCTACTATCATCATATATTACAATATTGAAAAGTACCATTTTGGTTGTATAAATATTAAACATACCTTAAGATTTATGTAATTAAACTTTGTCATCAACATATTCATAAGAATCATAAGATTCATCAAAACCACCTCCATCATAATTTGAGAGAATCCCACTAAAAGGAAATACACCAGATTCTTCTGCTGTTTTATATTCACCCCATGGATAAGTTTTACCATCAGTAGCTGTTATTTAAGATTTTAAGGCATTCTTGTCACTATATATAGAATAATAACATTCATTATATCCAGATGCAAGTTCAATTTCATTACAAGTATAATTACTACTTTATACCTAAAATACTTTAAATTTAGGTCCCATTTAAATAAATTAGAATTGAATTTTAATTTCTTCTTAAATAGATCCATCTGATTGAGTCACATTAAATTTATCCACTATTGTAATTAAATTAATCTTTTTATATAGATCATCTATAGTAGATACAGTATTCAAACCATATTTAACTTCAAGTAGATAATTATGTAATGTTAATCTAACTTAAGAAGTTGTTTCATAATCCATAATATTTTTGGAATTCATGTATATTAAAATAAGAAGAGTAGCTGATAAGATCAATAGAAATATTTTCCAACCTATACTGATATTAGTACTTTCATTATTTTCTTCTTAATCTTGTTTTTCATAAAGTTTTAAACCAGGTTAAACATCTACAAAATCATCTAATTCTTTTCTTATTTATTTAATATTTTCATCATCCTAACTAGTTTATTAATTTCTATTTGGTAGTGAAATATTAATTTTTTATTCATCAAGTAAAAAGTTTGTAGCCAATTATTTACGATATACATATAGACATGCAAATTAGACTTATTCTTTATGAGCAGAGAAGAAATTCTCAGCTGAATAATTCATTAATAGATCCATACAATTACAATTTTTATCAACCATTGTATATTCACTTCTAGACAATTCCCAATATTAAACACTCCATTCAAATATTTATTATAATGTTGTTGTTTTTTTAATTAGAAATGTTACACATCTATATGTTACAGAAAATCCATCATTAAAATCTTAAGTTTCATCTTCACTCCATTTTGTTAATACAAATTTATGAGGATTCTCTAATAAAAAGACTGCTACAGAATTAACATCCATTTTTTAGTTTGATTTATTAGCTAATAAATACATTCTAGTTTTCTATTAAGTAAAGAAATTCTAAAATGTTTTTCTTAGTTTCACATCAGTTTATTCTTAACTCTTCTTTAAAACCACTTATTCTTATTCTAATTGTTCTTTAATTTTATCTGTTCCTAAATCTTTTCTTTATTTTAGAGATTTCGAAAGACCTTCAATTTGAGTATTCAAATGAAAAAGCTGATGACTTTTATCTGCATAATACTTATCTAATCCTTCAATTTCGTCTTACATTTTACCAATCTTTACTAAGTTTCATAAGTACCTTTGATTCTAGAGATTTGATTTCCTCCTCTAAAGACTTCGTAGACATTTATTAATTAAATATTATAATATTTTCTATAATTCAAATAAACCTTTAACTATATAAACATACCTCAATTAAATCTTTTGTCTAATTAGATAGTTTAAATATATTCTTAAATTATGATATAATTTCTTAAATTTTAAACTTTACTTGCTAATTAAGTGAATTGAACCTGGAAGTTTATTGTGAATTACAAAATTTTATAATTTAAAATTATTCTATAAGTAATTAATGCATCATTACTAATCTGTACAAATGGTTCACTTATAAAGTTGTCTACATAACATTTAATTATCCCCTTTTTTAAAAGATAGTCAGTTTAATAAGACAGCCAAAATCATTATTATAGATTTCAGAAGTGATGAAATTATTACTATTATCTTAAACTATAAATATATATCAATGATTATAAGTTAAATTTAATAAGGAACTAGTTGGGATTTCTCTTATTCTATAAAACAATAAATAAGTATATTGGGAAACAACTTTTTCTGCCTATTGTGGTTTTATCTAATCATCATCACAATGTACCCAAACATCTTTCTAATCAATATTTTTTAACACATAAGAAGTATAATGACCTAATTTTACATAATATAATTTTACCATATTGACCATTTCCAAAATGATTAGCTACTGCATATAAATCATAAATCTTATTACTATTCTATCCAATCTACCATTATTTTAAATTCAAAGATCTTAAAGGAAAATCTATATCTGATTCTATTTTCTCCAAATAACCATCTCTATATTAAAATCTCTTTAAATGTAATATTAAAATATTAGGTGTATGTCCCAATGATAATTTTACTATTGCCTATTACTTTGATTGACATTTATCACAATTTATTTCCACTTTTTCTTCTTATGTCAAAATTGAAAAACATTAATCAGGTGTCACTCTATCTTTTCTATTATTTTTGTTTTCAATTAACTATTAATAAGTTTCATGATGTGAAACTACAGTTGAAAATAAATTAAATGCTAAAGAATCTATCCAATCCAAAACTATACAATAATTCTAAGGTAATTGTAAAAACATAGGATCAATTTCACAAGAATAACCATTACATACATTATATCTATTACACGAATTTGATGTACTTTTTTCACAAGCTAAACAATTCATATTTTAGTCTAAAATTTTAATTTTATATGGAAAATCATTTGATTTAATAAAATTAAGTTCTTCTTAAAGTGATTCATAGTTTGGTCTACTCATTTTCTTTTAATTAGGTTCCAAATCTTATTCTGTTCTTCTATAACTACTTTTTCTCATTTCTGCTTAACCTAAATATACACTTTATGCATTATATTTTTTAGAATGATGTAAATCATTTGACATATCTTAAGCTCCATTATAAAATTAAACTTTCTCTTTTTACATCTTCTATATACAACTCTTCTTCTTCAAATAACCCTAAAATATATATATAATAAATACAAAATCTATGAATCTTTTGGCTTAAATATAAATTAAAGCTTAAAATTCTTATAAGGTAAGATGAGAAGATGGTACTAAAATTAAAAAAGGAAATGAGAATTTCTCATATTGTTCTGTTGCTTTGTTATAATATCTATTTGTAACAGTAACTAAATTAAACTTTTTTTAATTCTATACTCTACTTCTAAAAGGTTATAATTAATATTAATGAAATGTTTAAATATTTTGAAGTGTAGAATTCTATTTTTTTATTTATACTTTATAATTCTTTTCATGATTCTTATCAATTATTGAAATAATTTAACCATGTCTCCAATCTCCTAATCTATCTTCAATATCAACATAATCAAAAGTTTGAAAGTTTTCTCTCCTATAAGTAAACATTGACATTAAATCTTAAAATTCATCTTCAGCATCTTTAACAACTTTAGCTACTTCAAATACATGTAATAATTAATTAGCCTTTAAACCAATTTATCTAATTGGTATTGAGGGATTTAGATTTCCAAATTATCTATGGATTTAATTTCTATATATTTCAGTCAATTCAAATCTTTATTATGATATCCCAGTTACTTTTTCAATTGCAATAAATAAATCTTTTAATAAAGCATATTTAGAAACTTTAATTCCATATTTATCTAATGGTGGAATCTCACTCTATAATGATAAACATTTCTTAAATAATATTATAAATATAGGAATTTCATCATTTATAGGTATTGGTAAACTTAATGTATAGTATTCTTCAAATTTTTAACTTTTATATTAACAATTTTAACAAATCAAAGTATTTACTGTTTTACCAGTAAATAATTCTTTAACTACAGTTTCAAATTATTCAAAAGAATTATTAATATTACTTTAAACACTAGATTTCTTTTATAAATTCTTTTTTAATTCATCTGACATTGTATCTAAAAGCATATTAAGAAATTCTTATGCATCATGTTATTCAAAACCTGAAAATGAAGGTAAATTATGATCAATTGCTTTTTTAAATTATTCAGGTGCAAATGCTTTATCTTTTTAATCTTTTAATCTAATAGCTACTTTAGATAATTCTTCAATTAAATATGTAAATTTAGAATTCTTTTAAATTTCAGACTTAAATGCTTATTTATATAAATAATCATCAAATACTGGTGTATTTATTAGACATTATAAAACTGTATTAATAAAACAAGTATTTCCTAAATTCAATAAACCAATATGATGAGGAATTAAAAAATAATTTGGTTCCTATTTTTATTTAGAATTTGGTGGATATATTCTTAAAGCTCTTTCTGTAGATGGTATATAGAAATCTCTTTAATAACTTTCTTTTTATATATGAAATCTAATAACACTAAAATCTTCTGAAAATCCATTTACTATACATAATAACCATTCATTAGAAATAGGATGTTAAACATCATATAATTATCCTAATCCACATCCAACCTATTAAAATATTGATTTTGGAATCTTTCCTTTTAATACCAATGTTACAAAAGTACCTGATACAATTTATAAATCAAGTAATTTTAAATCCATATCTTCTACTAATGTCCATTATTCATTTACTTTCATATAATACAATTAATAATCATATTAATTTTTTATCTTAAACTTTTTAACCAATTTATGCATAACATGATGCATAGATTTTCTTAAATTAACCATAAATTTATATGATCTTTTAAATGATAATTCTCCCTTATTTGTTGTAATATATCCTTATAAAACAGGAGGATAAAGATCAACAATCTATGTTTTTGTACGTTCATCATGAAAAGATCTTCTTTTATATGCCAAATTATTATAACATCCATACCATTATACTAATGAAAACCAAGCAGCTTCAGGCAATATCAAATAATCATGATTATTTAATATATTAGTTTTTAATTCCCCTTCATATTCACCTTGAATATCTGAATTATCAATTGAACCTGGTCTAATTGATGTTTGATTTTCTATTATATAAAATTAAGAACCATGAAGAGATTCATGTAATCCATGATTCAAAGTTAAACCTGGATTATAAAGATCTTCATTTTTCTCTTCAAATTAAGATCCTTAAACACCTTAATCATCTTATTAAGGTGCTATTATCTTTTATTCTTCCATCTCTTCTATATCTACTATTGATATATGGGCTATCTTTCGTTTTGGATTATTAACAAAATTATAATTTACATAAAATCTCCATAATTCCCACCATTTATAACTTATTACATAATATTTCTAAGATGATGCTGATGTTGATTATAACATCTCTTTAATTCTTTCTCTCTCCTTTAATGGACCAGGTAATAATTCAAATATTTCAAAATACCTTGTTAAATTGAAATTTGTGTCTATCCAAATTTTAAACATTCCTTTCTACATTTCTGAAACCTCAAAATCTGTTTTCTATAGATATTATCTATTTTCTTAAATAAAAAACTCCATCTCTGATTTACTCAATTTACCATCCTAATCAAAATCATAAAATGCCAATAGAATTTCTGCTCTGTCTCCCTCTTCTGAATTAAAGATTACACTCAACATAATACATAGTTCTCTGAAATCTATTCTTCCATTTTAATCAAAATCAAAACATTTGAACACATGCAACGAGTTTTCCTAATCCTATAAACTTATTACTTTATGATTTCAATTTTGGAAATAAAGTTCTGAATTTTAAATGATCCATACCATCAATTGGATTCACGGCTAAATATTTCTGTTTAAGCATTTATAAATATGATGATGGCCACATATCTAATAAAGTACTTAAAGGTCTTTCCTTCAACATATATAAACTTAATTTATCATCAAATTTTACAGTGGATTCTATTTGTTCCTTTTACCACCTGTACAAAAACCTCCCATCTTATCAAAATATTATTTATTTTTATATTTTATTAAAATAACATCCAAATGTTTTAATTTCTTCAAAAAATAGTATCACCATTCATTTTAAATCTCCACTCTTTTACAACAATAATATAATATATTATTCAAAAAGGAATTAACTTAATTTTTGTTTAATCTATAATATAATTCAAAGAAAATATAAAATATTAATTATAAATATCAATCACTATTTGCAATATGTAATGAATAGCTTTTATCATTTTATTATTATTAACTCATGAAGTATTCAAAAAGATATTATTCATCAATACCCTAATACTCATCATTTATTATCTCTTCACTATAATTATCATAGAGATTGAATTCATTCTCCTATTAAAAATCATCATTATATTATTTATTTCTCATCAATAGAACTTTTTTTTTAAAAGAAATCTTATCAAAGATTCTCATAGTTTCTATACAATTGTCTTAATTATAAATATTTCTAGAGTAAATATTAAACTAGAGTTAAATCTCTTTTTTTATCATTTTCTGAATTGGAATTAAAGATTATTATCTAAATTTCCTTTTGTTGTATTGTAATAAGGGTAAGTTCTTAATTTTTCTAATCAGAGTATAATTTTTCATCTTAAATGGGAAAAATTTGGTTTAAATAAAATGAGTCTTGATCCATTCATTTATCTTTACAATACACATCTCTTTTATATAATACAGATACCCTTTACATCTTTAATCCTTTTTATACTTTGCCTTTGACATAAAATTTCATAGTTTTTATACTAATATGTGATTAATTTTTAGAAATAATATCTACATAATATTGAATCATTTTATTTCTAGAATTTTCAAATCATTTTATTTCTAGAATTTAACAATAATATTTGATTTGAATTATTTTATCCAAAGAAATTAATATATTTATAAAAAAGTTTTGTATTTCATCATATTTAATAACTGATAATTATTAATGTCTAAATAAGATTAAATCATAAATATTTATAAATAATGAGTGAAAAAAAATAAAAAAGAAAACAGAATGATAAAGAAGATGGAGAATGGAAATGCTTAGAGTGTTGCAAATCCTATCTATCCTATCCAGCCTTTTATACTCATTGCAAAACTAAGCATGATTCTAAATGGCCAAAGTAATATAGTACTCCAAGACCTTTGGAAGAAATAAAGCGTGATAAAACAAAACCTAGAGTAAAATGTAATTGAAATAATAGACTAACATGGATGAGTAAAAATAACATGAGAAAGAAGATTAAATCTTTGAATTTTTGGGTAAATTAGGGTAAAGTAATGAAGAGGAGGATTCATCAAATAATTGCATTAGACACTATTTAAAATAACCCATTGATCCAATTAAATCATTAAATGATGATCTATTTTAAGGAACAAATTATTTAAACATTTATTAGCAAGTGTTAAAGGAATTGGAAGAATTAAATAAAAAAGTATTAGATTAGGAAGCAATATGGGATTTTAAAGATCCTCTTACATTAACAAATGAATTAGAAGAATTCACATTTTCTAATCTCAAAGGAATGTTTCACTAACTAGATGGCCATTTGAATGTAATTAATGTAATTGCCATTTTTATGGGATGGCTAAGTAGACATCTAAAAAAGAATGCTTATTAAGACATATCAATAATTAGTATTATTACTGCATATTTCTTCTAAAATTATTAATCATTAAAATCTTAAGAAGTTAACACAGAAGGAAAATTAGATTTAATGTCATTAGATTAAAATGAAGCATAACATGATGATTAACGTAAAAAATAATAAGAATATTGTAAAATTGATAAATAGAATGACACTGATTTAAAAAAGGAAGTTTTATCATAAATGAACAGTTATTTGGTATTAGAATTAATATTATATTCATAGAAAAAAGAGTACAATAAATTTTAGAATTAAGTATCATATATTAGAACACCTGACATTGCCTAAGCTTTCTTTTGTTTATTAATAGATTGGATAGAAGCATATTCTGATCTAGAAGATTATATTGAAAAAGGAAAAGAAGTTCACTAGGAAAAATAACAATTGTAAAAATAAGATGAAAAAGGAGAATGATCTATAAAAATCAATATAACATAATATATTACTCTATTATGATTTTTAATTTATATTTATTTTTAAAAGATCTATGAAATTTAATATAGTAAAATATAAATTCACAATATTCAAGTATTCCAACTAATTTGTTTAAGATTACTCTTAATAGATATTTTATATAGATTTAATAATATATCTACTACTTATTTATAGTAGTAATCATTTATAAATTAAATGAGTAAATATAAATATATAATTTTCATAAATTTCATATTGCATCTAAAAATGTATCATTTAAAGTATATCTAGAGTACTTTCTGAATATACTTATGGCACTTCTAACTTTGATAAGACATTCACTATGTTTTATATATTAATTATATATAAATCATATATGATATAGTTTCAACAAACTTCTTAAATAATGTTATCCTTCCAAATGCCTTGTGTTACTTAATTTCTACTCAAGAGAGATCCTGGACCATTTCTCTTACCTTTTTTAAAGAAACCATAAAATTTAAAAGTTTTGGTTTCTTCAATAGCTTCTCCACTTACAAAGCCTTCTTCAAAATAACCTTTGTATCTGATATTTCCTTTATTCAAAATTCCTAATCCATGATATTTATCGTCTTTCCATTCTCCGATATAAATTAAATGATTGTCAGAACTGTAGAGTGTACCTTTACCATGCCTCATTTAATCCTTAGTTTCACCATAATATGTGAGGCCATCAATATATTCGATTTTGTGAGATATGTTTTGATCTTTCTATGGACTTTTGTTTGCTTTTGAAAAATGACTCTTTTGTCTAATTATGTTTGATTGTTCTGGGAAATAAGAACTAGAAACAGGTTCATTGGATTTAACTATTAGGATGTTGTTTAAATGTTTACAGTAGATATTTGAGTCTTGTCGATGTTGAGAAGAATATCGATCATTGAATAGTGGTGAAGTTGGAGAGCCTTAAGTATGTAGATATGAATTGGCAGGAGAAAAATTTCTATTGGGAGAATGATAGGGTACAAACATGGAAGGAGGGGATTAGATCAAAGGAGTCTAAATGAATAGATTTCTGTACATATTAAATTAAATAATACATGGGGAATACATGTTGTAATAATCAGACAATTGATACAGGTATTTATAGATATTATGAATATAACAGAGAAGTAACTAGATAATCGACCATAGAATCCTGGATAGTCACCTGATTAAGAGCCAAATAATGTTGAGGAGCCTCTTAAACATATTATTTGTAAATTTAATTGATCTAGAATAGCCTATCCAACATTGTCAGTGTAGCCATCATTATTCATACAAATGAAAAGAGAGACAATCTATAGTACATATTCAGTAGGGAAGTTATTGGGAGAAGGTTAGGATTTTAATGATATTCATATTAGGTGCTTATGGATAGGTTTCAATTGTAACACATAGAGTAACTGGAATGTAAAGAGCAATGAAAGCTATAAGAAAGGATTGTCTATTTGAAGAAGAATAAGCAAAATTATTTTCAGAAATGACAATTTTGAAAAATCTTAATCATCCTCATATTGTTAATCTTTTTGAGTTATATGAAGATGAGAAGTTTTATTATTTAATAACAGAGTAATATTATAAATATATATATTGTAGATATTTAAGAGGAGGTGAACTATTTGATCGAATTTAGAAGGCTAAGAGTTTTAGTGAAGCAGATGCTGTTCGATATATGAAACAAGTTGTTTCAGCAGTTGCATATTGTCATTCAAATAATATTGTACATAGAGATTTAAAACCAGAAAACATTATTTTTGCATCAGAAGATCAATATTCAACATTGAAAGTTATTGATTTTGGAACATCAAGAAAATTTGATAAAAATTAAAATATGTCAAAACGATTAGGAACTGTAATTTACTTATATATATTTAATAGCCATATTATATTGCACCTGAAGTCTTATAAAAGAAATATAATGAAAAATGTGATGTATGGTCTTGTGGTGTTATTCTCTACATTCTTTTAGCTGGATATCCACCCTTTTATGGTAGAAATGAAGCTGAAATTTTTGACAGAATTTTGAAAGGCAAAATACCATTTAATACTGCTGAATGGAATAAAATATCTAAAGAAGCAAAAAATTTAATTACTAATATGTTATGTTAAGATGTAGAGAAAAGATATTCAGCTTAATAAGTTTTGGATGATCCTTGGATGTAATAAGGATAAGAATAAAATCTGGTTGATGATAATTTCTTAAAAAATCTTACTGAATTTAGTGCTAAAAGTAAACTTAAATAAGCTTTACTTACCTTTATGGCTAGTTAAATGATTTAACCTAAAGAAGTTGAATAAATTTAATAGTTATTTAAATAAATGGACAAAAATAATGATGGAAAATTATCTAAAGAAGAATTAGTAGCAGCATTTTAATAAAAGGTTTAGAGTAAGGATAGATTAATTGAAAATATGGAAACTAAAATAAATAAGATAGTAAGTGAAATTGATGTGAATTTATCTGGTTATATTGATTATACTGAATTTATTATGGCCTGTTTAAAATATGAGAAATTGTTAACTATTGAAAAAATTAAATAAACCTTTAAAATATTTGATCTTGTAATTTTTATATTCATTATTTTAGGATGGTGATAAATATATATCTAAAGAAGAATTATCACATATAATGGAAGGAGTGGACGATGATATTTGGAAGTAATTTTTAGCTGAATGTGATCAAGATAATGATGGTAAAATTTCAGAAGAAGAGTTCATCAATCTTTTATAAGATAAACTTTGATATTTCAACAGTTATTATAAATCTCTAATTATTCATTATATCTACTATCTATAATTTAATTAGATTTCATATTCAACTATTTTTTTAATGTAATTATATTTGAAGAATATTAAAACTTAAATATAAGTATTTAGAACTATGAATATATTTAAAGAATATATAAAATAATTATTTAATAGATAAATCATATATAGTATATGAATTTTTTCTCATTTGATTTTATTACCTATTCAATATAAATAATTTTATTATATATTCTCATAATTAATAAATTCAAATATTTTTCATAAGGTTTTCTTTATATCAATTGATACAATTTTTGTAGGATTTTAAAGAAATGAATAGTTGAAATTATTTCTAGTATTAGTTAAAAAATAAGAATTAATAGAAAGTATTATGAGTAATTTTTAGCTAATTTATGTTAGATTGATTTATAAATAAAAATAATAAAAGATATTTTAGAATGGCTACCCCAGAATCATTAAACCCAGCTCCTCTTACTGGTCTAGGAGATCACTCATACAAAAAGGTCATGGAAGATGACTATTCAACTGGAAAATTGAATCTCAAATTTAAGGGAACAACAAAAAATTAGGGTACTGCAAACTACAAAGGATGGTTAGATATCAGCAAATCATAATCTAAATAAGAGACTAAGTTCCAATTCCCATATAATAAGTATGAATTTATAATAAAAATAAAAGTTATTTCTTCCAAATTGCCACAAGAGAAGATGGAGCTAAAGTCCATATTGATTTTGGAGAAGTAACCAAATTTGGAAATAATGCAAGAGTTAATCTATTTGCCAATGCCAAATTGGGTAGCTCTCACTTAGGATAAGCAGTACTTAGATTTGGTGGAGTGACTTAATGGAATTAATTGACCCATCATTTACGTAGATATTCATAAAATACAATTAGGTTTCGAATACAATCCAAATAATGTCTTAAATGCTTTTAGCAGAATATTTTTGAGAAGAAACAATTGGGTTTACGTATTTGCAGATGAACTTCAAATCACAAATGGATTTGGAGTAAAAAGAATAGACTTCATAATTGGACATACTACATAGAATTATGATGTTTTCTTTAGACATTTAACTGATTAACCACATAATAATAAAGAATGGTCTTAATTGACAAATGGAAGAGTTATTTTTGATCTTGTTTACAGAAAAAATAAAAATACTTTTGGATTGGAAACAGAATACAACTTAGCAAAAACTTAATTGAATGCTATGGTTGGTGTTGCTACAAAATTGCAAAATTTTGATGTAAAAGCAAGAGTCAATTTGACATAATAGAAACTTGGTTTGAGTGGAAAAGGTAAACTCAATGAAAAGTATATGATTATTATTATATGTTTAGATTCAATTGGACTTTATCAACAGAAGTACCACTTAATGGAACATTACCAAGCAAATAAGGTTTCTTCCCACTCCCCGTAGGATTTACATTAGATGCATCATTATGATCAATATTAGTATATGTATAGAAATAAAATTTAATTGTGATTAATAAATATATATATATATTTGTTATGCAAAAATAAATTCTAATCAATAATGATTAGATTTTATATATTTGTTAATTAAATTAACCCATTATTGAGCTGGAACATTATTTTCTTTTTATTTGAAAATGTATTTCTTTTTGTTTCTATCTCCAACAATGAATTTCCCTTTTCCTAATAATTTACATGATGTAAATTAATTTAAAGGGATTACTGTCTAATAAATTATATATTATTAATACTTTTTTGTTATTTAATTAAGGATTAATATATATAAAATTAGTTATTCCATCTTAACATACAATACTAGCATGTCTAAGAGAAAACTAAGTCATAAATAGAACTCCATGTTCTTTATCTAATTAACCTTATATAATAATTTAATCTGCTTTGTGTTTAGTAACAGAAATTCCTCTGATATCATATTTATCACGAGATGTTAAATTATTTTCAATAAATGTAGTTTAAACTCTACTCATCTTCCTTTTATGTGTATTTGTTGTATTTAAAAAAGGAACATCTTATAACCACATTTATTTAAAGTTAATTCCTCTAAAAAATGGATGCTACTTAAGATTATCATAATTATATTGAGAATCTAATAATAATATTATTATTAAATTACCATTGAATTCTCCATAAAATCTTTTTTAAGGATCTTTATCAAGTAAAATCTTGATAAGATCCAAAGCATCATTAGGTATACTTTAATCTTATAACCATGAGCATTGACTTATGTTATTAAATAATTCAAATTCATTTTCAGAATAGAATGGTGTTTTATTTGTATATAATTGATAAATAAAACATCCTAATGCCCATAAATCAGCTTATGGACCTATAACATTGTAATCTATTAATTCAGGACATAAATATTCAGATGTACCAACAAAACTAGAATCTCTACAATATTTTATTTATGGTTTTTCAAAATCATTTAAAGAAGGAGATCTTTATTTTTAATATTAAATTCTAATATCTTCTAATTTATTTCCAATGTCAATTTTATTATGATCATAAACAAATACTGTTCCAAAATCAATAAGTTTTAAATGTTTATCTTTGGTTAAAAGAATATTCTCAGGTTTCACATCTCTATGTACTAACCCATTTTAATGCAAATATTCAAGAATTAATAACAATTCTGCTGCATAGAATTTTATTATTGAATCATTAAAATTATGCCCTAAATATAATGAATATCAAATACTGTTCATGTATTCTAATAAATTACCATCAGTTAACACTTCAAGAGAGTAATATAATTTATCATATTCTTCAAATGCATTAAATAATTTAATGATTCCTTTATGTCTTAAATTACTCAATACTTCTCTCTCAATACATGCATGATGCATCTTTTTCTCCTATAATATTACTATCAAATTTTTTACTTTAAATAAGAAATTCTTATCCACAATTTTCAGTGCTGATTCATGTCCAGTGAGTTTGTTTTTAGCTAAAACTACTTCACTATATGCACCTTTCCCTAAAGGCTTTATAATGTCAAAGTCTTCTAATTTGAGATCTATGAAACAATATGGAATTTAAGAATTACTTTACACATGGACAGGCATATCTGGATTCATAAATATTATTATTTAACTTATTTATACATAAATTTATAACAATATACTAATAATGAGTATTATTAATATAAAATTCATCATATAATAAATATCATCTATCTATTTGTAATTTTTTTATTACAACCAAAATTTTATTCATGAACATTTTCAATCTTTAAATGCTTCCCAATACATTTTCATGATTGCAAATTGAATCAATAATGTAAACTAACACTAAACCGCTATGAGTAATATCTTAAGCATATTCGTTCTAAAATTCCACAAATTCTTTCAAATGTTATCAATACTAAAAATACTCCAATTTAAAATATTAAATGATTTCATGACTTTAACATTGTATTCATTTTTTATAAATTTTACAATAAATTATATTATTGGCATATCTAATATTTCTATACGTATTGGAAACTTCCCTAAAATTATAAATTAATATTCTACTCTCAATTCTCTCTAATGTATTAATGTAATACATTATTTTATAATTAAAATCTATATATACACCCACATATTCATTCTTAGTTAACTTTATTGGAATCAAAATCTAATCAAATAAATCAAATATTGTATTATTTCTCCCTTAATATTAATCTGTAAAACTTCTTGCCCTAACTATTTATTTATTATTTATTACTTTAACATATTCTAACTCAAAATTTCATAAAATTCTAAAGGTAGAATTAGGACTCTCTAAATTGTTTCTTACAAATACTTCATATAAATTTCCATTATGTTCTAAGATAAAATTAAAGAGTCTTTCAACTAATTATACTCATAAATATTAATCTTTTGATTGTACTTAAGATTAATAACTTGATCTTAATCAATTTTTAAATCTCTCCCTATAGATTTAGAGGAAGGAATAGGAGAAGACTAAAATTTTTTGTGATTATTTTTTTTATTCTTAGGTAATCCCATGTTCTCTAATAACTTAAATAATAGCAAATAGTACTCTATCATTAATGAAATCAGAATAATGATTAACTATAATTTAATATTGATGAGGATTGTATTTTGAATAATATTTTAACAGATGCATTAATTTCTCTATTGGTTTCATATTTTATATGTTATTTTTCTTCTCTTTTACTTAATCCTACAAAATACTCTCTAAATCATCTAATTTTAATTTCAGTACTTATTCAGGACTGAAATAGGGATATGTTCTTGCAATATTCTAATCCTTTGGATCATGATTAAGAATATACTGTTTTAAATTATTCATTCCATCAAGAAAGTCTTTTACTGAAATAGATTCTTTAACGGAATCTATCTCTTAATTTGATTATTCTTTATTATTATTTTAGATATAAAGATTATTAGTTTTATTAAGTTAAGGAGTTTAATTTTAGTTCTATTATTATTATCCTTATTTAAAAAATGAATCTTATTTTTAATCTTAACTTAAATCAATCTATTTATTAATTTTGATTAAAGATCTCTATCTTAATTGGGAAGTAGGTTTACTTCTTTTATTATCTGGTTGTTAATCAGCTTAAACCAATTCTGAAAAGGATTTAGATTGATTATTTATTTAAATTAAAGGTAATAATTAAGTTTACTTTTTTTAATTTAATCTTGAATGATTTTATGATTGATTGATTTCTTTTAAGAAATCATCATCAAAAAGTCTTGAATATGATTCACCTCTTTATTTCATCTATTTGATTCTATATTACTTTAATAAAACCCATTTTATTAGAGAATGATTAATGAAATCTTGAAAATTTATATTAATGTTAGCTAAATCTTTATTCTTATTATTTAAGATTCTAATAAATACAGAAGAGATCACAGACAGTAAATCTTTAGAATAAGATGTAATATGATATATTTGTTAATCTTTAAAAGCATCTTCAACTTAAGAATTTCCATTAATGAGAAATACTTATTGATTCAATGTATCCCAAAGCATACCTCCATATTTCATACCTTTAAAAGTAATTATAATAGCATATTGTGGAATTCTGGTTCTAATTTCTTCAAATTAATTAGAATGCAAAACTAAGTAAGTTTCAAGAGTGATATTTTTATGTATTTAACTTTGGATGTACTTAAAAGTATAATTAATAAGATTAGTAGTGATTATGTTGTTCTATGATTTACATTTGATGTTAATACATAAAAATAAGACTCTGCTTCATCCATTTAGATTTCATCTAAGAAAGGTCCTTTTTTGAGTTTCTAATAATATCTTTCATAATCATCTTCATAATCCATGTAATTAGGAAATTGTGTGGACATTTAATAAAAATATTACAATTATTATATTACAAAAAGAAGATGTAATTTAGGAACTTGAAGATTATTGTTTTATTTAGTTATAAATGAAATGATGAATGAATTTAACATCATTGATTATACTGGTGTTAGACAATTAAATAATTAATTAAAAATGTCTAACATGAATAAGCCACCTCTTGTAATTATTCATCCACTTGTGTTGATCTCTGTAGTAGATCACTATAATCGTATCATATCCAAAACACAACAACCTAGAGTAGTTGGTGCATTGTTGGGTACATTATACAATTTGAATCTTAGGTGAAAGAAAGGCTGATGGTGTGATTGATATTACTAATAGTTATGCATTACCTTTTGAAGAGGATCCAAAGGATTAGAATATATGGTATTTAGATCACATTTACAATGAAACACTATTTGAATTACATAGAAAAGTATCAATATTATCTAATAATTAGATTAATATCAATGAGAAGATAGTTGGATGGTATTCTACAGGATCAAGATTCAAACCAAATGATATTCAAATCAATCAAATATTTTACAAGTATACAACTACTCCAATCTTTGTAATTATTGATGTTCATCAATTTGATCCATTATCACTTCCAACTGAAGCTTATACATCTGTTGATGAAATATCTAAATCAGGAGAAATGATCTAAAATTTTGTGCATATTCCTTCTACTGTATAAGCATTTGAACCTGAAGAAATTGGAGTTGAATAACTATTAAGAGAAATCAATAATGTAGACACATAATCACTTTCAGCCAAAGCCGAATAAAAAATCAATGGAGTCAAAGGAATGAATAAGAAGATAGCTCAAATTTAATAATATTTAACTCTCATATAATAAGGCAAAGTGAAACCTAATTAACTTATTATAAACAATCTATAAGTAATTACTCATAATAAGTTTAGGAAATTCTTAATTATTTACCAAATTTAGGTTCATAAGAAGTGGTTCAAGCATTCACTACTAAAAATAATGATAATATGTTAACCATATACTTGGCCTCTTTAATGAGAAGCATCATTGCCTATCACAATTTAATCAATAATTAAGTATAATAAGAGAAAAAAGTAAAGTGATATTTGGTTCATATATATCTATATATATATATTATATATTTCAATTAATCAATAAAATCAACCTAAGCATTCCCCATACTTTGCATTATATATATAAATGGTAATCTTCTTTATTTTAATATATTTCATTTATGTATTACCAATAATTATACCAGCTAATAATTTATTGAAATTTCTTTCATCTCCTTCTAAGTTATTAATTATTGCAATTAAAGTAGATGTATTGTGTACAGTGGAATATTAGATGTTCCTTAAAGTAATTTATAACATCAACCAAAGAAATACTTTAATTTACTGCATATCTATGATAATTCATTATTATTATAGTGCTAATTATTTTATCTTATAATTCATCTCGTTCCCATTTATAATCTAAACTTTTTTGTTTTTTATATCTCTAAAACAATCAATACTGCTTTTTCTATTGATCTTTCATATTTTTTTTCCTTTCCTTTAAAGGAAATGAATTTATTAATACAAAATTCATTTTTAATTTTATTTCTAAAAGGTAAAATTAAGTATTTTAATAGAATTAAAACATAAACAAAAATGATTCTTTTTAAAAGTAAAAATAAAAAATAATTTCATTCTATTTTTGTTTTATCTGTCATTCTTTTAATATTATTAAATTTCATAGAAATATCAGCAAATTTATCCTCATCCTCTATATCTTTCAATTTACTACATATTAAATAAGTTTACTTCAATAAATAAACAGATGAAGAATATTTCAAATTAGATAATTCTCCAAATTATAATAAATTGTTCTTCTCAAACTTCTATCTTGAAATAGTTAAATAAGTTCTCAATTATTCTTATTCTTCCTTATTCCTTTTTAATTTAGTTTATACAAATTAATGTTTCTCAACATATTTTGTTTAATCTTTTTCCTAAAAATATAGAAATTAAATAAAACTTAGCTTTTTCTATTACACTACATATTCTCTAAATGTTCTTTAAAACTTTAAGATCTCTACTCTTTCAAATTCTTTTATTCCTCATTTTTTTTTTATTTAAATTTATCAACCCTTTCTTATATGCTACTAATCTTTTACATCCACTCTGTCATCTTTTCCTATTATTGTTCTTCTGATTCTTAATATCTTTTCTTATGTCTTGAAAATCGTTGTTCTAATTGCTTTCTTTTATTAAATTATAAATTCTATAATTGTTTATCATGTTCCTCTTATTATTTCTCTGCTTTTTCCATTTTTTATCCAACTCTATTGAATAATTCAAATTCCTTCTCTTCATGATATTACTTGATCTTTGAATTAATCATATTAAGTTTTTATTCAAAAAGTTATTATTTTTCAATTTTATTTTTTTCCATTTATTCAGCTGTCATCTATCTAAAATCAAAAGATTAATCCATTTCTGATTATCTTTTATAAAGTTCTTCAACCATACGATTTTCAAAATCATCCTTAACATTATTTATTTTCTCTTCTAATTTACGATTTCTATTAGCAATTTCAGATACCTACTTAGCTCTTTATTTTTATATCAAAATATCCCTAAACATATAATTCTCAAAATAACCTAGCTTCTAATTTCTCATAAAATGATTTTGATTTTCTCAATCCTTCCTCAACTTAATCACTCATATTATTTTAATAATTCTTCAATTTTTAAGATACTTTTTTATTTTCAATAGCTGCTTTCTTTCTAACTTCCTAAAACATTTTCTTTCTACTAGCTTAACTCTTTTCCTCTTTCAAATGACTCTCTTATATAGATAATCTTCTTTCCAATTCAAATCTTATAGCTTCTTTAGCAAAACAATCCTATATTTTCTATTCCTTATTTCGTTCTTCTTCAATTTGTTATAACTTTTAATCATATGTTAAAGCTTGATTTCTAAATTACTTTTTCTTTTGATTTGGTTCTGGCCATTTACTTAATATATTTAATATAAATAGATTACTATCCTTTTAATTCATCTTCCTCTCTTTAACGTCTCTCTAATTCCACTTTTATTCGTTTCCTTTCTGCATATAAATTCTAAAAATCACCTAAAAATTTAATTGTTAACTTACTTATAAGCTCAACTAGATAATTCTAATACACTTTCTGGATATCACTTTCACTATAAGATTACTTTTGACTCTCAAAGTTAAATCGCATCTCGAATTAATTCCTACTCATTAAAGTGCTATGTGAAACTTTCTTCTAAAGTGATAACGATCTTGTCCTAAACTTTCCATTGCTTTTTATGTCAATGGAGATTCTGGACGATACTTCAATTCGTAACCTTGGACTAGGGCTATCAATTTACGAATATCTGGAATGTTGTTAAATTTTGGTTCTGTAAAGAACATATATTAAGAAATATTATAAATATAATTAATTTACTATAATTATATATTGTATTATTTTGGAATCAATTGTCTTATTTTTTATATATATTGTTAATTATATATCCTAATTAGTCAATTATCAAATGAATAAATATTTTTGATTATCTCTTAAACAAAATTATATAAAAATTATTATTATTATAACAGCCTCTTCAAATTAGAATCTTATTAAATATAAATGTAATCAATCAATGTCAAATTATATTATGTAATATTAAATAAATAGATGAATCTTAAAATAGATATATATCGATAATAAATAAAAAAAATTAATCATTCTAGAGTTATTGATTAAATTAGTATGAAATATAATAATATATATAGATAAGTTTATTGAGTAATAATTTAAGTCTACTTAATAAGTAATAAAAAAGAGAGAAATGTATTCATAATTTTTTATTGATATTCAAATATGTATATATATTTTTAATGTATTAATAGATTTCTTCTTGAGATAGTATAAAATACAAATGTTTATATAAAATTAGATTAGAATTTCTATAGAGAATGTGATAATATTTATTATAAATAAATTCAGAAAGTAGTGATGATAATAACTGATAATATTTTATTAATTAAAATGTCGTTACTTTAAAAGTTTACAAAGTTATTCAAATCGAAAGATGAAATGCTAGAATCATTAGGAATTTTATTGAAACCTAAGTCTTAAAAAGATTTTGATGTGGCTTGTGAATATTTTGGATCTTTAATGAAGAGATATCCAGCAGTAGTTTTCAATCTCTTAAGATCAAAAGAAAATGTAGAGAATTACTAACCTAAAGCAGAACATCTATTAAATTTATTATTCGTAATACATGCTAATATTTCTGATGATTCAGTTTGTGGATAGTTGAGAGGACCTCCAATTTATTGGTTAGATAAATTAATGACTGAGAATAAGGAGAGTTTTATTCTTATTGAAAGAATGATATGTGAAGCTAGTACATCTAGTTTCTTTCCTTAATAATCTCCTATAACTTAACCTTCTTAATTTTAGGGTAAGAATGAGTAAGTAAAAGAGAAGAGAAGAACAAGAATTGAAATGAATGAATAACTTAAGAATCCTATTTAAAAAACTGAAGCTTAATTAGTTTCATGTTAGTTAAAGGCTAAGATTTTTTGTATAATTTACTATTCCTTCTTATAGAAATTATCAGTTAATTAATTGGTTTATTAATCTTGTAAGGATTTACAATATCCATTTGAAGAACCAGAAGATGTAAAATTAAGATATATTTGGATATATAAGATTTAAAATGTAATGTTAATGGGTTTGAAATTATTGGAATGCAAGAATATTAAATATAAGATTTATTAAGATTTAGTATATTAAGATTTACTTAGATTTCAAGTATTTGTAAGATAAGAAATTGAATAATTGATTGATCAATATGCTACAATACCAAATTTAGATTGTTTATCATTATATGAGATTTTTTCAGAATTTTAAAGAGCAAGAACAATATTAGAAAATTATAATGATGAAATTGATCTTAAATTAAGAGTTAGTACAAGATAAATTGAGGAATTTTTAAGTTTTTCTGTTCGAATAAAAGTTTTAAATTAATTTGCATTTAAGAAAAGTATAAAAGTTCCAAATAGATAATAGCCTAACATTTCTATTGCTTAATAATCCTAATCTGATCGTAAAGTAATTGATATTAAAATATTCTATTTTTAGTAACATCATAAAGCAGTCAGTGATATCAATAAAGAAAATCTGGAGCCTCTTAATTATTAAGATTTATAATATGAATAAACTTATGAAAGAGGTGTGATGGAAAAGAAATTTTATAATTAATCTACTGAAAACAGTATAGATGATATTGGAGAGAATATTTAATTAGATGTTGTTTAGTATAGACCTTAACATCTTAAGGGATTAAGCACATTTTAATAATATTGATTAGTTTATTATTATCACAATTATAATTTATTTTAATGATTATTGCTGCATAACCAAATCGTTTAAATGAGTATGAAGATTAAGCCAAAAAGATCTTCTATCATGATTATTTTGAAAATAGAATTAAAACATTTCCAATCATTTGTAGATTTAAGAAAAGAGTTTATCAATCACAATTTATAAATTATACTACATTATTTCATAATCTAAAACATCATATAGGAATAGGAAATTAAATAAAAATTAATAAGAATAAGAATAATAGATTATAATATTGTTGCAGTCTCTAATATATTCATACTTTGTATCCTTAATTACATTTAGGAATTCGATTAAATAGAAAAACTAAGAATTCAAATTTAGATTTCTCTATATATAAATACATTAATGATTTCTCATCACTTACATTTTGTTACAATATTGATCCAAAATATTAAACTTAATAAAAGTTTATATTTAATTATAAAGAATCTGCTATAAGTATAAAAGAAGATAAATTGAAACTTAAATTATAGATAGGTAATGTGATCTAACCTTATGTTAAAACTGATTTGAGAACCTTTTCGTATATATTTTATTTAAATCAAGAAAAGTTATATTTGGTGTGAAAGCTAAGTTAAAGGATTTTGAGCTATTTGCATACAAAGAGATTTCAAAAAAGGAAGAATAAAGTAGTCTATCATTGGGAGTGATGCTTAATATATTAGATTGGAAAGTAGGTTTGAAGATGAATTTTAAAGAAAATAATAGTTATTTTGCACTTTTGTATCAATTAAAACTCATTATCAAATTAGTATTTAGAAATTTGGGCTAGCAATTTAATTTCCATTTTATAGTTTAATATACAATGATCTTTTAGAGAAATATACAATAGCAGCATTTGGATTTATGATTGGATGTTCCATTCTAAAATGTTTTTAATAACCTAAAGTTTTACCATTAAATAAATAATAAAGAATTGAATAATCAAGAAATCAATTAAATTTATTAGAACATAAAACTAAATAGAATTTTAGATATGAAAAAGAAAATAATGGATTATTAATTTTGTTTGCATATTATGGTAATGCAGAACATATTAAATTATTGAGTCAATAATAAAATAAATCAAAATATCACTTATAAAATGATGTATAATATTATAACAATTATTTTAGTTAGAAATTATTGATGTAACATTATCATGTTAATTTAATGTGAAGAATTCTAAGTTACATTTACCAAAGTATTCAAAATCTGTTCTTTTTGGTTTCTGTGATCCTTGTGAAAATACAAATACTCATAAATTATTGTTATTTGAATACACATACAAATAACAAAAATTTAATTAAATATTTGATGACTTGGATGAGGTGATCTTGCCTTGATTTATTATATAATATTAATAATAAAATAAAATGGAAGAATTAGGTATGCGTCCTGAAACATCTAAATGCTCAAGAATGGAAAAACGTAGATTAGTATCACAAAGTCATCAAAGACAAGAATCAAGTTAAGCACCAAGAATCAATGGAATTACTTTATAACAATACTTTAGAGGAAGCAACTTTAGAGTATTAGAAATCAATGAAGATGAATGGGATAATCATTAAAATGGATAATCACTTGCTCCTCCACTTTAAAATAACAATTTTCGTATTAAAACAGATAAGAAAATAAACAATAAAAAACTACTAGAACGATCGCCTGTTTAAAATCTAACTACAAGTAAAGACTTTAATCAACGCAAAATTAATAGAGTAAGTAGAATTATTCATTATTTTGCTAGCCTCATATAACATCAAATGAATTCTTTCAAAATGAAGATGAACTCAGAAAAACAAAAATAGAACTCAAATATGGTCGCATGAAAGAGGATGTCATCAATCGTTTTGGAAATCCTGATTAGGATCTTATTAATAAATATGCAGAAAAATTTAATATAAATAGAGAACCTCCAAAATTGACATTAGCTCCTAGAGAACTATATACAAAAATTAAGTGAATATTAATTCTTTTTTTTTTTTCATTGCCACTGCAAATTCAAAAATACTTTTTTTTTTCTTTAATTATTCATTGTATCCAAAATAATATTATAATATTAATTCTACCAATCAATTAAAGTAATAAATTAATGATCCCATCATCTTTTTTATATTGAAATTAAATTGATAAATGAGTTTCCTAACATGCTTTTTAAATTTCAATTAATTTTATATTTAGTAATGAAATAATTTTAATTTTTTAAATTAATCTCTTCATTTTTAGATTATTCATTCCTTTAAATTATTTATCAATCCCATTTTACCAGAATTTCAAATTCCCTAAGATATTAAGTTTTAATGCAGAATAGATCATAATATCTTAGCAATAGATGAATAGTTGAACTAAAATCTAATTTTAGGTTAGAATTGCCTAAAATTTAGGCTATTTTCTAAGAGATTAATTTATTTGATTTTAATTATATTTTTATTTTATTAAATAAATATAAAAATTTAATATAAATATATTAATTTAAAATTTTTATATATTATTTATGAATTATTTCTACAATATTATTAAGAATTATGATTTATAATGAATTTTTAATACTTTTAATTGTGAATTATAAACCATCTTTTATTTTCCAATTAATAATTAGAATCAGAAATAATATTATAAAATATTTCACTAATTGCTAATTATTTAACAAAAGTAGAAGTAATCATATGCTGAATATATTATTACTATATAAATCAATTTCATCTATTTAGGACCTTCTGATCATCTTCTCTTTAATGTTTTTAGCTAATTGGCATTTAAGGATAGAATATAAAATTTCCTATTCCAAAACCAAGAGCCATTGCCAAGAAAACCCAACCTTTATTGTTTTCATTAATAATTACCATTCACTGTCATCAATAAAAACATTGTTATTGAAGACTATGTTGCAGCTAATAATTACCATACAATCTTTAAAAATAGAGATCTAATCATATAAATCCATACTTCTATCTTTCTGCAAATCCTTTGAGAACTGGAAGTAAACATAAAAAAACACAGAAAAACATTGTTATGAATAGTCCACCAACAAATTCACCTTATGTAGTTGATTTCCAACTAAAAATAATTAATTAAACATTTACGTATTGAAAACAAATCTAACTTTATAATCCCAATTTATAATCATATACATTCTCATATCCATCATTTGCATTCCAGGATGCATTTCTGATTATTCTGTATGTGACATAAAATAAAATATAATTATTTAATTAAATTTTATAGATTATAAAATCCAATAGATAATGAGTATTTTTTAAATATTTCTGAAAATATACATTATTAATTTCATTGTTGATTATATGTTTTATCTCTAAGACCAACAATATAGTTTCTTGGTCTTAATGGATTTAATCCTTTATTTTAACCTGTTGAAGTTGATTAATCTTTCATTTCATATACTTATGCCTATTAATATAAAATAAATAAAAATTACTTCACTATCAACTTTGAAATTACTTAATATAGTTTAAGATGCTTTAGTCTATCTTTTTCTTATATTAGCCATTTATATAGCCTTATAATATTTATATTAAATACTTTTCTTCTTAATTCCCATTCATTCCAACAATAATTTGGATCTAGATTCTTTTCAATAAAATGAACAGGTGTTTATACATCTTTGTCAACCATTAATTTATTAGATAATAAACTTCCACTTTCAAATGTTAATTTTAAATTGAGATTCTTAAAATTCTCTTCTACTCTAAATAATCTAATTAGATGTGGTTTCTGTCTACATATATCAATCACTCCTGTTAAATATCTCTATGGTTCTGACAAGAATTCATTAATAGCTATTTCATTGCTAAATACACAATTCTTATCTCTATATCTAAAAACACCCAATGATGGTTTACCAGGAATTAGTAAACCATTCTTTTTTACAACAGACCATATACAAAATCCAAAATAATCTAATTAGGTTTACATAAAATCAGGAGTGTTTTAAGGTAATAATCTTTACACTCCTGATTCTGGTTGATAATTAATTAAAGCTAAATTATCAGGTTAAGTGGATTCCATTTATTTACATTATTTTTATATTGCTAAGGGCATAGATAGTTTCATCATTTTTCTTAGATCTACTAATAATCTAAAGAGTTCTACTCTTTCTATGGATATTTATTTATCTTCAAATAGACCAATATGACTTTGAGCTAATAATGCAAATTTAGGATAGACTTATTCTTTAGGAGCAGATGATTTATGTTCTAATAATTTCTTTAAGTCTTCCATTTCTTTAATGAATCTAATTCTATTTTGTTCAATCATGGCTTCACTTTATTCAATATCCTCTTATAATGATAAGATATAAGATAAATATTATCTGAGAAATGCTAATTCATCCTTATATTTTTCAATATCTTCATTATTCATTTGAAATTTGTCTTAATTAATGAAGAATGTAGTATATATTTCGCATTATTCTATAGTTTCAAGTGCTATTTATTTTATTTAATCAGATAATTCTCTAGCATTGTATTTAGTAAGATCTTCTAAAGAACTTAATGATACTCCTCCCTTTCCAATTTTCTTATTGAATAATCTAATTCCAATGACTAAATTTGCCAATTCAACTAATTGTGTTACTTTTTCTGAGGGATTCAATGATACAAAGGGTCCTAAGGCAGCTCTTGGGATAACACTTTCTAAAGCAGCTCCAACTTCTAATGGGAATAGTAATAATATTACCTTTGTCCATATTGAATTGAGCTTAAGCATCAAAATTAATAGGATCTTCAATCAATTCTTTATTCTTATATATCAAATAATGAAACATTTTCGTATATAAGGTGGTCAAACCTTCAAAATCTTTAGCATTTTTAATTTCCAAAGTGACAACATCATCAATGAATTTTCCAGTTTCATTAGATTGTTTCTTGATTTTCTCTTGTCTTTATAATTCCATTTCAACATAAGCACTATCATATTCTTATTAATTATTATAGATTGTTACATATTTGTAATTGTATAGTTTTTAAATCTGGAGCATTTTAATTACTGAGTTTATTAAGTGTTTCATTTTTCAATTCATTCAATTCACTTTCATTGAGTTTTTCTTCTAGATAAAATTTATTTGTTCCTTTCAATAATTTGAAAATATACTTTTATTGAGTATTGTCTATGCAACATAAGATGCAAGAGTTTCAGTAATAGGATTGTTTCTAGCTCTACATTAATAGAGGGCGAACTTGACTACCTCATCTAATTAATTCATTTAAGGGTATTAGTTTTTATAATTAATTTAATTGATGAAATAAGTCTTCCATGAGCTAGTCAGACAAAATACAATAACAAATAATAAAAGCTTTAATTTACCAACTAAATAGTAATTGGAACAATCCTATTGAAATGTGGTTTATGATGCAATTCTCAAAAAACTACAACATAAGAATAAATTGAATAGATTGTAAAAATATTATTGAATAATGGATTTTAATCTTATATACAAGAAATCAATAAAATAATAAGATACATCTATTCATATGAATTTTGGATCTAAAGATCATATTGAAATAAGTAGAACAAATGCAATTATATTAATTATATAAAGTATGTTCAACAACATTAAATAGTTAGTGATTGATCGTTCATATACTTAAATGCATGAAGTATATAGAAAGATAGCTGAAAAGATAAATGATAAAAGACTTTAGATGAACTGATTAATTAATATTGATAAAAAGAGAGTGGAATTGTAAAAGTATTAAAAATTAGTATATGTCTTAAAAATTGATTTCTATTTACAAAATGATGACACAGAAATCATTAAAATATTTAGTCCATCAGAGACATTACTAATAATATATAATAACTTACTAACTATAAAAATTTGTGATTTAGAGATGATTAATTTTATTAAAACAGAAGAATATTTATTATAAAAACTCCAATTCATGATAAAATGGTTTAACTTAATAAAGTATCTTATATAGAAAGATATTTTTGAGGCAATTTTACTATCTATCTTGAGTTTATGAATTTCTATTAATCAATGCTTAAATATTTGGCTATTTCAGCAATAATCACTTTAGTCATAGATCATCAAAGTAATCTTATTAAAATTACTAATTTGGTTAGTTTCTATGCAATATTAACTATGGTATACAAAGGTTTGTATTAATTCAACCAAAAGAGAAATCATTAAGCTAATTTGTTCTTTGATTTTTAAAAGATTCTCTTTTATATTAATCAATAGATTCTTTCTAGGGAATTTTTTGATTAAGTTGTTTGTAATAAATTAAATAAGAAGAGTTTAATTTAGAATCTCTATTTACAAATAAGTTTGTTTCATAATTTATAAATTTAGATAATAATAAAAAAATAATCTAATTATACAAATTATTGTATTATTAAATTTGAAATATATAATAAATAATCAATTCAAAACCAAATGGGTTTGGATTGTTATGAGAAGAATGAAAAGAAAGAGAAGAGGTTTAAATTATTGACTTATATATTTATTTATAATTTAATTATTAACGATTAATGGATGATTAACTTAGTACTTTAATATTATGTCAAAAAAATATCTAAGAATTATTCTCTCTAAATTAGAGATTAGAAAAGAAATTAGAATTGTAAGATAATAAAATTTCATAAATTTAATTGTTAATAGCTTAAAGAAATGAAGATTTTTTATTGACTATTGAGAAATATACACCTCTTAAATTATTTAGAGAAGAAACAACCTATTTAAGAAATTTCTTAGAACAAAAAACTAAAGCATTTTAAAATCAATTCGATTAATTACAATAGTATTAAATCATCTAAAATATCAAAGATAATAAACAAGATAAATGCAAATTTTGAAGGAAGAAAATTAATAACATCATTAAACAATAATAGAGAAGGTTTCCAGAACAGCCAATACAGTTTTGTTTGAAATGGAATAAATTGAAAAGAAAATTCATTCAAAAACTGTAATCATGATTGAAGAACTAACATAGAAATCAGCTGAAATGGAATAAAACATAATGAAATTATTCTAATAAAAATAAAAACTATTAGAAAAATTAGCATTAAGTTAAGAAAACTCAAATACAAAATTAAATGCATTTGAAAATACATTAAATTAATAACTTAATAATATATCCAAAATACAATACACAACCTAAAAATAAACTCCAAATCAAAGTGCTAGAAAATTAACATTCGATAATGCTGAAGTCCCTATTGATTTTTTCAAAAGATAAGAGGATGTTCTCAACTTTATGACAGCAAGCATTAGAAATATAGAGAAGAAATTGGCAGAAACAGAATAGAAACCAAAATTAAAAAGAGAACTAAGTTTTGATTAATTTTCTGTTTAATGGTCATAACAAAAACCTAATCATTAATAACATTCTTCATTACCTTCTAGTTCTATCAAACCTATATTAATCAAAGAAGAACAAATTAGCGAATTAAACAATAATAAATCTTCTAGAAATGATTATGATAAATCATAAATATAAGAATTAGCTAGAAATGTTGCAGAAACATTAACATCTGAATTGAAATCCCCTATTTAACAATACAATAGAGATATTTCAAAAATACCTATATTAATAAAAAAATCACCTAATCCTATAATAGCAAGTCCAATACCTAATTTTTTATGATGATGTTAGAATGAAGTAAGAATATGAAAAGAAAATACATCAAATTAAAACATAAGAGGAACAACAAAGATAATCAAGAATCAAATAATAATAAGAATATGAAAAATAATTATAAAATTTAAAGAAATCTTAATCATAAATATCAAATGATAGTTCAATAATTAAAAATGATAGTTATTATTTTTAAATAGGAATAATCACTCAATAGAGATGATAGTTAGGAGATTATTAAAGTAATTAATATCCATATTATAGTCTTAAGGTGGTTTAAGATCCTTGATGTAAAAATCAAAAGAAAGAGATTAAAAATTTTCAACTTCTCAGTCTAAATAAAATTTAAATCTTTCAAATTAATAAAAGAAATAACAATATTAACCGTATAAGGAACAATTAGGTCAATTTAAGAATTAAAATGTAGCTACAGGAGGTAGAAAATCTAGAAGTATAAAATTTAAATATATATTTATTAACTAGCTAGATGAGAAATTTAGCATAGCAATAAAAATATTAATAGGATCAAAATGCTGAAGAAATAGTTTATTAATTAGATGAAGATGGGTATCTTATGGATGAAAATGGAAATTATTTATTGGATGAGAAAGGAAATTATATTTAAATATCTGATAAGGATTTGGAAGAATTAAAGAAATAGAACTTAGTTATTGAGTAGGAATGATTTATATATTTATTAAATTATATTAAACATTCTAATATAGAGTATTTCATTTAATTATTGAAGATATTAATATTATGAATAAATTTTTAATTACATTAGCAAGAATACCAAAATGTCAACCAAGATTTGGTTTTGCAGATATTTTGAAGGACAAAGATAAAGGAGATGAGACAGTTTATTTTACAAAAGAAGACTGTATATAATTAATACAATTTATTAGAAAAGTTAATGTCAAAATTACTCAAGAAAATGAAAGAGAATAATGATAAATAGAAATCATCATCAAGTAATGAAAAAGAAGACAAAGAAGATTTGCAAGTATTAATATTAAATTAATATAGAAAATATTATCCAGATATAAGATTAATTATACTGATGCATTGATTGATGAAGTCTTAAATTGGAAAAAAGGAGATTGATCTATATAAAATATATAAAATTAAAAGTAGAATTGTTATCATTATTATATTTAGAAGGTGAATGATTGAGAATTTATGTTTAAATATCAATTTACTTTTAATTAAGTATTCTTATTTATTTTGAATGAAATTTTAAAATAAAATGCTTTCATATATTGTTTTTAAGTATCCCTATTAATTATAATAATATATGTTCATGTTTAATATTGATGAAAGAAATGTAATCTTTTATTAAAATTGATTCTTTAATTGAATTTTAAATTCACAATTAAATTATATTAGAATCAAATAAAATATAAATTTATTATTAAAACAGAAGTAAAAATATAAGATAATCATTTGTAATTTAATATATTAAGAAATAATTTTATTTAATTTTTGAATTTAAAATTTAGTAAGAAATATAGAGAAATATATTTATGATCATTGAATAAATTTGTATAATTTAGATACTTTTTAATATTTGAATAATATTAGAAAAGGAGTGTCTAATAAAAACATTGATGGTATTATAAATTAATTTTGTAATTAAAAAGAATACTTTTAAAATCTCTTTCTTAACCGTATCATTATCTCTATCTATGAAATTAAACTACATGAGAATTTAATACTAAGTAAAATTGTATCAACAAGATCCTCTATTTTTTTAATGTAGATTCATAAATATATTATTTATTAAATAAGAGAAATTTTGATAGATGCAACTTTTGTTCTTAATTGATAATATAAATATACACATTAAATTTAATTTTTATGATTTATCAAATCACCTATTCTTATTATCTAATATATTTTGATAATAATAATACATATATCTCAATAATTTAGTTTTATTAATTGATCAAATAATATTATCCTACATTAATCATCTTTTTTTAGTGTTTGATATCTTAAATATATTTTGGTTTCTTTTTTGATAATCTCTTATTTGTCCTTCAACTCAACCAAACAATCCTATTAAATTTGGTTAAGTCAATTTAAATTAGTTAAATAACTATAGAGATAATAAGGATATAATTCAAGATATTGATATTTAAAATCAGTTAGGGCATTATTATTTGGAATAAATAATTCATCAAGATTGATATCTATTAATTATGTATTAATAATAATTATAATAGGAGAGTATTGAATTAGGTAATAAACGTAACTAGACAAGACTACTTGAGTCAATAAATGAACTTACTATGCAATAGAAATAATCACTCTTAATAAATATTTTACAAATCTCAATGTAAGAGAGGAAAGCTGAAATTTTATAGTTAATGAGAATAATAATGTCAAAAGTTGATTTTTTCAATCAATTTTAAGTAGAGAATGTAGATCATGATGCTTATGATTATTGTTTGAAGCATCTAACATTTGAAACCTTTTCGAAAGTATGAATCTTATTAAGTTTTATAGAATACAGTTATATTTGAAAAAGGAGAGTAACCTCAAAATATTTATGTAGTAATACGTGGATAAGTGTCATTATACTGTAATGATCATTTATTAGATTAAAAAATAACAAAAAAACATTCTTAAAGTGTAGACTATGGTAGAGAATCACAATGTAACAACAGAATTAAATTTTCTGATTTTAAAGTGAAAAGGTATATAGAAATATAAATTTATCTAATTTTTAGTTTAGTTCGTTTAACTGAATTCAAAGAATGGAAGACTTTTGGTGAATAAGCTATTTTAGATTAAAGATTAAGAACTAATTTTGCAGTTTGTGATATTGATTCTTGTTTGGCAATTTTAAGCAAAGAACATTATAATAATGCTATTTAAATTTTGGAAAAGAAGAAAGAACAGCATCGTATGAATAAATTTAAATTGAATCCTAGTTTTTAAGGTTTAAATAAGAAATTAATCAATATAATGCTATTTAGTTATTAATCATCAGAATACAAATTTCGAGACATTATTTATAAGTAGGGTTAAGCTGATTCTGATATTATATACATTATAAAATAAGGAGAATTCTTAGTGTATTAGGAATAATAAAAGATTAATGAATAATAGTAGATGAGAGTGAGAAAATAAATTGCAATAATGACAACAGGTGAAATATTTGGAGATTATGAAGCATTTGAAAAAATTGCACGTTAATATAATGTGTAATGTAATTCTCACAATGGAAGCTTAATTATTATACCTTTATAATCATTATTTTAGAAATTATCATAATTTAATGAATAACATTATGTATAATAATTAAAGTAATTATGTATGAAAAAGAATAAATGGTATCATGATTTCAAAAGTAATATAGAATAAACTTAAGAGAAATATTAGCATTTTTTAACTATTTAAGAATAGAAATATAATAATTTAAATGGTTCATCTAAATTAATAGATTCACCTAGTAAAATAAATAATGAAAATAAATAATAGTTAATTGATGCATCAATATCAGTAAGTCCTATTACAGAATTAAAAAATACATTAAATTATTTAACATCAATAGATGATTAAACAAATGAATAATAAGAAGATATAAATAATAGTATTAATATTTAAAAAATAAAAAATAAAAATACTTTATATATTGCTTCTCCAGATAAATTATAACCTTTACCTAAAATAACATTAGTTTCTAGTAGATAATAAGATAGAAATTAATTATCAACACCAGATAGATTTAAATAAGTAATAAGACATAAAATGACAATTTTAAAAAGAATGCATAATTTATCACCTGAAGATTCTGTAAATATTAATACTATATAATAAAAAACAATTTATGTTTAATTACCAAAATAAGTTAAATTGGAATAAAATATTGAAAAATAATGGCCAATTAAGGCTACTTTATATTTAAATGATTTAGATGATAGGATTAGATATCATAATAATAATTCAAAGATTTAGAATTGTAATAGTAGTAGAGATTCTAGTGTAGTTTATGATTAATTAAGTTTGAAAATGGATGGAAGTGAGTATAATTCATAAAGAACTAGTAGGATGGGTATATTGAATAATATATTATAACATTCAGTAACTAAGAGAGGTAAAAATAAAAAGAAAAGAGCTTTGACTTTAAAATATAGAGAATATTTGGAATAATAATTCTAACAAAAAACTTAAAATTCATTACTATATTGTTGATGATTATATCATGATTCAGTTTTATAAATTGATGAAATAACATCTGCTTTTTTTTCTGCAATTTCCTTTCTAGTTTTAACATTAATCAAAGCACTAACTGGTCTATGATCACTATAATTGATATCATGAGATTTATAATTTTGGTATTTATGTTCACAATGTTCATTTTATCCAATTAAAATTCTATCAGTCCAAGATGGAGTTCTTAATTTATCATATGTATTTGAATATGGTTCAAATTTATATGTAGGTAGAAAGTTAATTTCAGCTTCTTTATATTATTTTAGATATTAATTTTATTCTCTATTAATTATGATTTCATCATATTTTTATAATTATCTATATAATAATTAATTATATATACTAAAGTATTTCTTTTGATTCATGTATTCTACTTTATTCTATAAATAATTTATGTCTTTGAGTAGATGTAATCACTTATTCTGCTTCTAAATTGATTCTAAAATTTAGATCTCCAAATAAGATTCTATAATCACATTATTCAATTTTCTCTTCTTTCTTCTTTCCTATACCTATTTGATTAAAAATATTTTAATGAATATCTTTTAGACTCTATAATCTAGTAGATAAACTCTTCTATCCATGTTCTAAATGACAATTAATAAAACATATCAAAGTATCATCAATTAACATTTTAATTACTACTGCACCTTTATTAGCAATTTAACCTAAGAAACCAAGTTTAATTGTATCATAACTAACTTTAGTTATTCTATCTTAAAATCTTTCCTTTGCATAAATAAACAAACCCATTCCTAATAATTCTTTTGATTTAATATAGATATATTTATCTCTTTATCTTAGATTATTAGAAATCAATTTATCCCAATCTTATAAATATGAAGATGATCCAACAACTAAACCAGTTCCAGATGTAACCATTTCTTATAATCCAATTACAATAATATCAGCAGAATAATCAATAATCTATTTATTTAAATCATAAGATTATGGAACTCTTTATCCACCTACATTCCAAGTAACCACTAAAATAGAACGTTCAGAAAAACTACAAAATTCTTAAAATCTTGATTTTAATTTTTAATCTATTTATTTACTATAAGATGCAGTAATATCAGCATGATTACCTAATAATATATCAATTGTCTCTTATTTATCATTATCACCAAAATTTTAATAAAGAAATCTCCATAATGATTTACTACCATGATCTAAAGTACCTGTAATATCTCTTTGTCCAGTTCTAGTAATATTCGTATGTGTAGATCCAGTTCCTGTATATTATATTGATAACATATCACCATTATCTGCCCAAATATTTTTAAAATATTATATAAAATAATTAGTAATTTTGCTAGAATCTTCATCTAATGCTTCAATAGGTGACATTTTTAATAAATTTTAAAAATCTACTCCTAATTATTTAGTTGATAAATCAAATACACTCATAGCTATTTTTGTTTATATAAAATTAGTTCTATCAAGACAATCCATACAATTAGTTCTAAATATTCCATGTTAAACAGATAAAACTTTTTTAGTTTTTAAATCTTCTAAATAAAATCCAAAATTTTTAATATGTTCTAATAATTTTCTTATTAATGGATTAGATTATGAAAAATCATTATTTTTACATTCATGATGAAAATCAAACCATTCATATTTTACATTTCCATTTAATTCATCAGAATTAAGTTTAATTTATTCTTCAAATCCTTCTGTTACCATCTATTCTGCACTTTTCTTTTTTGCCATTAAATTTAAACATATAACTCTTGAATAATCTTCTAATAGAGTTTTAAAATGTTTTTTAAATGCATTTTTAGTTAAATCTGCAGATCTCATTAATTTAGTTTCTGTCATTAATCCTCTTTGATTCCAAAATATAGGTACACTACCTCTTACTTAAAGATGAGAACAACAATGATTATTATAATATATAATCTATTCTGTTTCTACAAAATTAGCAACATTTCCATCATCATCTATACCTCTTGCATTATATCTTGTACCTGCTCTTTTACATGATCTTCTACTCATTAAATAAAAGTCTAATTTCTTACCATTAATATACAAATAAAAATAATTAATGAATCCTTATATTATATTTGTTAACCATTTCCTATCAATTTATTATTTAAGATGATTTCTAATTAAATTCAGATTCCATAAAAATTTCTCTTCTGTTTTCTCTTCTATCTTTTATTTTACTTTTGATAATGTCAAATCATATCCATAAGAAAAATAGAAACCTACAATCAATAATTTTCTTAATTATCCTATCATTTTTAAAATTTCATTAGCTTTTGTAGATTACATTATTTTTTCATTTGGTTCATATGGTAAAAAGGCAACTGTTGAAATCTAAAATATATCTTATTCATCTATTGTACAAACTAATTCAGCCTCATCTACCAATAATAAAAAAGGTTTATCTAATATGTAAATTGTACCTAAAAAGGCAGAAAAGGCCATTTGTTGATGTTCACTTTATGGTGGTGGTCCATCTTACATATATTCATAAATTACCTTTTTCATAAAGATTTCCATTATCTCTATCAATAATCAAATGTTTATCAATTGTTATTGTTTTTTGATTTGTCTCAATTATATATTATTTAGGATAGAAATGAACTTTGAATGTTTGTGTATTCTAATTTTTAGTTGATTTAGCCTAAGTACTTTTATTATCTGTATTGATTGTTAAAGATGTTAATAATTACATTATTTTATATTCAATTTAATAATTCTTCCAATTAGATTAATGAGTATCTATCTTAGTATTCTAATGTTGCTCCTATAGAAAATTATTCAGGACAATTCTCTACAAATTCCCTTCCTATTATTCCCAAAGAATAAATATCAATTTTATCTTATTCAATATCATTTTCTGGATAATATTTAGTAGTTAATCCTTTCCCTCTTAACCACTTTTCTAATTTAGGTTCCCAAAAATAAGAACAATCGAAATCAATTATTATAGGATATCCATTCTTCATTAAAATATTATTAGGCTTTAGATCTCTATGAAAAATCTTATTTTGATTAAGTATCTAAATTGATAGAGTTAAATCTTTTAATTATTTGATATCCATTTTGACCAGAGGTTCATAGTAAGGAAAGATTAAATAAAATTTTAAACTACTTGCATATGATTAACTTATATTTATTTGATATTATAAGGAAATTAATTGAGCAAATCCTCTATAATTACATTTATTTACAAGTATTTATGCTAAAATTTCAATTAAAAAATCTTTGAGTTTATTCTTTATTTTTTCAAATTGCATTTCAGTAAGTTATTTTATTTTCATAACTATTTTTTCATTATCATTACTAAACAAAGTCACATCTTAAGTTATCTCTTTATAATTTGGATACTTATTCTAGAAATTCTATTAATTCAATTATTACACATTCATAAATTCTTCTTCTATTCTATCTATTAAATCACTAATCTCCTGATCATTAATATAATATTTTAATTACTATAAACTATAATTAATATAATCTTAAACCATAGAACTACTTCTAGAAATCTAAGATAAACACCTAGATTCTACTAAATAATTAATACTCTTTCTAAATTCTATTTAAAATGATTATCTCTAATATTCCACATAATATGATGTTCTTCTACTTTAATTTTACATAAGTCTATCGAAATCTATTTATTTGACAATATCAATAATATTATCCTTATACAAAGCTGTATTGCCAATTTCTAAATCATCTCTTGATTATTATACTACTTTTAATAATTGAGCAATGCATAAATCTTTAAAAACAGGATTCAATGATGTCTTCTTTAAATATTCAATACCTTCTCTATATCTTCCATCTTTTAAATATCGTATACCAATTGTATATTAAACTTCTGTAAAATCAGAACTAGGCAAACATTATTCCTATAATGTTTCTTCTCGATTGTAACGAATAAAGGATCTACTATTATCTACTATCTTTTTAAAGTGTTATGTTTCTTGTATAGAATACTTTTTCTTATTATCTTACTTTGATTTTTCAAATTAAACTAAACGAATGATGCATAAATCATACATTGAGATATAATGATAAAAATGACTTAATAGTAAGTTCTCATAACAATCTTATGAGAAGGAGAATTATTCAATTATATTCTGTAAAGTAGTATATAATTTACAATCAATATATTATAAAAACTACTCCAGTATTTCTTACTTCTCATAATAGTGTTAAGAGATCATTTAATCATTTCTCATATGACAAATTAGAATTAAATAAAATTATAGAATTTAAAAATAGGAATTCAATTTGAATTCGTATTCAATTTTCTATTTTAAATTAGCTTTTGGAATATCTTTATCTTTTAATTCAATAACATTAGCCAATTATTTAATATCATCATTTGGAATTTAAATACTATTTAAATTACTTCTGATTACTTTTGATAGATGTTTTAAAAATTATTCACATTTTCTATATTTCTAAGTTTCATTGAATTATGAAATATCTTTCAAATATTGATTACAATAATTAATAAATATACTGATATGATAAGGTATATTATTTCCATCAGATAATAATTCCTTTATCATTTCTATAGCTTTAGCCTATTTTTATAAATATAATGATAAAATCATTATTTTATACTTTAATTTAAAATAGAATTATCTTTAATCTTTAATTTCTATATACATATTGTTATTATTCAATTACTTTGACTTTTCATATGCTTTTAAATACAATTAATAGGATTCATTGAATTATCCTAAATAAAGACATATCTTAGCGATTTGATAATATAAGTAAGGTAAATAGTAATTAAAATTGAATTACTTTTAAAATACTATTGAGACTTTTCTAAAGAAACTATAAATTACAAGAGATAACCAATATTCTTTAAATTTTTTTAAACATTTACCTAATTTAAGTACACAAATTAAGTAGGAATCATCATATTATTTATTAAGATAAAAAATAAGACTAGTAATATGAGAAAGACGTTATTCTCCTTTTAATTTATTAAAATATATTTC